AGAAAGCAGATGCTCTAACCACTTACCACTAGGCCACCTAACCCCTAAGGCTATAGCTATTATAGCTATTTTTTTGTTAAATTACTACCAAATCCAAATATAGCCAAATTGGTAAGATTTGTTTAAAAGCTGAAGCGTTTGAAGGGGGTCTAGCCTTTGCATATTTTTGTCCATTTAATTATAAGACCCAAGTTAAGTGTAGGAAGTTGATGATATACTTCTCTGTAAAGCCAAAGGAGTATAATTTTGCTTGAAACATGGTTGAATATTATCTGTTGCAATAGTAGGGCAACAGCTTTAGATTACAGCTGAGGTTATATGGAAATGCCGACAAGAATTTTGTCATGACTAAAACTGACGCTCAGAATTCCAACAGAGGTTAACTTTAAGGCAGTTAAAACTCGGCATTTAGTTTCGGTGGCACTTTAAAGTTTTTACGCAGCCGTTTTAATTGTAAAGATTTTCTTGGTTGATTTGATATTTTCAAGGTAAAACACAGCAAACTAAATTAAGATATCGTGATAGAAAACGGAACGTCAATATTGTGCTTGAACCCAAAACTCATTTTATCAATTTAAATTTTGTATTCATGAATACCAGATGTTTCCAACCTTTTAAGGATATTACTTATAACATGGGGATAACGGTTCTAAAGATCAAAACCCTGCAGAGTCACTTTATGTTACATGATCTTAATAGTATCCATTCAAAATAACTGTAAGTAAGCTCTAAACTTGCAAGTATTTTCAATTTTGACCTCTCGTTAATATTTGTCGTTTTCCCATGTGTTAGGCCATTCCTCCATGCTTCCCGTAAATAATTTGTAGTATTTAACATTCCAATGATTCTCAAATACCTTCTTCATCTGCCACTCTCTACCGTATCTCAGCTTTTCGTAAGCATTGTCGATAACAGTTGTATCATCATTGTTAATGTGCAAATTTAAAACATGGAATTTAGGACACCAGACAACTTTCTTGCTAGCAGCTTTCAATCTCAAGAAAATATCCTGATGTTCGTGTACTTTTAGCTCCTTGCTCCAACCACCAACTTCAAGAATATCTTTTGTCTTTGCCATGAAACTGTTACTGGTCAGATCGCATCGCAAACAATCTGGAAAGAAAGGCAAGCTCTGGTTAGCAATCCTGCAGGATCTCGAATAATGGTTAAGAGTTGGTTTTGATTGGTCACAACCAAATTCCATAAACCCAGGCCAGTCCATCGAGTCGGTTCTCCCACCCACTAAAGATAAGTCAGTTGTATCGAGTAGTTCTACGATTTTAGCGGCGTCCCACGATTCTGTGACCACATTGTCGTCGTCCATGTTTACAAAGTATTTTGTCGTTACCATGTTAACTCCTATCATTCTGCCTTCACTAATTCCAAGATCCCTACTTTCATTTATAACGTAATTTATATTTGGGAATCGGGAAATTTTGGCCACGATATCCGAGGGATGCGGGTTGGGGCCATCATCGATCACTATCATCGGAAGATCCTGATTGAGTACTGTTTTTATTGATTCTGCAAGTCTGAGAACCAGGAGAGGTCTCCGTGCTGTCTTCACCACCACAGTTACACATTCAGATAATATTTTGCATCTTTCAACTTGTATCTCAGGTAAGAGCTTAGCCATTGGTGGTCGGTTATTGGATGGCGAATCACAAGACTTATCTCCAGACGGCATTAAAAGCGCTGCTCTGTCACGTAGAAATGCACTTTCCTCAAGGAGATCAATCTGCGATGCATATTTTTTACATTTTTTAGTCAGAACTATTTTCTTTCCCAACCATATGCCTCCACCTCCTTCGGGAGCAATGCAGAGTACTCCACGACCATCTGCTTGATCATCCCTGTAGATGAGTCTACCTTTTTGATATATAGATCCCGCATATTACGCGGTCGTCTGTGTGTACACATTATCTCTAAAAAAAACTTAGAAAAAGGCTTTTTCTAAGTTCAAACTGATTGCTTGTGTACAATCTAGCAGTGTCAGACTGTCACCAGAGGTAGAGTTGTTGAATCCCGCCAAACCGACACAAAGTGAAAATTCTACAGATCTCAGAAATCTGTTGATGTGGTAGAAAGCTTGTTGTTTAACCGGTTTACAAAAAGACAGTGTAAGTCTCTTTAATTTGGAAATGCCAACACACAAGCCTTTGTCGGGAAATTGGAGACGATATTTCAATTTGTGAGAAAAGCTTGCTGATTGCTTTACTTTGTCGCTCGGTGAGACAGTTTTAGAAGTAGTGGCAGTAGTATTAGCTATATTATCGGTTTGGGAAGTGGTAGTGGTAGTTATAGTAATCGCTTTAAACTCATGTTGCTTCCTAATAACAGCCGCTGCCGAATTGTTTGAAACTTCCTTCAAGGCATTCTCTATGACACCTGCGCTACTGTTAGATCCTTCACTTCCTCCCAATGAACGCAACTGATGGGATTGTAGTTCCGACACTGCTTGCACAGAGTCCACATCAGTTGATAAGGACACGTGTGCTCCTTTGTCACGTTGGATAAGACTTTGGCAAAATAAAAATACGAGAAAAGACAAATAGGTTACGATAAGTATGTATCCAAGTTTTGAACTAAGATTATGGCATCCACGTTCCATATTAGCAACGTCAAATATCACAATCACTGAAAACACAATTTCGTAATGGTTAATGCTATGTAATTTTATTGTTCAAATAAGTGCACCACCTCCGGTGGGGACGGTATAATAAATAATGTACACATAATAATTAATAAATAATACCACATGGAATTGGAGAACAAGCATGTCATCGACAGTGAGTCCCTACTGATATCATGAGAATAACTCTACCATTAATCACGGTCAACAATTTTCTGGATATTCTCTGATGGTTAAAGATCAAACAGCAGATGAGATGTGATCGCTAAATTAAAGTTTAAGTGATATATCAATTTAGTGATGTACTATGATGTCGGTCCGTTAGTAGTGGGCACAGAATTCCATCGTCCATCAGTCAATTTCTGCATTTACCATTAAACTGCTTTCTTTGATCCTTGCTGTGGTTATTGAAGCGCTTCAATGATCATTATAATGGGTTAAAAATACCAATATCAAAAATAACGATATTTGACTAATTTATGGGCCAAAATCGATCAAATTAGGTGCGTATGCCCAAATATGGGCATATAGTTTTTAGCTGATAACTCCGTTATTTTTTGTCCAATCTTGATGACATTTCATATACGAGTTCAGGGGACTACTAGCTACAAGTAGAGCACCTTAAATCTGGGTTTTACGCATGTTCAGGGTATTTGGCTAAATTAGGCCTAATTTGGACCAAATATGGGCGTGGCTGCCCCGCGGGCACCGTTTGGCGGTTGGGGTCCGGGACCCCCTCAAAAGTTCGGTCACCGGCGCGGTTCTAGTTTGTTGGTCAACTGCTATCTCGAAACCAAGTTTCGCAAAAAAAATCCACCCCCCCCCCCCCCCCCCCCCCTTTAACTTGGGTACAATTATTAGACTGGAATCTGATTTACGTTTAGGTTTTATTCTCTCCTAATCAGTGCACAGGAGTGGCTTCCTGGGGTTACACCTCAGACTCCAGCTCTGGGACTAATCACATAGAATATAAATAAAGCACGGAGTGATAGAATTATCCTTGAAATGGGGCTTCTGATGGAGCACTGTGTGTCGTGTATGTGCCATTGTCCAGGTTCAATGGCTTCACATGTTATGAAGTATAAACTATGTACCAAAGTAACAATGGTTTTAAAAATACATCTTACTATATATATTATATAAAGCGAGACGATAGTTTTCCGTGCCATTTTACTGACACCACGGCATCAACTTTAACGCGACTTTCCGCAAAAACCGTAAAAGATATACAACAGCGATCGCGTCTGTATTCTGTAACTAAACAAAGTTATACAATAATAGTTAATAGTACTATGTACAGTATGCACTGAAGGGGTATCCTAGGAAGTTTCTTGCACTTTTAACAGGTACCCTTCCTCATTTAACTGGGGTTCGAAAACTGGACCTTCTGCGCAGAAGGCGGATGCTCTAACCACTAGGCCACCTAGCCCCTAAGGCTATAGCTATTATAGCTATTTTTTTGTTAAATTACTACCAAATCCAAATATAGCCAAATTGGTAAGATTTGTTTAAAAGCTGAAGCGTTTGAAGGGGGTCTAGCCTTTGCATATTTTTGTCCATTGTGAGAAAATACTACAATATAATCAAGGTACGATGTTGGATACCTGAGTTCTATATCTTTCGATAGCAACTCCATCTATGTATCTGCTTAGCTTCCATCACTGATCCTGGTACTTGAGATTCCAGGTGTGGCTTTAAACAATGTTTTAAGGGCCCAACACTCAGCTCACTCAGTTGATGGTAGAACAGTGGGTCTTTTTGCGATGTTGTAGCAGGGACTCCACTTCTTGTTTTCTCTTGCTAACCAGATTGCATAGGAACATCTGAGAGCAACCAAAGCCGCCTCTTGGAACACTGCTTTCTTTACTCTCTTTGTAACACCAAAGTAGTTTAGTAGGGCTGGTAAGGTATGATGCCAGAAGCCTCTACACCCAACCTCTACCGTAAAAAGCTGAGCTTTCCACCCACTGCCATGCAGCCCAGGAATAAGCTCTCTGTTGTAACGTGCTTGTTTACGTTCTACTTGGTCACTAAAGTTACTCTCGTCACCAACTGTCAACTCTACTAATATGACCACCTTTCCTTTATCAGACCAGACTACAATATCGGGACGTTCTGCAGTTCCGTAGATGTGCTGGGGGAACTGTGCTGGGAGGTCATCTTCGTCCCAGATAATCTGCCAATCTTGGTCTTTCTCAAAAGGGCTCTCTCTTTTCATCTTCGTCTTCGGTTTTTGGTAACAGCTGCTAGATGACTTAAAGCCTGTCCAGTCCTGAACTTCAAGTTTAAAATCTGTGTTGTTGAACTTCTCGATTTGATCCAGTAGGGATTTCGCAATGACCCGCAGCACGTTGTCATGCCTCCAATTCTATCGTTTGTTGTTCAGCGAGAAGTTGCAAGCTACCAAAATGTGCTTAATGTTGCAGTGTCTCCATCCGCAAAGTGGACAGTGTCCTGTGTCAGCATAGTTCCACAGGCTCATGTTTGCTGGAGTATTTGCAACGTCATGGGTTGCATTGAGGTGGAACTTAAGAAGAGCAGGGCTCATCTTGTAGTTGTAAATAAGGTTGTTCCAACCTAGGTCTAGCTGCATGATGTTTTCCCATGTTAAGAATTGTCCTTGAACTCCCTTGTCTACCAGTGTCAACAGGATATCCTGCTCTGAGATGTGGGATACCAGTTCTTTCAGTTTTTCCTTTTCACTGGCTACACTCCGCTTGGATCCCAAGCCCATCCTGCCTTGCACTGTTACCCCTACTAACTCTCTGAAGTAGAGATCTCTTTCTCTAGCACTCAGCTCCTTAGTGTAACCCCACCGACTGCTCCCTTCTTGTTTCTTGGCCCTGTGCTCGTAGACCTCCTTAACTTTAGGATCCTTGCTGTTCTTTAGAGAGTAACCTTTGGACACCTGAAGGAACTTGTATAAGTCCGATAGTCTTTTAAGATTCAATCCAAAGCAATCCTTATTTCTGTAAAGCACACTGACAGTAATTGTCTTTGTTACACCTAGCCATTTCTTCAGATACTTCGTACATATTGCTTCAAGATCTTTGACAAAACTAACCGGGAGATTGTAGATCATCAGGTCCCAGGAGAGCTTGCTGGTTAGGAGGTTGTTGTAAATCCAGCATTTCATCACTCCATTAAGGCCTGATCCGTCCACTGCCTGAAACAGTGTAATCAGTTTGTCTTCTATCAGCTTCTTGGTATCTTTGAGGCCCAGATCCACATATATCCAATGGCCAAGAAACTTCATCGGTGTATTTCCAATAAACTGGATTTGAGCTCCATCTATGAAAATTTCAGGGTCATAGGACACATACCTTCCATCTATAACCTTCATCCCCAGGGATACGCATTTACTCGGCTTGGCTTTCATTTTCCTTGACCAAGTAAGAAATCTTTCCATCACATCTATTAGCTTCTTCATCTTTTCCAGCCTGGGAGACATCAGAGTTAGGTCGTCAGCAAAAGCACGACTTGACGTGCTGCTAGAACTAAAAGACGGCTTGTAAACCAAGTCGCTTTGATTTTTCAGGAGATCCAATAGTAGGTTGAAAACTATTAAGAACAGTACAACCAATAGAGGGTCGCCCTGAAAAAGACCTAACATATAAAAGAACCAGTTTGTTTTCCAGTCCTTTGTCACCACTCTCACAATCAGCTCATCATAGTACTTAAACATATATTCTATGAGCCAGTTTGGGAACTTATAATGTCTTAGAGCATATATTATCAAGTTGTGGGGAACCCGGCCGTAGGCGTTCATTAGGTCCACCCAAACTGCAAAGATCTGTCGTCTATTAGATTTGGCATCCTTTAACTCTTCCATCAGAGCCTGAGTATGCTCGAGGCAACCTGGTGTCTTACGCAGGAATCCTTTCTGGATAGACGTGTCTATGTAGCTATTGCTGACCATATACTCTAGCATTCTGTCCGCTAGTAATCCCATCTGCAACTTCCCACTAGTGTTTGTTTTAGTGATGTTTCTGAACTTACTAGGGTCATCTAAATCCTCAGTTTTTGCTATCAGAATGGCTTCACCTACTCGCCATTGCAGCGGGACTCTCTGGCTTTCCCATAGAGAATCCAGCAATTTGAATACTGCTTTCGCCATTCTGGGACATCTCTTCCATAAGACCCAAGTTAAGTGTAGGAAGTTGATGATATACCTTATCGGACCTTATTTGGACGGACATTAAATGAACGGACATAATTATGAACGGACATTAATATGAACGCTAGAAGGCACTCAAAACCATCAAAAATCCGATTTTTTTCCATTTTTTAAGACTTTTTTTTTATTTCAGAAAATGATTTTTAAATCCATTTTTTATACAGTAAGTAAGAAAAGCAGTCGTTAACAGTAAAAATCTTAAAATATGAATTCTTATAGCAAAACTAATAGTTTCGATTAATTGCATCAATTATCACATGCTGTAAAAATCTCTTCGGGTTGCTTTCGGGTGCTGATTGACGTTGTCAACCCTTCCAGATCGTTGCTCTGCTTCGCAGAGCAACAACCTGTGACCGAACGTTTGAGGGGGTTCCGGACTCAAAGTTTTTCTACAAGTAAAAACTACTTTTCTCCGTGTTTTAAGCTATTTCGATCATTTTGAGCCAATTACAAAATTTTACATTTTTTCTAATTAGCTAATTGATAATTATCCAATTAACTAATTGTCTGACGTAAAAAGTGTCTTTACAACAGTTTTTCCTCCTGATAAGATGAACACCCTCGATTAATCTGCAAGCTTTTGCGATGATCAAAACTAAGGATATTCGACAAACAAGAAAGGTGGTAAAAAGTGGTAAAAGTGGCAAAAAGTGGGCGTAAGACACGTGGAAAAGTTTGGAAAAGTTGGTCAGCCATAAAGGGCACCCAATGGGACTCAAAAACGTCAAAAATCCTTCGAAAGCTTCTTGTGTCGGTCGATCGATTTTTTCAGTACTACGATCTGTCTGTACTATACTGTCCGTGATCTAGCTCGTGATGTTAAACGTGACCTTTCCTAAATCTTGACCAGATTCATGATCTTGTAATACTACAGAATACTACAGAATTCTGTAAAGAGTGATCACCGTAAAATTTACATCACGAACATCACGAACTAGATCACGGACTGTATGGTTATGCAATATTCAAATATATATTCAGATATATTCAGCTACATAACATTATCGTGGAGCTTTAGTTTAAAGACTGTAGTTTAATTGTTTCCAAGATTAGGTTTAGAAGTTTATTATAATAGTAATAAATGTATGTATATATGTATTATCTTTTATTTGCAACTAATTATCGGCAAAATATCAAAATAACATTTTAAACTTTGAACGAATTTGACTACCCTCTCCGCCATTTCCCTATTTTCTGTGATCAAGGCTTGTTTTTTTCATTGGGTCTTTCTATTCTCTAATTAGCTAGCTTTAAGTATGATGCTCCATGAACAGAGCTAACATTTTTCCAATTAATTCTTATCTGAAATATCGTATCGGAGATAATACACCTCGAATTTACATTCATATCATTTTCTAGTGACCATCATCAAATACCAACATATTTACACGTACGCGTACGGTTGTTGACTTTCCAGTAAAATGAAGCAGCAAAATGTACCAGAGTTTAAAGATGATATGAAGATGGAAGAAGATTGCATCCTACCAGAATTGATAAAGACAGATATCAAGAAAGAGGGCCTGGAAGATTACATCGTACCAGAATTGATAAAGACAGATATCAAGAAAGAGGGCCTGGAAGATTACATCGTACCAGAATTGATGAAGACAGATATCAAGAAAGAGGAAGATAATCTTGTTATTAAATCAGAAAGGTATTCGAATCCTACTTCTCAGATGCATTGTCCCATCCAAGAATCAGCATTACCTTGTCAACAGTTGGTTCATACTGATGAAAAGACTTACAAGACTGAATGTTCGTACAGTGCAAGCAAAACAACAGCTTTAGTTCTACATCAACAGATTCATACTGGTGAAAAAACTTATAAATGCTCTGAATGTTCCTACAGTGCAAGCCGAAAGAGAGCTTTAGTTTTACATCGTCGGACTCATACTGGCGAAAAAATGTACAGCTGCTCTGAATGTTCCTACAGTTCAAGCCAAAAATCAGCTTTAGTTTCACATCGACGGACTCATACTGGTGAAAAGCCATATAAATGCTCTGAATGTTCCTACAGCGCAAGCGTAAAACCAAATTTAGTTCGCCATCAGCTGATTCACACTGGTGAAAAACCTTACAAATGCTCTGAATGTTCCTACAGCTCAAGCCAAAAATCAGCTTTAGTTTCACATCGACGGACTCATACTGGTGAAAAACCATATAGTTGCTCTGAATGTTCCTACAGTTCAAGCCAAAAATCAGTTTTAGTTTCACATCGACGGACTCATACTGGTGAAAAACCATATAAATGCTCTGAATGTTCCTACAGTGCAAGCAACAGATCAAATTTAGTTTGCCATCGGCGGACTCATACTGGCGAAAAGCCATATAAATGCTCTAAATGTTCCAACAGTGCAAACCTAAAACCAAATGACAGTAAAAATACATATCGATCTTCTGAATGTTCTTATGATGGTTGTCATAAGTCAACTTTGGCTTTTCCAAAGCGGAACTATACCGGAGAAAACTCACACACTTTTCATGAAAAACAAAACGATAGTGTTGAAGGACCCCTTTTTGTTAAACCTATACCTTTCGTGAAGCCTCTAACATCTTTAGCTGAGTCAGCTGACTCCCTACTCTCCAGTTCCAGCTTACTTCCCGGTTCCTTCTCCAGTTACCAACCAACATCTCACTTGTCTCCCCCAGCAATAAGTGGAACAACAAATTTCTCAACAGTTAATACCACAAAAGCCGCCAAGGGGGTGGGTGGATCTTTTGACAAAATTCCAAAATGACATTTACTCTTAGTCGACGTCGAGTAGAGAACTTGGTACTTGATCCCCCCTCCCGGAGTTATAGGAAGTTAAATTCAATCTTCACTAGTCAAGTCACGGCTGTTGTACTTGGAAATCACGTTAAATTAGTTTGGCTTTTTGTTTACCCTCACCGGTGATGTTTTATAATTTTGCTTACAGACTATCGTGATTGCTTGATAATTTTGTTGCAGGCTGATGCAAATTTCGACTGAGCGAGTTCATATACTTTTGCATTTTCCCGAATTTTAGGTATTTTAAGTTGGGGAATGGGGGAAAAACGTGGGAAGGCGACACAATGCACATAGGTATGTTTGGTCACTGATATCACACCTGACACCATGCAACAGGTGCGAAGTAAAGCTCAAAAGTCAAAACCGTTACCGTGGAGCTTTAGTTTGGAGAGTTCTAGTTTTAGGGAGCATCCACATATCAGTATTACTATTACGTCAGCAAGTTTTTGGCCATTGTTTGTTGTTACCCAATCCGTCAATCCGTGTTAGCAACTGTTTTCACATAGCCAATGATAGTTCGTCTGGTGCGTCGAAGTCCTCCAAGGCCCATATCAGTTAAATCTTTCCAATTAATTTTAATCTGAAATGTCGATTCGAAGAGAGGATATCTCGAATTTATATTCATACTAGAAAGCCCGTGGTAACAGGGACGAAGCTAGTAGTATTCTTTGAAAGAAGGTTTTAATCGCATCAAAAAAGATCCATCCCGACCGAAGATACAGTCAATTTAAATATAAAACACTTTAAACACAACGTAATTACCACAAAACCGATCAAAATGACATTAAAACAATCTTTGCACGTGCATGTGTGCATTAAAACACCGTTGCTATGGAACCTTTTGGTTGTTACCTAAATTCCTATTTCTCATCTAATTTGCACGTGGGCGGTCGTACAGACAGACAGACAGCAGAAATAATTCTTTGAATTATAGTAGAGATTATTGTTTAGCGATGATCATCAAATGCTAACATCTCTACACGTAGGGTAATTTACTTTCCGAAAAATGGAACAGCGAAATGCACCAGAGTTTAAAGATGATATGAAAATGGAAGAAGATTGTGTCCTACCAGAGTTGATAAAGACAGAGATCAAGAAAGAGGGCCTGGAAGATTGCAACTTACCAGAATTGATAAAGACAGAGATCAAGAAAGAGGGCCTGGAAGATTGCAACTTACCAGAATTGATAAAGTCAGAGATCAAGAAAGAGGAAGATAATCTTGTTATTAAAACAGAAAGGTATTCGAATCCTACTTCTCAGATGCATTGTCCCATCCAAGAATCAGCATTACCTTGTCAATTACAGCTGATTCATACTGATGAGAAGTCTTACAAATGCTCTGAATGTTCGTACAGTGCAAGCCGAAAACACAATTTAGTTCGTCATAAGCTGATTCACACTGGTGAAAAGCCTTACAAATGCTCTGAATGTTCCTACAGTGCAAGCCAAAAGAGAGCTTTAGTTTTACATCGACGGACTCATACTGGTGAAAAGCCATATAAATGCTCTGAATGTTCATACAGTACAAGCGTACAACCGAATTTAGTTCGCCATCAGCTGATTCACACTGGTGAAAAACCTTACAAATGCTCTGAATGTTCCTACAGTGCAAGCGTAAAACCCAATTTAGTTCGTCATCAGCTGATTCACACTGGTGAAAAACCTTACAAATGCTCTGAATGTTCCTACAGTGCAAACCAAAAGATAGCATTAGTTTTACATCGGCGGACTCATACTGGCGAAAAACCGTATAAATGCTCCGAATGTTCCTACAGTTCAAGCCAAAAGATAGCATTAGTTTTACATCGGCGGACTCATACTGGCGAAAAACCGTATAAATGCTCCGAATGTTCCTACAGTTCAAGCCAAAAACAAAATTTAGCTCGTCATCAGCAACTCATACCAGTGAAAATCAAAAGCCTTACAAATGCTCTGAATGTTCCTACAGTTCAAGCCAAAAATCAGTTTTAGTTTCACATCGACGGACTCATACTGGTGAAAACCGGTGACCGACAACGAGGAACCTCTCATTTCGGCCTCCCACAGGTATCACATCACATGGCCCAATCAGTGACGTATCATTTGTGATGTGATCCATATTATAACCATCCTAACAGCCGGACAACCAAGAACCTGGGTAGGGTTCACATGACAGTTTAGTAAGTAGCTGTGTATTATGAAGTATATTAAGAAGTGTTAGACGTTGGAGGATCCGGAGTTTCCCCGAACATGGTCGAGGGTTTTCATCGTGGATTTAAATCCAGGGTGAATCGACCCAAGCCGACCGTGCAAGAGTACTTCCGTGCTATTAGGGAGCAGCAGGTGATCACTGATTACCATATCGATCGACTGGGTGTTGGAAAAACCCCTTCTAAGAAAAGGATTAGAAGGAAAACTTCCAATGACCAGTTGTTTCAGATCTGTTCCAAATACTCGGATTGCTCTAGCAAGGTTGACTATCTGTTTGAGATTGCCAAATACTTTTGATTGATTTTGAGTAATGTATTCTGTATGTAATTATTATGTTGGGTTTGAACTATCATTATCTTGAAAAAATCTTTGTCTTAATTAATGAGTGCAGAAATATATACAGCACAGCTGTGAAATCGGTGGACACCTGAATGTTTAAAGTATCTCCAGAGGTTCCTAGTTGTCGGGGATATGTCATGATTGGTTCCTAGTTGTCGGAGCTGATTGGATTTCCCAAGCTTGCATGTTAATTAGTTAACTAGGTAAAATTGAAAGGTTCCTAGTTGTCCGTCAGCCGTGAAAACCCATATAAATGCTCTGAATGTTCCTACACTGCAAGCGACAGATCAAATTTAGTTTTGCCATCGGCGGACTCATACTGGTGAAAAACCATATAAATGCTCTAAAAGTAAATGTTCCAACAGTGCAAGCCTTAAACCAAATGACAGTAAAAATACATATCGATCTTCTGAATGTTCTTTTATTGGTTTTCATAAGTCAATCTTATAGCTGCAGGAACTGGACGAAGTTTTTAACTCAAATCAAATTTAATGATCAAAGCCAAAAGCTGATGTAAAAGGTTTTGTAAAAGGTTTTGTAAAGTGAAATTAGTTTCTTATTTTCATAGTTAATATTCGGGTTTTATCAAGTTTTCGAGCAACTATTACATGTAAGACCTAACCTTCATTTGGATATTTAAAAGACAAATTAAATACACACAAGGGTTTACGGTAAGGTAAATCGGGGTTTACTGTAGAATCAGTAAAACCGCAATTTACCTTACCGTTAATCCCGGTTTACCGTACAGCCCATACTCATAGGGAGTTTAAGCAGACTGAAACTATTAATATTATATCGTTAAATTCGCTGATAATGATGATACTCATACATTGTACACTGTGTTCATACTTCAATTTAAAGCCGCATACAGTCCAGTGTGTTGATAAGAACACAACTGATACGAAAGCGAGTGAATTTGTAACGTTACTAGAATAGACTGTGCATGCAACTGTCGGAAAATCTATATATTCGAGAGTAGGTTGAACAATTAATACCAGATTATACGAGTAAGTTCTTTATTTCAAAGTTAAAGTCATAAAAGAAGCACAAGAATCGCATAAATATACTTGATTATCTAATCGATTGTGATAATTTTCTTGCTTGAATCATTTAAGTGGGTGGGTTGTCAAATAATTTAACGTTCTATTCGTTGTCGTGAGCTTTTAAAACCAATACTTATAAATGTAAAACTAAAAGAGTACGAAGTTCAAGATTAAATGTAAATTTTAATATATTGACAGCACTGCAGTGCCCCAAGCGGCACGAGGTGTTTGTCTGTGTGGTCCCGATAAGCGAAGCGAGCAGGATCTACACTTTATATTAAGTTAAACAGATGGATTGCATGTAGTTCATGACCATGTTTAACTATATGGCCACTAATTGTTTTTGCGCGTGTCACGTGATCATGAAAACCCGCTCCCTTATTTATATATAATAGACGGTTAACGGAAACCATTTATTTAAGTCGAAGTGTAGACTGTAGAGTGTAGAGTGTTGACGATGTCAATCCTTCGCAGTTGATCGGCCCAGTGGTGCGTCGCGCCGGGACTTTACAAAGACAGAGTCAGACACCTTGTGCCCCGGGGCTCGATTTTCCCCATTTATTCAATGACAAATCCTATTTAATTAATTGTCCTAGAATAATAAAATTCCGACGAAACTTCTCGTATACGTAACTATTTTCAAATATTTGTAGTTGTACATTTCAGGATTATTCATCCTGTTTCCCAGTGTGATTCAGAGTATTCCAGTAGCAGTTTTGTTGGGTGTCTTCCTCTTCCTAGGCTTCCTCTCCTTATCAGGTTAGATACACATTCAACATTAACATGTAGTAAACTGCAGGGCCAAAAATCCGGATTGTTTGAGAAAATATGAATATCCTTACAAGAAATAATAGGTAAAATGCTGCCGAATAAACTTAACTTTGAAATTTTTCAATCGATAATTTTCAAATCGTATTATTATTAATGAAAGAATCGTCCTTTAGGGCTGCAGTTTGTGAAAAGGTTCAAGATGCTATTCATGAGTGCCAAATATTTCCCCGACTACAGCTTCACTAGCAAGGTTTGATCTTGTACCTCAAAAGTTAGTTTTTTACTATATCGATTGTTCTAACTCGGTTACCTACCGGTGGGATGTAATATTATTATCCATATTATTATGGATCCGTGAGCAAATCATTGAAATTGATTTGTTTAATGAAGTTGAATATTTTGAACAAGTTTCAAGGAAATTAACAGAAATCATGTCACGTGTAAAATCTATTTTCAGGTGAGGACTGCTAAGATCCACACGTTCACAGTTCTACAATTAATTCTCTCTGCACTTATGTTCGGGATTAAGCTGTCGCCGGGTTCTTTTTGTGAGTATACAACTTGAGAAAATAAGTTTTTTGTTGATTGTACAGTAATTTTTTAATTAAGTAATACCGGCCATATAGCTGTGATAATGTTGTCACTTCGAAATGAACTGAGCTGTTCAAATTGTTGAATAAAAAATCTTTCTTGCATTGCAACAGTGTTTTTAATATATATAATATGTTAATATGTTATATATATAATATGTTATATCTGCTGCAGTGTTCCCCATATGTGTTATCGGTTTAGCCCTGATAAGACGCTACGCAATGAAATCTATCTTCTCAGAAGAGGAAATCGAGGAGGTAAATGTCATTAAGATTAAATTCTTGACTAACAAGTTATATTCTGCACTTATGAACACAATCACATAACTTGCAGTGCACCACCTTATCTCACTTTCACTTATTGTTTGGTAATTCCGGAGTGAAATTTTGCCACTCTTGTACTATTTGAAGCACAAGGAAATATTTTCAGTTAGACCCAGAGGAATCCGGAAGTGAGCTAGATGAGTCGGACCACGAGTAATTCATAGCGGGACAGTTCTAATTGTAGGAGCTTTTAATAAAGTTTATCTGAAATCTTAATCAGAATACTGAATAGAGAATTAATACATGATTCATGGATATGCAATTTGCATCAAATTGATAAAGTTAGGGCTACAAAGTTTGGGTTACAAAGTTCATTTGAATTACTTGATCCTTTGATTTTAATATATTTTGATCGGTTTGGGTCAGCCAATTAATTTATGTCGATATTTTCAGTACCCTGTACAATGACGTCGGTTCATGACTGAAAGTTTTTAGAACTATGTTTTATTTTAACAAGAGCTTATGAATTTTTGAAAATCCAAAATTACGTTTACGGTAACATTGACTAAGATTATTCCGCAACAATTCGGGTTGAACAACTTGTAGTTGGACCCCCCCCCAACAACTTGTGATTTGACAATGTGAAAGTCGCAAAATGGTAGACGGTAATGGAGTATAAAATTCTCGTCACTGTATTAGCACAATAATGAGTCAAATAATCAATCACTCGTATTACTAAAATACAATTACATATAAGCGGGAACACTGAGATACAGTCACGTAGTCAAGTGTTTTTTGCACTGAGTCACGTGTTTTTGGCAGATATTCGAGAGCACGTGTCTGATAGTCCTATTCCCTCGTCCTCCGGTATCTCCTCCTCGTTTATCACAGCTCTTATCGTACTCAGGGTTCCTGTAAAGTTTGAACTATAAATACAACACTATAAGTATAACAGATGGAAAAATGCTTGATAGGACGTTACATGTAACATGTTCTTTGTGATGTTATAAAGTTGATAGTACGGCTAGTTACAATTAACACCTGCAGTACTCCAATGATCGTTCTGCCGAGAAATAGCACTTACCCACTAGAATCTCTCCACCTGAAGGCACACAAACTGGCTCTGAATCCTCCTCTTTGGGGAGCTGGAGATACACGTGGCATGACGGTGACATTGGTTTCAGGAGCCAGCCTTCAGCGGTTTTAGTTAATTTTAGGTGCTGTTTCAAGATCTCTATACCCGGCACCTGAAATAGTTAAAATGTGTGTTTAGTTGTAGATTATTTGTTAAAAGATGCAATCGCACTCATCGCAGTCCTCAATTAGCTTTTGCGAAGACACGGCAGTTTCATGGCCCTTTTCGTTCGGTATATACCAACGGTTCAGAATTCATTTGATTACCCAAATTGGCAAAGAGTTTACCTGTATCTTAAAGTTGGACCCCTCCCCGGAGCCGATAGTGACGCTAGAGTTGAAGAGCACTTCTTCCTTTACACTCGGACTAAGTACCTTCATCACCAGCCCTTCGTCTTCTTCAGGAGCGTAGCTGTGGGGGGATACATAGATGTATAGATAGAGTTTGTAACAAGAGTGGGATACAGGGTGTCTCTAAATAATCTTGCAAGGGCCAACTCCAAGGATTCTAGTCTTGCAAGGATGTACTTTTTGAGTAACTTTTTATCCATTTGTTTAAACTTGATTCTGTAAACATTTATTGGTACTCGGTAGTTCTAAGGTTTAATGGCGTTTTTGTACGTTGCCATGGCCCAGGACCTTGTACCTATCTGATATCACGACTCACGTGAAGACTGAAGATAGAGAACTGAAGTGTGCCATACCTGATTCTTATTTTAGCCATGCACTGAGAGGCATTCCTTCTGGAAGCAATACTGATCCACTCTTTTCCTAGCAACAGAGTTGAAGTACCTAGCGATGGAGTGGGTTTAACATTTTTAACATTTGCATTACTTTCATCATTTGCGAAATTCGGCTATAACTTCAGCTAACATATTTACAATTTCCTGAAATTCTATTAAAACTAACCTCTGGGCATATAGATGGGAGCAATAACAGATACGAAAGTAAGAGGATGACCCATACTCTTCACACTGACACACAGGCCACATTCGTCAGAGTAATCTGTTGATATTACACAGTGCCCGTTCTCTGACCCCTCTCTCAGCCCCTTGATACCTGGTCGAGTCCGAGACGATCAGTTAGATAGTTAAATAATTAATTAGATAATTATTTTATGTTTTTTAAGAACAAGCATATTGGCTTTTTAAAAAAAAAGCTCCAAGATATAGTAAAATTGGCATCAGAGACATCAGTAATAATATTTGCTATAATACCACTACCCCCCCCCCCCCCGGCCCCCCAACTAACCTTTGTCTCCTCTGAAGAGGACACTGTTCTCACTCCTACAGACTATAAAACTGTCCTGATCTGACATGCTCACCTCAAACGTCTGGCTCTTCCCTGCACACAGTAGATAGTGTTAAAAAAAGTCGAAATTCGGGATCATGGCAGTAATAACTTTATTTTTAGCATGAAGAATGAAGATGCTTTGCCTGCATTTAGACTTTAGAGTGTGGCAACCCTTCAAGCTTCAAGGGAATGATGCCAGGGAAATCTATGTTTTTACGTGAATGTCACGCCAACGTCAAACGATTCATAGTAATTGTTTGATTATGATCTATCTTTTGCACGTCCAGTATCTATACTCTAAAATGTAAATCATCACTCGGCAGCGTTTGAAATAGCTATCTAATAATTGTGGCTAGTTCTTGAGATGGTGGTTATTACTAAGTTAGCATGCTGTTTGAGAATTCTGGTCAGTAGTCACAGCTCACAGCACTATATTCCGTTTGAAGCGAAATTTTGTATCAGAGAAAATTGAACTGGGGAAGTGAGTTATTGAGTCAATTTGTGTCTATCAGTTGAACATGTCTTGTCTCCAAAAACAAATCGTGTTAACATACATAAGAACACATACCTGACTGATGTTTGGAAGTGCACTGTAGCGTCGCTGCACATTTATACCATCTACTTACTGACGTCTTTAATCCTGTAATAGTAATACTGACGTCATGAGTCCTTATAAGGACATGAGCCCTTAGGGTCTGAAGTCCGCATGAATATGCGGTCAATAATCGAGCATCAATAAAGTAGAAAGATAAGCTGATAAAATCTACTACATTTACGTATGATAACCCATTGAGTTACATCGCGATTCATTTCATAGAATACCTGAACCATTTTACAATTTACGTATTCAATTTTGATACAACCTGATCCTTGAAAAAATTGTAACCAAATTTTGAGCAACATTAAGATCCACACTCACGGTTATGTATGATACTAGTGATCTGCTTGATGTATTCGCCGACTCCCCCGATGAAACTGAACTGAGCCACACTCTCCAGCCCAGGGCAGGTGTCTGATAGGTATTTGGGAGTAACTCCGTTTAGGATGGGTATGATGTTCTTCAGAGAGGCTCCGGGGTTTATTTCTTGATCCTGGTGTGGGACGGTGGAGAATTAATTGTAGTTTTGGAGGGATCCCGGTCATTCTATAAATAGTTTGTTATTCATCCAGATCTACTTCTGTTTTCAAAATGATATTATTATTGGAATATTGTACAATTATGGGGGGGGGGGGGGGGGGGGGGGGGGTGTAACCCAAAAAAACCCAACTCCTACCCAAGAAAAGGTAATACTGGGATTGGGTTTTTTTTGGGTTTTTTAAACAAAATTTAAACAAAATTCTAGCCATTTCATTAATTGTATTGAATGTGAATTATTTCCCACTGAGTCTTACCTACGTGTTGTTCTCATGTCTTAACTTAATAGATAGTTTACATAGTATATGAGTGTGTTTATATTGATAGTATGTTATCACGATAGCAAACAGGATGTCTCGATCATCGAGATATAATCCATATGAATGCACAAAGTGGAAATGTGCCAAATGTGGCAAATGTGTTCTCCTGTCCATGTCATGGAAGGAGGCTATGACGAAGGTCAAGGGCAAGTCAAAGCACATGACTTAAATTACTTGACTTAAGGCGGCTTCAGAGTCCGAGTCTCAATGATGTGTCTCCAAAGCTTTCTGTCCGCCATAAGCTCCTTAATCTCCCCAGTGTTCTTGAGTACGGTGTCACTTATTAGGTTATCGACGAAAGTGAGCGGTGGTCTGCCCCTCCCTCTGGTCCCATGGCTAGGTTCCCGAAGGAGAAGTTGGTGTACTGCCAGGTCATCATATCGCTGGATCTCTGCCCAGCCGACCTCATTCTTCTGGCCTGTATCTTCGAACTAACTCTTGGGAGTGATTTAAAGACCTATTTGTTGGTGCGATGTTCTCTCCAGTCCACGTTTAGGGCCATCCAAAGCATTTTACTGTAACATCCGTCTATTCTTTTCAAAGATTCTGTCATTGTCCACGTTTCCGTTCCATACAGGAAGATTGATTCAACTGTAGCCTTGAAACAGACGGATCTTTAAATCTCGGCGCAAATTGGACCTCCATATAGCCTTCATTTTGTTGTAGGCAGCCCATGCCTTGGCCTTGCGTACCCTAAAGTCGTGCTCTGTTGTACTTATCCAGGCTCCTGGGTAGAAAAAATCCTCAACTTCCTCTAAGGCATGTCCGTCCTTAGAAGTTATTGTGTGTGGCTCCTCTTCTACTAAATTAACAGTAAGATGCTTGGTTTTAGACAAAAGAGATTTTCTGCCTCCTCATCAGATGAGGCTTCTGTAGGACTGTAGCATGTGATGACAGTGAGCCTGCGCTTTCCATTGAAAGACATGGTGCAAGGATCCTTGCGCTGTAAGATTTTATAAGACTTAAATAGCCTCATATGCTGTCCTCGTCAAGATGATTCCTACTCTCCCATTAGAAGCGCCAGCTGCGTTTCTCCACGCAGATGAGGTCACTAGATGAATCCCTTTGTTCATCTTTTCTATCCTGGTAGGCTCAGAATGCACTACATGATGTTCTTGCAGGCCAAGGATGTGCAGTTTGATTCGAGAAAATAGTTCTGCAAGTTCGATGCGTTTGTGCTGTTCTCTGGCTGTTCTTATGTTAAATGTGCTAACCTTAGCAGTCCTTTTACATGATACAATACAATTGATGTTCATATTTTTTTGATGTTTTCTTGTTTGACTTTCTGTAGAAGTAGGTTGTCGTGTTGTGGAGACCGAGTTATCAGCTTCTGTAATAGCAGCGTAATTACCCCGGCAACCACTTCCACTAGAAAAATAAGGGGCTTTAACCCTTAAGCTGTTGATAAGATTCATCTTGACTTTTCAGTTGGCTCACAATCCTGTGCAGTCCCCTGCACATTGGCAGTGGATTGTGTTCTTAACTCTTGCGCCACTAAAAGAGTAAAAGGTTAAGGCAATCCGCTTGAACAAAAGCCATCTTTAACTCTCACCATAATATCTTGGGTATCTTGAGCATGTAATTGCACGAACATATGCTATACAAGACAAATGTGACACTTCCTTTTTCTACCAAACAGCATCAGTTGTAATCCTTACCCAATCGTCACCTGCTCCAGTGTGGGACTTTCCGATTTTATCCCAAAGCATAAGGAGGTTAGAGTGAGAACAGAGCTACACTTTAGCGGGGACTAACCCTTCCCCTGACTACCTCGTTACCCGGTACCCCGGGCATAGGGAGCCGTATCCTGACTACCAGAGTGTGGTCCAGTCTAGCTGGGTCATAGTAGACTAGGTTAAACAGGGTAACAGCCAACACCTCTTTAGCTACTGTGCAATCCACAGTAAAGATTTACGAGTCTCAAAGCCTCTTGTAGACCAAGAGTTAAGGAGTCAATAGATCAAATTATTGAACTTCCGGGGCTCAATGTCTCCCGTCGACCGTCCTGCCTTTAGCCTGGACCCCCTGTCCAGTATCCAGTCTTCACCACGTGGAGGTAGTGGCTTTCATCATGCTGTCCGATGAGTGTCTGGAAGAGGGCACCAGCAGGATACCCCTTTTCAAAGTTCTGGGAGCCTCACATCAGACCAGGGCTTCCACCCAGCTTCTATCCAGCGGTGACGCCTTGGGCCACCTAAGCTTCACACAACCATTGAAAGACCACCTGCCTACTTGTAAAAATTTTGATGATGCGATAAGAACACTGTAACTTTGAAGGAGAGTCTTTCCAACCATCTTCTGACGGAGCAGAGAGTGACGAAGCGGAAACAGATGATGAAGAAGAGGAAGTGGAGGATATTGACTCATCAGAGGAATGGGCGAAAATAGTAACTGTGTATGGTGATGCTCTGCATCATGATACGGCTGTTGAGGTTTGCCTCAATGGAGGGCGAGATCGAATGCCATCCCAGTCAAGATTTTAGCGACTCCAGGGCCATAAACAAGCGAAGATATCACTTAATATCACATGTGATCACGCAGCTGATGGTAACTGCAAGATTCTTTCAGTTGGAGATAGAGCATGGTTTCTCGTTAAGCGGATGATCAGGAAAACGGAAACAGAGATCGTGAAGGTGAGAAGAAAGGCTTTATTCCTCTCGTACCGGTTGCGGTCAGGGTTGGGGTCATCAGTGAGTTGCGTCCCTACTAACTCAATTTGCCATGGCCATCGAAGTGAGCATTACATATGACTGATATCATATCTGGATGGCCAACTTCTTCTGAGCACATCAGTGAATAAAATACTGCTTTTAGGTGATATTTAAGCGATTATATCTATTGTGATGTTGTAGTGATAAACAACAACAGTGATGTTGTACTGATAATTGTTTTGCTAGGTGCCTACATGATTTTATTTCCTTCAAATGAAAAATTTGTAAAAAACCCAAAAAAACCCAACTCCTACCCTGAAAAAGGTCATACTGGGATTGGGTTTTTTTGGGTTACACCCCCCCCCAATTATCAACTTTCGTGGTTTTCGAAACAGCTGTGTGGATGGATGACGTCCATAATAAGTTAAATTACTGTCCAAGTATTTACCAATCAATAGTAATACCACTGAGTAATTTGAAGACCACACAAACCAGTAAAATGTTGAGCTCTGCCGTCAGATCCTGCTGGATGTACGACTTGCTAAGTATCGGTACACAGTATCTGCATCTCAGCGGTTCTTCCGTCCAGATCTCCTTGAAGTCCCCAGATAGAATCGTTACTCCCTCTTCTTTTAGTAGCTGTATTTAGTGAATTTATGGTTTAAATCTTTCAAACTGGAGCAACCCTATTATCTGTCTTACAACTAATTGACGAGAAGTTTTAGTTAGATTGTCAGCCCACCATACAACATGTTGATTTAAAACATCACAAATCTACAAAAAGGTCTAGCAATCAAGGCTACCAGGGATGTTTGAATTTCGTGATATTTACATCAAGATCTGTCCAACAATCTCACCTGGATAAGGTACTCCGCAAACTTCCTGTCGGCATCAGTGTAGTGAAGGTAAAGATCGTAATCATGCTCTTCAGTGATACCCACAGTTTTGTACTGGTTCCTTGGTACCAGGAGTATTTCTCCTGTCTTACGGAATGTTTCCATAGTATGCGCGTAGGCTGACTGCTTCCACTCACTTTTGTAGAATCTTTTAAGAGGTAGAGGTAAGGGTAAGAATCAATATTATGATTAGATATACTCGTATAGAATTGGAACCCGATAAATACAGTCGCAGTAATTTGTAGCTTTATAAATTTGATAGGAATTGATATCAACGTGTATATTCATACGTAAAGAAGCATTTTTAAAGATATTTTCCGATATCCGTCACAACTACAAGAGATGATGTATCTAAAAGCATTTTAATTATGAAACAATTTATTGATGTCTAATAATAATAGATGCATGTCTATAGAAATATTCATACTTTTCTTTCTAGACATTTGTAATAAAAGCTTTTTTTATAACAATTTCTAGTATGCATAATGCATCAGTATCATGAGCCAATATTTCATCCCCAATCATACAATACGTGATATTGAAATGACCACCAATATGCAATACAATCCTCTAAAATCAAATCTTTCAAATTATCTGGACTTGTAGTTTATTTGGGTTCCAAATCGGATCGTTTAGTGCCATACCGCCCACCGCAAAATCTCCAACCCCACATTAGCACATAATATTAATAGATTTCCTCACTAAAAGTTAACTTGGATGCAATCTAAAATAATGTGAGGAAATGAAGCTCACCTTTGCACGTGATCAACGAGATCAGGTCGTCTGATGCTGGTGAATAGCATGTCCAGGTAATCACTGTGAATCTTGTCCTCATCTGTTAGATACGAGAATAGATCTAATCCGTCCTCAATGTTATATCTGAGGATTTAAGTCAGATTACAATTACAACGTTTCACATGCCAGTATTCATATGTTGGTCATTTAAATGAGAGAGGTTCATTAATCATTGTAATGATAAAATAATGTCAAATAATTGCTATCTCTTGTTTATCTGTTGTTCCAAAGTTCAAATAGCTAACATTTTTTGGTAGCTGTTTGACCTTTGGTAGGAGCAACAGATAAGCTGGAGATAGCAATCATTTGACAATATTTTGTTAACATTTAAGTGTAGAAACAATTACCTGAGATGTGGTGGAACGTTTGCTATAGCTGAGAGCGTGGTGACTTCCCTGAAGTTCAGTTGTGTGTGAATGTGATACAGCATCATAGTGATCGGATCTACTTCATCCTTTTCTCCTGTTATAGTCCCCAACATTGTGCCAGTACACTGTAGACATTTGGTTTAGTGAAATTATTTTAAAATCTTATTTGTTGATTGATAAGAAAATTAACTCGCATCGGCCAGTTGATCGGAGATTCTTATCATCAAAAGAAACATGTGTTCAGTTGTATGCTTTATGCCTGCAACAGCTCATGAAAGTAATTGCCGTACCCAAAGCCAAATTGGTCAGGAAAGGTCACTGAACCTTGTAGCTGTAAGAAGCTGAAATAAAGCAACAAACTAGGGATACTAATTTACAATATTAGAAAATAAACTATCTAAAAAGTGCAGACAAGAGTTGGTCAACAGTCGCTTATCAATGTGTCCTGTAACAAGTACACAACGGTCACAACTGATCGATATCAAGCATTGAAGCAACACCCTAGCCTAGCTAGATAAACATCAAATGAATCAGACCGAAATATTTAGTTACAGCTGGTGTACACTTAACCATGTTAACATGCTAAATTCAAAAACATCCGTTAAAACTTATAGAGATTTTAAACAAGGAGCGGAGGTTACCTAAAGTTCCGGTTATTCAGTACGGTTTATTTCGATAGGACGGTGGTGCAGAAAACAAAGTGTTGTACTCGAGAACATGAACAAACTTTTTCTAAAACTTGATGTAGTATTTTAGCAACAAGCTTTCTTTCGGATGCTGCACTTTTGTCGTGCACAAAAACAGAGCATGTTAAAGCTTTATAAAGGAGCAAAATGTGGGACATAAGCAATTCTAGCTGTGTTGATAATCTAAAGGTCACGTGGCAGTGGTCAATGGGACGCTAGACGTCACATTACGATGTGGCTGATGCCTGATTATAATAATTGCAATGACTAATGCATGATTAACACAGCTCTTATGATTAGCAATGTGTTAACTTGGTGACGCGTCTGTTTTTAATGACGACAGTGTGAGTGGGAGCTGTTAAAACAATGATGCAAATGGTAAGTTCCTAAAAGTTACCTGGTTGATGCAGTGTCACATGCTTGATCAGACTTCAAATTTTAAATCTGTACTCTCCTTATTTTTGATACTGCGAAGGATCCACTGAAACCGAGATGAACACTAGCAATACTAGGCCTGGTAATTTTCTTTTTCCGTAGAACTAGAATCACGTTTTGAGAAGAGTTCATCCAAGTTATCTTTTTTTTCTAACGTCCAATGATCACTTTCTATAGAAAATGAAACAACTAAATCAAAGTTAAATTTGATTTTATCAATGTGAATATTTACACAATGCAATAATTAATAAAATATACGATTTTAAGAAGTCAACAAGTTCCATGAAATAGGATATTTTAAGTCGCAATCTTCACCAAATTGAACTACCAGAAAGGGTGAAACCACCCGATCCTTTCAATTTAAACCTTGCGGAATTCAACGATAAATGAGGTTGCGGAGTTGAAGGTCTAGGACAGTCATGACGCTCAATATCAAACAGAACAATCAATAACTTTGAAACAAATAATTCAGTTAGACAGTCAATGGCACTACAAAAGTGTGAAGCAGGAAATTAATCCCACCAAACTAACTTATCCACAGTCAGATCTTCCTCTTACAGCTGCCTATATTTTTAAGAAATTGTGCGTCTGAAGAACTAATATTTAGATGTCTAGAGTAAGTGTGTGAAATGATATTATCAACTCGCCAACTGAAGAATGCAAAATATTCAAGATCAAATGGTTAAGAGCATTGTAAATTTCATTTTATTTTCTGAACAGGGAGATCTGACCGTTAAACTGTATCAACAGAGTTCTACTTCAAACCCTACCCACATAATCCAGGAGCACAAACTTTGAAAACATGACTTTAAAATACAATTATCATCTTCAGATATAGATTCATGATAACTTCCGATAGATTTATAATCATAACTTTGAAAAAATAGGAAAATTGTCAACAATTACGGAACCAAAAAAAAAGGTACAAATTAATTGCTGTACCAGAGTCAAAATGCCCCGCAAACACATTCCTTTCAATCCACGAATTTATAGCTTCGTCATCATTTTTTAAAAAACTTATTAAAAGAAAAGTAAGACACGTATCATATATAAACAATCAATTTGAAAACTTTTGAGTGCACTGAAAATTCCTGGGTTTCCAGGAGTAGATCAGATAATGCATGAAAAACATACCGGTCAGGTTGACATCAATAAAGTAATAAACTCGGTGAACGTGGCCTGGGTGAATCCAGGCGAAAATAAAGTGTAAATTTACTGAGGGTTTTTAGAAATCTCGTTGATGTATAGATTAGGGGTCTGTTTGACACACAGGAACAATTTTTCGCCCTTCCTCCAAGAACATGACAGTATAACACACAGTTAAATTCAGCTCACATATTAATATCATCACATATTTGAAATATTTCGCATATTTCAGATGAGAGCGAGCAAGTCAGGAATCTCCGGAGATAACATTCATATTTAATCAGCTGAGCACACACCCGATTTGAAGATAGTTTGACAGCACAATGACGTCATAATGAATGTATGACGTCATTTTTTCTGACCATCAGTTTTCTATTTTGATCGAACATTCGGTACCGGTAGATTTGCTGGATGCTATCGAAGCTCTTTTATGGGAACTAGAAATAGAAACTCTCGGCGAAAGGGAAACGTTTTCCTTGCTCTTAGAAAACTTAACATTGTTTAGAGAAAGTGACCTCTGGGGCGATTCAGCACTCCGCAAGTCTTGCGTGCTGCTAGTAGTACTGCCCCCTTTTGATTTATCCCGTGGGGTCAACGGAAAAAAGAGGGACTTTACCTTGGAACGGCGCTTCTGTTTGGGATCGTTGTCAAGCAACGGTCTAGAAGCGGTATTTTGAGGGGAACCCGGGGTGGGCGGATCTCTGTTGAGGGATTCTGAGGACGCCTTAACGTTCATATTGTTAATACTAGTGGTACTGTCACTGTACCTAGATACTGATCTTATTGTCTGAGTTAAGCACTTCATGAAATCAGGATCTACCCGGCTACCCTCCATGTCCTCAACTATCGGTAAGTTTATACCCTCCGGTAACAACACATTGTCCTCTAACAGCTCGTGGGGACCAAACCGTATGAGAGTTTTATCCTTGCTCTCGAGATCACGTGCTGCTATTCGGAGCTGGTAAGCATGCAGTGCTCGGTATACGAAGGAGTACTGGTCGAGGGTCTGGATCATGCCACCTCGGTCCTGGCGGAGCTGGCATATGTAGCCTAGAGGGTCCACTTTGCCGTTGTCTAAGAACTGCTCGATTCCTGGGATAAGGGGAGTTAGATTTGTATCCATGAAAATTATTTGAGTTAAAAACATGCCACATCCGGATTAACAAGCTAAACATGACGCTTACTTGAATAATAAAGATAAAAGATGCCGCACCTAAATTAACAGAGACGAAGGTTCCGGTTCTCCCGATGCCGGCTGAACAGTGCACCAAAACTGGCGCGTTCTCCAAAACATCTTTAAAAGCTCGCACACATTCCACATAGTCCAGGAAAGGTCCTGTGTCTTCAGGGACCCCGAAATCTGGCCACGAGTGATACCTGAATAATGGCAAGAAGAGGGTTTATATTTGGCATATAAATGTGGATTTACCTACTTCATGCTAGGAAAATGGACGAAAAAGCATATTTAAAGCACATAGTGTGAAACAAAAATGTTTTAAATAATAGGATATTTACCACAAGTGATAAAGTATTCTTTCCTCGTCTTTAGGTTTCTCCTCCGCAGCCTCCTCATCATTTCCCTCCTCTTTTCCAACTGCTCTCTCCTCCTCACTCACCTTTTTGACTCTCAGGATGGAGATTGTATAGAATTTACTCGGGTAGATTCCTAACTGGGTTATCTCGATATCACCAGATCTCATTGTGTGCCCTGATGGGTAAAATTTATATTATAATAATTAATCAAGTAATCGATTAACTAACCCTTAACTTCTCAATAAATGAACAGAATTATGCACATAATTAATTATGTAATTACCGATTTCAGTAGCGGGCCAATACAAACAACACTTCATCCGACTGTTTTCTATCAACCCCGTTGTCATGACAATAATGCGGCATCTCTGAAATCACGTGAATAGTTAGGGACATGTCATAGTAACACTGATTAAAATATCTGGTATTACAGGATAGAACTGACACCAAGCGTATCGTTATAACGAAGAATTAATTTGAAGTAGGATTGGGTGAATATTCTGCAGAGAAATAAATCCAAGGAAGTTATACCTCTTCCCAAAGCAGTCTCCAAAAGTCGTATGAAGTTGAGGGTAGAGGTCCTTGAGTGGCGACATACTCCTTTGGAATCAGCTTATAACCCCTGAAATAGATGTCAAGTTACATTAAGCTCACTTTCTTGTGAGATCATATTTATCATGCACGTTTCCGGTTTCATAACAACTCTTTCATAAAAATGCAGCACAACTTTTATTAATTGGTGCTATAGGGGTGGAAAAATTCACTAAAATTGGCTGGTGAGTAGTTGGTAATGTTTAAATTATTCAACACAACCAGAACTTTGGGAATGTCTCCCTAAATCTTAGGAACCAGTTAAGTTCTGTAGAAATTTAACGCGGCACCATGTTAGCGAAGACTAAAGAGGAGGAAGGAGAAAAACGAATTCGAAAGAATCAGAATTGCCCCCCGTCTTCCCTTCCTTGGCAAAAGATGTCTTATGTCACCTGATATAGTTAGCATTGACGTAGGTGGATGTTGGATCACAACCCATCTCGGGAAGGAGAACTCTAGAGTGCGGGTTTGGCAGCACGTTCAGATACCTGACAGAGGAGAGAAATGATGTCAGTGAACTCAGAATTTAATGAACATTTGAGAAAATAGAGAGTTTCTTGTACGTGGATATTAGATAGGGGATTCTGAGAATTCCTCTTAATTCCTGTTAATAACACAATTTATTTAATAAAACAATTATCCAATAAAACAATTATATATTTCTACGGCACAATTAAACAATATCAATGGTAAGTGGAGGCTTGAAGAGGTTTCAAGTACCAAAGTCCAAATGTCACTGCTTATCGTGACTTTGAGAGCGACCTGTGCTTGAAACCAGTTCAATTATCCAATACGTCAAGGTTGGCTTTAAATTTAATAATGGTGCACGTCCAGGCTTATATTAATCTGTGGGACTCTGTATCTACATTAATAATCATATTATGTCGTTTAGTATCGATAAGGTATGATTAAAACGATCTATACGATGACTCAATCTTACCTGTTTTTACTCTCCGTACCCACAGGGGTCTTGTTAATTGTGATGCTGTTATTCGGGATACTATCAAACTCCATTCCTGACGAAGAGAATTTAGAAATTTGATTTCAGTTCGTTGCTATTTGAAATTAGAAATGGTTAAAAATGCAGTACACAAACAAATACAGCGAAACTTAGGGATAATAGGGAACTGGACAAGGGCGACTCCAACATCTAACTTTTCTTATTGTCGAATTAAAATACAAGTTTTTCTCACCTAGTTCATGATTTTCATGGTAGTCAGAGTTGGGATCTAGAGGTTCCCCCATCATCGCTACCAAATACGCTAGCTCAGATTTAGAGAGGGGTCTCGTCCTGAAGAAATCAAACAGTCAGACCACTATGTAAGGAATTGTTGAATATGAAAATATTGAATAGCATACAAATTGGCACAGGGAATCCATATCCATAGCAGTGAGCTGTAGTGACAGCATGGATTGCTCATATCCTGTAATACCCCTTCCCAACAGCCATGATAATCACGTCAATTGGGAGGGGACAAGGGATGCTGCACCTAAATTGATTAACTTACTTGGACAATCGTTTGAGATAGGACTGTGACCTCTGAATAACCTGGCCAGTTTCATAAGGGTCCAGGCCGTTGTAGAGTTTTGTATGACCGCTAGTGAACATGTGTCGGAACCTTCGTTTGAAACTGTTCATCTTGTTAGTATGTGCACTGAAAATAATATTGTTACGACTTACGGGTATGTGTTTTGGGGAATTTGATCAATTTAAGTGAGATCATGGAATGTCAAATGCATGCAGCCTGCCAGTGAATGCGGCGAGTTGATTGTCTAATTAAATTTGCACATCGGCCGAAGAGTGCAAATTGCTAATATCATGTTGAAATGTATAGTCTGTCTAAGTTAAGCGTACGTGAAAAATAGCTCAGTACGATAGGATTCCCTACAATGCACACCGCTAGAAGTGCAATAGGCAACTTTCACCGTCATATGTACAAAATCTTGAGAATACACAGAGAGGGGAAAATCATGAAATTCCAGGAGGTGTTGCCCTGTGTCAGAAGTTAAAGTATTTGTTAAACATGCTTTTGTACATCGACAAAAGTTTTGCCACACCCACTTTGTGCACTGTAAAGAAAACGCGCAATTTCATATTATACGCGCGCTACGCGCTAGAAATTCCAAAATTTTCCCAACGCGCGTTCCAGTTTGGCTATTGTTTGCGGTGACTGTGACAAAAATTGGCACACATTCTATCATCAAAATTTCGGTTCCACAAGGCCGTTTTTACTTCCTTCTAAACTTCGAGGAATAATGTGCTGTCCCAATGATCTCATCTTTAAAACTTAATGTATCAGTAAGGAAGGTCATTATATTTAACCATGTTCTGACATTTTCGGGAATTAATAACAATACAAAGGCGCAACCCGAGACAAAACGGATGAAAATAAAAAAATCAGACTTTCTCACAGAGACTGGAAGACTAAAATCGTAAACAAAACATCCTGCTATTAATAAAATGCACATTACATTCCTTCCAGTCATTCTGCCGTGGAATTTGATAAAAATTTGTATCATCCATGATTATCCAACTTAAAAAGCACTTAACTAGTTTTGTGGATTCTAATAAAAACACATTACGTTACATTAGTGATTGCTTACCATGTAATTAGTGATTACTTACCATGTAATATATAGAACAAGACCTAGTATCAGTAGCGATATTACTGTTATCGTTATTATCAGGTACTTTCGCTGGGTGTTTTCTGAAAAGAGAAAGTGACGTTAAAACCAAAAATAGGATTTATCTGTTTTACACTTGAGTAGATGTTAGTTAGCAGTGAGTTTTCATTGACGTAAATAGGAACGGGCGATGTGGGGGGGGGGGGGGGGGCTAGGGAATATGATTTATTAAGAAAGTCGATAGCAAAGCCCACAGTTGAAATCTTGGTTGGTAGTATCACATGACATCAGCCGACGAATTACGTATTATATAACACAAATTTCAGAAATTATATGTTGGCATTGCTGGGCGTTGATTTAACTACCATAGACAACAAAGTGAAAAATGTTTGTAGATTTTTGTAGATACACTGAATATTTGTGATGAATTATATCATAATTTTTATAATATCAGGAATTATATTTTATACAGGAATTTAAACTCAGTCGATTTCAACCATCATTTTAACATTTTTGTTGTATCATTTTCTGTTGTAACCTTAATACAAGCTGCAAATTTAGAAGAAAAATCTGAGATCAAATTTCACATCTTACTACGGACCAGGTAAATTCCAGCGAAAATAGAATTTTAGCGGGATGGGTTGGTCCGGAATTAGATTTTCTAAGTTATCTTCTTTTCTCTGGTCAGTCCGGAATGAGGCGAACAGTCTGGGATTATCTGATCCGGAGTTTAAAAAATCAGAACACCGTTCTGACACGTGACCATATAATTGTTTCTGACACGTGACCATATTGTTTCTGACACGTGACCATATTGTTTCTGACACGTGACCATATTGTTTCTGACACGTGACCATATTGTTTCTGACACGCGACCATATTGTTTCTGACACGCGACCATATTGTTTCTGACACGTGACCATATTGTTTCTGACACGTGACCATATTGTTTCTGACACGTGACCACATTGTTTCTGACACGTGACCATATTGTTTCTGACACGTGACCATATTGTTTCTGACACGTGACCATATTGTTTCTGACACGTGACCATATTGTTTCTGACACGTGACCATATTGTTTCTGACACGTGACAGAGGTCAACCGCTCAGATTTATTTGATATTAGACATATATGATTATTGATAAGTTTATTGTTCTTACCTAAAAAACGAACTTCAAATATCAAACCAGAGTTTTCTAACAACATCTCAGAGTAAATTATTGTAAAACCTAGTATCTATCTCTATAAGGCCGAACCCTACACCATCCATACAGACCATAGCATATCAATATTACCTTCTAAACCCTCCACTTTTTGTTCCTCTTTTTCTCTTTTTTACATCAGGCTGCTTTCTTTGATGATGCGTGTCAGCAGTAAAATCATTGTCACCGAATATTGTAATTGAGTAGAAGAATCGATGACTAAATGCTACAAGGAATACATCAGAAACACTGATATCATACACGAAGAACTAGACATATAAACTTCCAAAATCAGTTTTTGTTCCTATTTTTCAACCTATTTTTTACATCAGGATCTTTCTTTGATGATGCGTGTCAGCAGTAAAATCATTGTTAACGCTACCCGAATAGTGTCGTTGAGTACGAATAACAACACTACAAGAAGTACATCATAGAGGCTGATATCATATGAACAAAACTAGGCAACATTATTATTTGCCTATTTACAGAAAGTGTGACTTTTTTGAGAAATGATACAAAATATTATGAAGGAGCAGTTGCTTCAAACAAGTCTCATTTAAAAGGTCACCACAAAAATTAACCAAATTCTTTCTAAAACAAGCTACTCACAATACACACATACAAACTAGACATTTTGTACAAGGTATACTAAAAAATGTCAAGTGTAACGCGACTTACAAGTCGTATATGCCATCCTAATAACTAGACTAAAATTGTAATGTTCCGTCGCCGACCAGTAGTGCTAGTTTACTTTTGAAGTTAGTTTCTAGATGCAATATATATATATATATATATAAAAGTGCATAATTTTGATAATTTTATGCTCATATTTGCTAATAAATTCTGAACTGATAAAGAAGAGCATAATCTTAATATTTCCACACTAAGTCTCACTTGAATGACTTAAATGTACATCTTTGTTGGGTATATTTGAATGTCGAAGCGTGCAATAAATGTTAGAATTTATTATTTATTCTATTATATATTCATGTTATTTGGGATAACTAGTTTAGACACTGCTGAGTATAAGTTGTATCGTAATAGCGGTGTTATTAAATTTCAATCTATTCTATTATATAATAAACGGGAAAAGTTAAACGATGAATTTCGTGCAAGAAATGTAACCCCTCTGGAAGCTTAATCCGTACCTTTCGTGTGCACTGGTTACGTTACTGGGAATTTATTTAAATGACACGCTCGGGAATGCGCTTTAGCTCGAAATATAACATAACTCAACTGTTCGATTTGTGAATTGTGAAATTCTTGTATTATAAAGGGGGGGGGGGGGGGGTCAAAAGTCAGTACACATGCGTTGGGTCTTTTAAATTAACCTTGTTTCATATTTGAGACCTGTAACAGTGTAACTTTACAGATGGTATTATATGCTACTAGAAAACCAGTGGTCAAAGGGAGGAAGCTAATAGTATTTTTTGTTAGTAAGTTTAAATCGCGTCAAAAAATATCCTACACAACCGAAGATACAGCCAATTAAAATGTTGCTCGTACTAAACACAGCGTAATATCAACAAAGCCGATCAAAATGACGTTAAAACAATCATTGCACGTGCACGTGCGTGTAATAACCCTCGTTACCATGGTTACTTTGCAAATTCCTATTTCTCGTCTAATTTGCACGTGGGCGGTCGTACAGACAGACCAACATTCTACAAAAATAATTCTCTGAATTTTAGTAGAGATAACTACTCATTCGATGATTCTGTCGCCAAAATTTGAAAATGAGCAATTCAATCAACATTGAATTGCTCATACTCGTGTTTGTGAACAATGAAAATGTTAGAAACTCTGATTGAAATTATCGCGATAGGTTCACTAAATCTGGAATATGATCTGAAAAAATGAAACGAATCTAAAATGACGAAGTTGTCAAGCAATTAGGTTATCTCGTTAGCAAAATTGATTGGGTAATCATGCGCTACGACACCGTAACTCAGTAACTCACAACTGTGCTTTCAGTATGGTTCCCATAGTACAGAATATCTAGTGTCAACCCAATCACCTGATACCACGCAATGAATAAACTTGTTATGCTTCATCTCTCGGTCATCTGAGAAGCTAGAGCTACCATTTTCAGGACGAGCAAATTTTAAAATGCCAAACACAATGCATTACAATTTGACCCGATCGAATCTTTCAAAATATATAAAAAACACGTAAATGATTGTTCATTGAACAGAAAAAATGGACATTGTAACTAATATTATTTGATATATTCCTCGAATGAGTGATGGTAGCAAGTCGTACCAGTAAGAAATATTTCAAGCAGCCACTCAGAGAAATCAGCTCCAACGTATATGTACTGACTATTGACTTCCTCCCCCCCCCCCCCCTCTTCTGCAGTTATACCAGAAACCAGCTATAGAACACGTAATGTGTACTGACTACTGACTTCCTCCCCCCCTCTTCTTCTGCAGTTATACCAGCTATAGAAAACGTAATCCAGTCGTTGAAATAGTTTACCTGATTTCTCGGTAACATGTAAATGCAGCGTGACATATTCCAAGAAAAAGAGAAACAATTTTTCTTTTAACTATTTTATAACTATCATATTATTAAAATTATCAAGTTTCATGTTCAGTTCTCGCTACTGATATCCTCATTTCAGAATGAATTCCATAAAAATTTACATCATAAAAACCTGAAAAGTCAACTTAACCATTCATGTGATATCCACTGTTTAATTTTAACAGTGTACTATGTATAACATAATTTGATAAATGACATAAGGACATACATATCACACAGCGTGAAAATAATAAAAATCATCACAAATACCAAGGGGCTTAAAATAAAACCCATGTATCTAACACCCGATAAAACTGAATACATAACATGATTCGTGCTGCAAGTGTTGATTTTCAGATATAACATACATACATAATTAGGTCATATATATATATTATAGAGTGAATATATGTTGCTACTTGTCATTAACAGGGTGCGAGAGCTCAGTATACATTTACAGTATACAATACTATACATTGTACTGTTTCATCACCCTTCAGGAATGTATAAAACTACTAGTTATACTGCCCGGGGGATCCCAAAGAGTGACATTAGAAAACAAAAAAACAGTATTATATATTTAAAGACGAATCCGCACCATTAATGGTACAGATTTCAGACTTCATGGCATAGTAAAGATATGATGTATACTGTATAGTGGAAACTGTAGTGGAACGAGTTGAAAGTGACGGTTGTGAGTGACTCATGTAGATGACGATGCGTTAATCAAAATACCAACAAAAGGAGGGAGGGGGTGTCATTTCCATGATCTCAACTTTGTAATCATATATTAGTTCATACTACAGTAAAACCCCGAGAAAATGGCTGCGGTAAATCGGGGCGCAGTAAATCGGGATTTTACTGTAATAGCATTATTTAATAGCATTATTTAACTGTCATAGAGATGATCATACATTCATTATTTATTGATAGTTTTGAGAAGTCTACTTAACAGCAACAATTTTAGTTTCTTTTTGCTGACGATTAAAAAAGTATGAATTACTAGAATATCTAATTGGTGTCTCCTGCATGAAACATCATGCAAATGACGAAAACTATTTATATAGAGTAAGTTACAACTTACGGTACTGACACACGGTAACCTTACTTTACATTTTCTAAACGAACTACAAATAATTTTTAATTCTATACTGCCAAATTAGCCAACATATCATTTAATCTATAGACCACATCATGCCCAAATAACATTTTACATTCTAAACAACACGTGTATCTCTGGTAAGATTCGTGCAAACAAATAAAAAAATTGAATAAAATAAAAAATAAAAATATCAGCTCTTATAAAAGTAAGTTTCAAGTTTTCAGCAACTTTACATTCGTTGTTAGCTACGACCCAAATAACAGATACTTCTCTATTTTCTAATAAATGTTAGCTGCTTCCTTGCTGAACATTTCACAGGCTATTTAAGTACAAAATGTATAGTATAGAGTAGGTATATAATACACTGTTTACACAGTATACACTGTATACATTCTCTTCACTGTCTTAAAAAGCGTTATATTTACTTCTCGATATATATATGTACGTACATTTAAAAACTTCGTGCTCACTCTTCATCTAGTACTATCTACTCTGTCCAGAAAACACTTTTTCTCTGCATGTTCCCCATTTGTCCCTACAGTAGAAAATACAAAATGCAGAACTTAGACCGTATATATACGGTTATTATATAAAACGCGTTATATATAACGCGTTGGTATTATTTTACCACCACTCTAGCTCTTTACTTTCCAACTCCAACTTCTACAACAAACACTATCGTCCATCTTACCCAACATGCAAAACTCACATCTGCAACACACCATTAACTTAATACAACTCAACATATATCACAAGATTCCACATGTAATATCTCACATCAGAAAAGACACGGGGTAGTTCTATTAGGTTAATTTGGAAATTAGCACGAACAGTACACATAATTATAGGTGAACTGTGTACGTGACTACATGACTACATGACACGTGACCACGTGTAATTTAGTCACGTGACTACACGACTACGTGCACAATGTACCGTACATTGTGCACGTACTCATGTAGTCACGTACACAGCTGTGTGCAATGTACGCCATTGTACCCTCATTTTAGACTGTCTGTAGATAACAAAAGCAATAGCTGGGGTTTATTTGCCGTGAAATACATTCTGAGAAGTGGAACACTTGATACACTCCAGTTGGATCTGGTCAGACGGAGAAATTTGTTTTAATTTCTGAAAGATTTCTGAAAGATCTGCGTGAATAAGAAGTTTGAAAAGTTAGATTTAAGAATCTACATATTATAAAACACGGTGATTGTGTAATGTGTGGTACCATGCTCAATTATTGATTTAGACAACTAGGAGTACTCTGTCTGGTTATATGAGAGTTACTGTTAGATATAACGCACAATGCACAACATTACAAGATATAACGCACAATGCACATGTATGTGATTATATATGCGTTTTGTGATCGTGAGAAAATAGAAATGATGCCAATTTGTAAACTTCTGAGACAATTTAATCTGTTTTTTCGGTAGAACTCAAAAGAATGAAAATTTATCTGTCAAAATATTGACACATTTCTACCCGAAGTAAGGCCTGCTAGTTAAGTAGTTAGTGTAATTAGTTTGGCCCTTTGATTTCAGGGATGCTGCTGTTGTGATAAACTGACGATTTTACTGAAGACAGCGACAATATTTAAATTTGTTTGTGCCAACTTGGCCAAAAATTGGGCAATCAATGGGCATGAGGTTGGCCCGCCCTCCCGTTCTATGATTGTAAATATTGTCTTTCTAAGTAGTAGAGCTGTGCAATGTGGTCATGTTGACCTCTGCTCCATATAGGCAATATTGACGCTAAATTCATTATATAATGAAATTTATCTCACTAAGTAATGTTAAGTTAATTTATAAATTGCACTTTAATTGCGGCATAATCTTTGTACGTGACTTAAATCATAATATTAATAATATAATAATATGTTCATACTATTATATTATTATATTCCTTCTTGTAACAATAGTGAAAAGCCAGACAATGAGTAACCACGCCCTTAGAAATATTCCCTAGTACAGACAGAATAGTTGGTATTTAGTTGTACTCATGCAGATTACAGTACACACGTACAGTCGTACACAAATATTGTATTGCTCTGTAGATCAATTATTATAACATTTAATTACTCAGGTTCATTAAGGAAAGATATGGCGTTATATTTTTGACATTATTATTAAGTTACAGGTATTTTTTATTGAGTATTATATATAATATATTTTTAATCTGGTGCTTTAGTAGTTAGTACGCATTTCAACTTTTAGCCTTTGCCAAGGACTGTATTATTATATCGGTTCAATATGACAACAAAATTGAGAATTATTTATTATTAAAAAAATTGAGAATCAGGGATCAGAAAGATAATTTTGAGTGCAAGAGAAAATTACAATATTCCAATTAAGATTTAGCACTCACCCTTTGCCCCATCATTTGCACATAGAATACAGCACAGTAACGAGAAAGTAAGAAAAAAATCAGAGCAGACAAACCAATAACAACACTGAAGAATGATAATATATTTAAAAGAAGTAACCACTGCCCACGTGCTACATCCGGACATTTCGATTTGCTAATAGTTTATCACGTGACAGGTAAGCTGGCTGATACTAGTTTGAATATAATCACGTGACACAGCAACAAGTACGATACTTCCCAAAACGCGCACCACAGCTACACATTGAGATATAACACCACAGCCCACGTGACATCCCACGTGACAGCCCGCGTGTCTTGCTAAGCAGTGAAGTAGAGATTAGCACGTGACGTGCCTGCCCTAGATTTGATTAAGTGTGGCCCAAGTGTGGACTAGTCAGCTGGTAGTGATGTGTATCTCATATTATGTGTAACAATGTTAATATTTCTTTCAACGAACACGTGGTACATTCATTAATCATTTTCATTCCGTAGAAGTGCGAAAAACGCCCTTGCTAGTAATATGCGTTTTTTGGTGCATCTTTTTTAGTTCTTTGTAGTGATCATATTATGAACTGATTGACTATTTTAATGACAATATTCTAGATTTAATAATAACCTTGGCCTTGTTATCGTCAGGAGAATTTATATAATCAAATGATTGATTGAAAGTAAGGGGATTGTCTCCAATGGACTAATTTATTGTTTACATCATAATCAGTTAAAAATAAAAACCCTAATGGGCACAAATTTAATTAGGGACGATAAGAGAGCTCACTCAAACAATACAATAAATAAAACGATTGTTTATTTTTACAGCACAATAAACAATATCAATAATATATAAATCAGTGGCGGCTTGAGGAGATTTCAAGTGCCGAAGGCCACTACATGACCAGAGTAGCTTCATTGTGCGTTAATACTTAATAGGGTTGGGTTCAGGGTAGTTTGTATTATAATTTGTATAATAGTTTATAATTGTATTATAAAACACGTAACACGAGTAGAATGAGACAGAGGAATAAAGGGGCTTACCAATACTACTGTTTATCTGACATACCAACATAATATGTACTTTTATTATAGGACTAACGATGTAGAAAAAATACGAATATTTCATCAGAATTATGATGTTTTACTGTTTATCCAACATATTACAATACTACTACTAACCAATATCTATTAATATTACAACTATTACTATACAAGTATACAGGAAGTGACTAACCCGGTTCAGATATCTCGTATCCTAGTGAACACAGAGAGTTGCCAAACTCACTGTCAAACGCACAGCACGAGTATTTTCCTTGCTTATCTTTTGACATGCTCGTTATTTGCAACCTGGGTATTAATTGTGTGAGGTATTGATTATTTCATAATTAGTTTGTCTAATTAATTAATTAGTTGTAGTTACTTGAAAGGATGAATATCAAATCAGATTATTTTAAAACAGTTTCTCCATTGAGACAAATTTGTCTCGTGTCATCAAATAATACAAAGTATGGACTAAAATATGAGTTCTCAACTGACAGGAGTATTGTATTTTAAATAAGTGGTAAAATAATCTGGTTCATTTTAGATCGTTTACGAAAGATAAAAATGTAACTTAATCATTTTTTAAACTACATAATATGTTGATGATGATTGATAAAATCAAAAACAGTCTAAAAACGAAACTTGCTTACGATTGTAATGTTTCTCCCTTTATAATTTCGCCATCACCTCTGAGCCACTGAAAAGACCCATTAAATTACAAAACAAATATGTATTTGTTCCGTTGCGAAAGTGATACATTTTCAATAAATTAAAACAAGAACTGACTAAATAAATAATAAGTTAACAGATATAATATTACCGTGTACTCGAGTTTGTAACCCTCCAAATAGCAATGAAGAGTAATATTCTTGCCTCGCTCCACTGTGAACCTCAACAGGTCATCCCCAATACGGTCCTCACTTCTTACAGGTCCTACAATTAATAGTGATAATAATAATAATACAATTTATTGTAGTGTAGGATTGTTTGAATTTCTATTTGCTAAGTCACTTAAGGGGGGGGTTCACCCTGATTTTTTTGTGAAACTTGGTTTCGAGATAGCAGTTGACTAACAAACTAGGACCAGTGACCGTAATTTTGAGGGGGTCCCGGACCCCAACCGCCAAACGGTGCCCGCGGGGCAGCCACGCCCATATTTGGTCCAAATTAGGCCCAATTTAGCCAAATACCCTGAACATGCCCAAAATCCAGATTTTAGGTGCTCTACTTGTAGCTAGTGGTCCCCTGAACTCGTATATGAATTTTCATCAAGATTGGACAAAAAATGACTGAGTTATGAGCGAAAAACCATATGACCATATTTGGGCATACGCACCAAATTTGATCGATTTTGGCCCATAAATTGGTCAAATATCAATATTTTTGAATGAAACCAACTTTATATGGAAGGTAAGCCTATACTACACATTATCCATGATTATCAGCTCAGTATCTACCTAACTGTGGATTCTGTGTTCAATTAATAGCAAAAAATGAACAAAATTGCCCATATCTCAGTTCGCGATATTTGCAAAACTGACTTCGCTCAAAACAATAGAACTCAATAGGGTTTCAATATTTTTACATGAAATTTTCAGAATCAACGTAGAATCGCATTTCGACCTTAAGTTTTGTATTGGAATTTTGAGTTAGGCCTTTAAAAAAATTTGGCGGCCAAATTCTGAATTTTGCACTGCAAATTTTGGAATTTGGCCGCCAGAATCCACAGTTAGGTAGATACTGGCTGATAATCATAGATAATGTGTAGTATAGGCTTACCTTCCATATAAAGTTGGTTTCATTCAAAAATATTGATATTTGATCAATTTATGGGCCAAAATCGATCAAATTAGGTGCGTATGCCCAAATATGGTCGCATGGTTTTTGGCTCATAACTCAGTCATTTTTTGTCCAATCTTGATGAAAATTCATATACGAATTCAGGGGACCACTAGCTACCAGTAGAGCACCTAAAATCTGGATTTTGGGCATGTTCAGGGTATTTGGCTAAATTGGGCCTAATTTGGACCAAATATGGGCGTGGCTGCCCTGCGGTCACCGTTTGGCAGTTGGGGTCCGGGACCCCCTCAAAAGTTCGGTCACCGGTCCTAGTTTGTTGGTCAACTGCTATCTCGAAACCAAGTTTCACAAAAAAATCAGGGTGAACCCCCCCCCCCCCCCCCCCCCCCCTTAATATGCATTTTGCGTTTGTTTCTCCCGTTTTTCTTCCCTTGCGTTGCAAGCCCTGTCTCTTGTAGAAACAACCACTTTTGTAGATACACACAGTCTCTACGCCTTTAACCTCTGGTCCCTAGGGTCCGCTGACTCCGGGCCAGAGGAAAATTACCGATTGCCAAGGTTTGATGCCTAGGCAGTCGAGACCTCTTATTGAGACCCGATATAATAAAATTTGGTAGCTTAAACACAAACTCTAAGCCCAGTGGATAAACCACAAAACTTATGCTCTATTGTGTGAAACAAAGATACTAGATCAAGATAACTATCAAGGAGTGTATGCATAGGACATAAAAAGTTTTGGAACGAAGATGACATGCTTATGAAGCGAGCTAACAGTCTAATTGCTAATAAGTTCAAAAAGATCATGACATTAGGTTGCATCCTAAACAGCAAATAACATAAAGTGTTAAAAACATTAATAGTGATAGTACTATGTTTACAGTATGTACTGAAGGAGTATCATAGGAAGTTTCTTGAACTTTTAACCATCAATCAATTAATACCAACAGCACGAGTAGACCTATGATGTAATACTGCTAGGACTCTGAAACATACCAGCTATTATACTAGGACTCTGAAACATACCAGCAATGACTCTGAAACATACCGTGATCACTAAGTTTCACATCCCAGTTGTCACGGCAACGTGTCCCGAACTCGTTTCTAACGCAACACGTGTAAATACCAGTCTCATGTTCCGTCAGCTTATCGTCTGAACGTATGTTAACCCATCAGCATTTAAGTGAAATTTTTAGTTTTGTAAATATTAATTATCTTGTGACTTGTGTTTATATTCAAGTATTTATCTCAAATTTATCTTATCTCATTAATCCTAACATCATCCTAATGGATGATAAATCTGTCATCGATTACATTTAATGATAACTACATATTTTAAATAAAGCGATACAGGTTTGCTGATCTACTATACATCTGTTAAATTTGAATAATTCTAATGTTTAAATATATTTACAAGTCATAACTAAATCCCACAGGTACTTAGAAATGTACGAGATGTTTCTTAGAAACTGCTAAATTGTAGTACTGGCTACTAAACACTATTGCATAACATTGCCCCACCTTTCAGTTTCAATGTCATTCCACAGGTTACTTAGTTTTAGATGTGGTTGATAGCGCACCTTGCAAATATTTTGCAGCAATACTGCACACACATCACAAGGTTTAACATCACTACAAGTTGGCCCTGGTAAAGTGACAAGATCCACAAATAAATAAAGAAATCTGATAAAATATAGTTCTCTTTTACCTTCGTATCTAAGAGTATCACGATCGGCCCTAGTGAGATCTGATAAGATATAAGCAGCGTCTCTCTTCCACATAACTTCCATGCCCTGATACCCCACTGTTCTGGATGGTTCCACATCGCAGACAAGGAAGAATTTGCGGCGGTATGATATCCTGATGACTTGTCTGCCGTGGGATTTGAACTTTGGAGCTGTGGGAAAGGGAGGTTATACACTGTACATTATACACTGTACACTATACATTATATATAGGAGGTTATACACTGTACATTATACACTGTACACTATACAATATACACTGTACACTGTACACTATACACTGTACACTATACACTATATATAGGAGGTTGGTAGAACAAGTTTAACATTTGAACGACGATATTCATGATAGTGAAAACTACAATGTGTTATAAATCTAATTCAACATTTGAAGAATAGGGGAATATATTTCATCATCACTTTGAGAAAGTCAAGAAATGACCGTGGAATATAAGAGGTATAACATAGTCGGTCAAACATCTGTAGATTGCGATTGGTTGTAACAAAATTGTTACCGATTTACATCACTCGACTTCGACTCGACTTAGGGCGGCTTCAGCGTCCGAACAGAAATGGTCTTCTTCCAAATCTTTCTATCCAGCATGAGTTTGTTAATCTCTTTGCTGTCATCAAGCCCCGTGTCCTTCCGAAGGATGTCGATGTATGTGAGATGTGGTCTTCCCCTTCGACGATGACCTTGAAGGGGTTCCCAGAAGAGTAGTTGATGACTCAATAGTTCTTCATGTCTGGCTAAATGACCTGCGAGTCTCATCCTCCGTGCAGCTATCTTATCAGATGCTCTGATGAGGTGTCCATACACCTTGGCGTTAGTCTGCCGCTCTTTCCAGTCAATGTTCAGTGCCATCCTCAGCATTCTCGTATAACATCCATCAATACGTTTTGCGAGGGTCTGGCTGACAGTCCATGTTTCAGAGCCATATAGAAGGATGGACTCGACTGTAGCCAGGAACAATCGTATCTTGAGATCTCTACGCATATCCGACTTCCATACAAGCTTCATCTGGTGACACGCTCCCCATGCCTTAGCTTTACTCACAAGGAAGTCCTTCTCCGAAATCTTCATTCTACTACCCAAATATACGAAGTCATCGACTTTCTCAATGTTCTTCCCACTCCCAGCAACCAGAGTCGGGTTATCATCATCTCTTATGTTGATTCCCATGTACTTAGTTTTCCCCTCGTTGAGGTGGAGTCCAACTGAGTTGGCCGCCAGTTCCAGACTCCTGAGGAAATCTTGTGCCTCCGCAACACTATCTGTTATAAGAGCAAGGTCGTCAGCAAAGTCCGCATCAGTGACCTTGACTGCCGGATAGCGACGGCTTCTTCTAGGGTGTAGAGTAAACCCAAAGTCCCTTCCCTCTAGGGACACCCTCATAATGTAGTCAATTACGATTATGAATAGGTAGGGCGCCAAAGTGTCTCCCTGCATCACTCCTGCATCACTCCTGCTAGAATGATGAAATCACTCTGATTTACATCAATAGCTAAATATAGCTGGTTGCTCTTTCATAAATTAATTTACAGATGTTTAAAACCATACAAATGTTTCGTGAACACCCTGCAAATTTGTAAATAACTTAAATTTTAAAATATAATTAAAATATTAATCTCACCACAATGCTGCCTATCACAGTCTGATACCTCCATATTCTCCCCCGCACATAACTTTCCCGACAGCAGACACTGTCGTTCCCTTTCCTTTTTACAGGACAAACGGTCATCAACTGGCTGTGCACACTGTGACCACTGCTCCCATTCAGACCACTTATCTGGTAAAGTGGAATAATTTATTTTTTATGTTGACCAAGTAATTAATTATAGATTTCCAGGATATTGTTTAAAATTATATACTTTTGAATCAATTAAATGTATATTGATTTAGCTCCATTTGATAAGGAAAATAACCTGGTAAAAAACTAACCACATTGGTCATCTGGACAGTCAGTGAAGTCCTGGAGAGCATCAGTGCACGAGCGGGTGGAGTTAACCGCCACCGTACAAAACCTCTCACGTGACTTCTGGCATGCTGTCATGTTGGAGTTGTACTGGCACGTCTCACCCCACACACCCCAGTTAGTCACTGTTGGTTCTGTCGAGAGTCAAATTGTTTAGTTGTATGGTTAGCATGTGTGGTTTTTAAGTTGAACTGTTGGAAATTAAAATGTCTGAGAGTGTAAGAGCTAATAAGAAACTGTAATGAAGAGCAGTTTGTTAAATTAATAAACTTATGTTAATAAATTAATTGAATTGGTTATAATTACCACAATCATTAGGATTACAGTCGAGGAACCCATTTTGTTCCCCCTCGCAAGAAGAAAATTCGCTATAATTAATGCAAGTCCTGGTCCTCATTTTAGCACACTGGTACATCTTCTCAGGGCGAATTTCACAACTTTCAGAGTACTCACTCCAGACACTCCATTCGGGTACTGCAGTTGAAGATTCAAAGTTTTGTGGAGAATTGGGAAAATATCATAGTTGATCGAAAGATAGTGTTGAAAGGAATGGTAACATAATATATTTGTGATACAATGGAGTAATCAATTTTAAAGACCAACCTAAAACTTCAATGGTAGCATTGATGTCCATGAACACATGTTCTCCCTGAACACCAAATGATGCCTCACAAGTAACCACAACAGTTTTCTCAGGCTTGAATTTGACTTTTGCTTCCACAAAATCTCCTCTGACTGCAAAAATGGTATTACCTATGGCCACAGCTGTTGCCGCATCCTGGCACATGATTTGAGGCACTCCAACATCACCCTCTTGTATAATTTGGATCTCAACCTGCTGATTTTTATACACAGCTGCCACCTCAGGTATTTGCTTCATTGTTAGGGACCGGAAATGAATACTGATATTGTTGCTGATAGACTCATTAACTGAACAATGATATTCTCCACTCTGCCCGTCCGAATCCAGGACATATTGATATGATGTAGAGTTTGTGATTGATATGATCTCAGTATGCAATTGTTCTGTGTCTTCATTGGACTTTGATTTGATAAACCAACTTATTTGAGGAGTAAAATCAGACAAATTTTCACCCTGAACTGTGCACGTAAGTGTAACTGGTTCCTGAAAAACCGCTGTAGCTGATGATGTCAACTCTGAAATAAAAAATGGTATCTAAGCGGTGAAAAAATGTGTCAGCTATAAAATAACTGTAATATCTTTATTGCTTTGAAAGAGCTTTAATCTTATTGAAAAAATTAAGTAAGACAGTGATTATTTGTTTGTAATAATTCCCTTTTTAGAAGTAACAGAAAATCAACAAAGTTGTGTCAAATCACTCAGAGGCACCATTTCAGCGATTGTGGAATCACTTTTTTGTTTTTTTCCCTGAATTTTAATGTAAGTTTGCGGTAACAATAATAATGCTGCAGATTGCATTATCAATCGCTGGCAGTATCGAGATAGCCCGACCACTGGTCCGCGGACCACTGTCTGCGGACCACTGTCTGCGGACCACTGTCCGCGGACCACTGTCTACCAGATCATATTACTGTATAATAACAGTATCCCCTGAATCAAGCAACAGGTGTTTGTGAATAGTTGATTGGTTACCAGATCAAAGTAAGGCAGTATCGAGATAGCCCGACCACTGGTCCGCGGACCACTGTCTGCGGACCACTGTCTGCGGACCACTGTCCGCGGACCACTGTCTACCAGATCATATTACTGTATAATAACAGTATCCCCTGAATCAAGCAGGGTTCACATCATCCCCTGAATCAAGCAGGGTTCACATCATCGCACGCGAATTCCAATCAGCGGTGGTGTCAAGGCTTATTAAACGATTAAGCAACCTTACGAGATCAGTTCACATCATGCAATATATAAAGAATAACTATTATCAGACTGCATCAATCATTTCTATCATCAACTCCTTCTTGAACAACTACAACTATGGTCTCAGAGAAAACGAAACGGATGAACTCAGCCCTACCCTGCGACCCTATCTGCAAACCTATCTCACCTCTCGACAAGTGGACTCAAGCTGGTAAAACCCTCATCGTCACCAGAGCCAACCCAAGCTTCTGCGTTTTCTGCAACAAGAGGCATGCTGGTATATCATGCGCTGCTCATGACCCTGTAGCATCTTCTGATGCCGGAGGTCTTGCTAACTCCTAATCAATAGTTTGATCCAGTAATTTACTACGCTACAATTAATTATGCTAAGTCGTAACTAATTGCATCCAAGATACCATACATACCATTCATATGATCTGGTAACCAATCAACTATTCACAAACACCTGTTGCTTGATTCAGGGGATACTGTTATTATACAGTAATATGATCTGGTAGACAGTGGTCCGCGGACAGTGGTCCGCAGACAGTGGTCCGCAGACAGTGGTCCGCGGACCAGTGGTCGGGCTATCTCGATACTGCCCAATCGCTTTTTGCCGCACTGAAATGGTGCCTCTGCAAATAAATTGAACTCAAATATCTGTTACCAGTAAACTTACCAACAGAGCCAAAGGTTTGAGATAAGGCAAGTTCAGGTAGAAATAATATAAGAAAACATAGCATCTGCAATCATTTGAGGATGTTAGTAAATAATCTCATGATATCTATGATATCAATTAAAGGCACAATAGTAAGTACTACCGCAAACCAAGTTTTTGTGAAACTTGGTTTCGAGATAGCAGTTTACCAACAAACTAGGACCGGTGACCGAACTTTTGAGGGGGTCCTGGACCCCAACCGCCAAACGGTGCCCGCGGGGCAGCCACGCCCATATTTGGTCCAAATCAGGCCCAATTTAGCCAAATACCCTAAACATGCCCAAAACCCAGATTTTAGGTGCTCTACTTGTAGCTAGTGCTCCCCTGAACTTGTATATATGAATTTTTTGTGAAACTTGGTTTCGAGATAGCAGTTTACCAACAAACTAGGACCGGTAACCGAACTTTTGAGGGGGTCCCGGACCCCAACCGCCGAACGGTGCCCGCGGGGCAGCCACGCCCATATTTGGTCCAAATCAGGCCCAATTTAGCCAAATACCCTAAACATGCCCAAAACCCAGATTTTAGGTGCTCTACTTGTAGCTAGTGCTCCCCTGAACTTGTATATGAATTTTTTGTGAAACTTGGTTTCGAGATAGCAGTTTACCAACAAACTAGGACCGGTAACCGAACTTTTGAGGGGGTCCCGGACCCCAACCGCCGAACGGTGCCCGCGGGGCAGCCACGCCCATATTTGGTCCAAATCAGGCCCAATTTAGCCAAATACCCTAAACATGCCCAAAACCCAGATTTTAGGTGCTCTACTTGTAGCTAGTGGTCCCCTGAACTTGTATATGAATTTTTTGTGAAACTTGGTTTCGAGATAGCAGTTTACCAACAAACTAGGACCGGTAACCGAACTTTTGAGGGGGTCCCGGACCCCAATCGCCAAACGGTGCCCGCGGGGCAGCCACGCCCATATTTGGTCCAAATAAGGCCCAAATCAGGCCCAATTTAGCCAAATACCCTAAACATGCCCAAAACCCAGATTTTAGGTGCTCTACTTGTAGCTAGTGGTCCCTTGAACTCGTATATGAATTTTCATCAAGATTAGACGAAAAATGACTGAGTTATGAGCCAAAAACCATGTGACGATATTTGGGCATACACACCAAATTTCATCGATTTTGGCCCATAAATTGGTCAAATATCAATATTTTTGAATGAAACCAACTTTGTATGGAAGGCCAAGGTAAGCATATACTACAGATTCTCTATGATTATCAGCTCAATATCTACCTAACTGTGGATTCTGTGTTCAAATAGTTGCAAAAAATGAACAAAATCACCCATATCTCAGTTCGCGATATTTGCAAAACTGACTTCTCTCAAAACAATAGAACTCAATAGGGTTTCAATATTTTTTCATGACATTTTCAGAATCGACGTAGAATTGCCTCATGACCTTAAGTTTTGTATTAGAATTTTGAGTTAGGCCTTTAAAAAAATTTGGCGGCCAAATTCTGAAATTTGCCGGGCAAAATCGATCAAATTTGGTGCAGTTGGGGTCCGGGACCCCCTCAAAAGTTCGGTCACCGGTCCTAGTTTGTTGGTCAACTGCTATCTCGAAACTAAGTTTCACAAAAAAATCAGGGTGAACCCCCCCCCCCCCCCCCCCCTTAAGTCCTTTGTTAGAAAACCTGCCAACCTTTCTATGATATTGTTGTTAGGTGCATCTACCTTATCCAGTCAGATTTAATTTGCAGCTATAAACTTGTGTTTACTTAATAGTTTAACCACCGTCCAAAGCAAAGATGCACAATCCTCTCAAATAGGTATCATTTACAGCTGAGCATAAGGGTTAAATTCAATTAAAATTATTAAAACTTTTGGTGCTGTGTAGAAATAACATTAATTACTTATCGTTATTATTATGTAATTTTTTGGCACTTAACATTAGGTAGGTCAATAAATATATTTAATAAATTGTAAAAACTATAATAATCTGAATAAAATGTACTATGACCCTGGCCCCTTGATGTTAAATGCAACCCATTAATACATCTATGTACACTGTACAGGCTCTTAGACCAAGAGTGAGTATTGGTCTGCTATTTTAACAGCACCACTACGTTTCAATTCTTTTTCCCGTACAAGAACTGTCACCATGGTTTTCAAAAGGTTAAATATCTCTCATTGCTTCAGTATAATATCGTCGACCAGACTTACTGCACAGCTTATCAGCTAGCTTCTTGAAAAAAAGGTGTATTTGCCTTAATTCCCATTTTGCTTATAATAGTAGTTAATGGAAATAATAATAATAATAATTCTATACAGTTACATAATTGAAACAATTATGGCCCCTTATTGTGGGCAGAGTATGTGTCTTTGTTGAATTGTCCTGGTATAAACTTATCTGAGTGACTGCATTAAAATAATTTAAGGAGAGTTCTCTTAAAACTTTAAAACAATGGGGATAAATGGGGATAAATACTAAGACCTAATAAATCAAAACAAAATGCAGCCACCTAATTTGTTGTTAATCTTTCTCTCCCCCTACGATTGACTAGTGGGACCATTTTAATGTTAATGGAAATATTATTATAAAATATCCGTGTTCAGCTTCAATTATTCTTTTATTGTAAGCATTTTTTTGTCAATCATGGTTACTACACCTGTAGATTGTAAATACTCATTAAAGATCCAAAAGCCTTATTAAAATATCCTTGTGCATGAATTGCGAGCTTTCATCTAGTCGGGATTAACTAACTAAGTTATAATCTATCAAAGCTTAAAACGTGCATTTGTATAGCACGTGACATGGCCATTGCTGATATAGATAAGATAAACATATTTCGAACAGTATGCAGATAATTTCAGCGACGGTAATCGTCTAGCTATAAGGCTGATAAGGTTACATTCATAGTTCTTAATTTGTGATTGACGATGTCAACCCTTGACGAATGTTACTCGTCTAAATTTCTTCGAAGTAGCGCGCGCCGCTTTCTTCACGAAATATTATGGCTCGAAATATATGGCCCGATGGCAAGTGCTAAGAAGTAGCGCGCGTCGGGCCATTCGGCCATATTAACAATGGTCAATGTCAACCCTTAAAGATTAATATTTATATGCAAAAAGTTTGTAAAGCGATGCACTACCAACTACTTAAGAAAACAACAACTTTCAAAAAACAACAATTGGGCCGCGCCGCGCATCAAATAAAATAATGCTTAGCTTCACGCAACTTTCAGTAGATCGGCAAAATGAACTATTGGGCCTTATGCACCAAGCTGCCAAGGATTGACATCGTGACATGAATCAAGCAAGAAGTAAAATACAATTTGGTTGCCATTTATATTTATAAAAATTCATTTTGTGCCGCCACAGGAGGAGAAAAGTGCAAAGAAACAGCTACTAACTGCTACTAACTGCTAGCTACTTACTGCCACTAACTGCCACTAACTGCTACTAACTGCTGCAATCTTGACGGATGTTACTTGTCTAAATTTCTTCGAAGTAGCGCGCGCCACTTTTTTCACGAAATATTATGGCTCGAAATATATGGCAAGTGCTACGAAGTAGCGTGTACCGGGCCAGATCATTGACAATGGTCAACTGCAATCGAGCGCCCACGCATTCGCGCGCCGTTTGTAGCAGTTAGTAGCAGTTAGTAGCAGTAGGGGGTGCACGATAAATATAAACTTGCTCGGATTTAAAAATATTTTTACCACTGTTTTCTAGAGACTGTAAGTGTAAGAATTTGTTCAATACCAAATTTGTCATACCTTTTTGGAAAAATCAGTAAGTTTCGCCTAGGTGCCATATTTGATGGTGCGCGGCTTTTGGAGCAAAAGTAGCGTAATTTGACCAAATTCGTTGATTTTTGTCGTATTATTTGGATATATCTTCGGTTCCTTGAATGAGATCATTCTGAAAATTGGCGACGACCTTCCAATTGGTCATACGTTGTATGATCCGCCGCGCACGAGTGCGCGGCTCCCCTGTATCGTCAGACCAGGAATTAAACTGACAATTATTAAATTTCAACATGTTTCAGTCTTATTTCCTATATTCAACAATTTTGACGACTTGGGTTCCCTGGACTAAAACTTTGCCATTTTGACGTAATCTTTGATTAGCAATCAAAGAAATATCGAGTTAACCAATAATTGATAATGGCACACGACAAGCTTTTGAAATGTAAAATTGCGAATGAAGATTTAGAAATAAATAATTAGTATCACCAAACTGCCTCAAGTAAGAGTTTTCTTGAACCGAAATTTTACTGTTTTTTGCAATTTAAGTTAAAATATTTTGACTGAATTAACGCAACGTAAATTTGCTTACGATTTGCTTGTCGATGACGATAACGAAGAAAGAGTTCGATAAGAATTAAAACAATCAGGAGGTGAGAGGTGCAATTACTAGATCACGTGTGCAGTGGACAGAGGAGGGGGAGCGCGCGACTAAATACTTTTTTGGACTGGAAAAATCAAACGGCAAGAAAAACAGTATTAGTAAACTGATAGACATCAAAGGCAATGACCTCACAGACCAGGAAAACATCTCTAGTCACGTGGTTAACTTTTATCAGAACCTGTATAACTCAACTAACCCATCTCCCACTGAGATAGATAATTATGTAACCAGTAGCGATTTAAAGCAAATCCCACAAGAAATTACGGAAACTCTGGAGGGGCCTATCACGTTGCACGAAATGGATGCTATTCAGTGGCGTAACGAAGGGCCCTGCTGACCCCGCTGTGCAGGGGGGCGCCGTCTTAGGGGGGCGCCAAATTGTCGTTTGAATGTGGGACAATTTCGAAAACTTAACTAAAGTACTAGCAAAACTGCGCGTTTTGCTCTAGATACACACTTTTTTAGAGATTTTTACCGGCGTATCTTCTAAAATCACCTAATTTGTTCAATTTTAGGGAGGGGCACCAAAAGGGGAGGGGGCGCCAACAGGGGGGCGCCTTTTCGGCAGGGGGGCGCCAACAGGCAACGTTACGCCACTGATGCTATTGTCAATAAGTTACATACATGCTACATGAAGAGGTCTCCTCCTAGTCGTTGGAGTGGCCTGCATCACACACATCTCTTCTACGGCGTAACATGTTCCTCCATTCCACTCGCTTTAGAGCCAACTGTTTTACTGCATCTCTGCTGATGTTATCGACACCTGTAAATTCAGCCGCATCCTCGAGTACACAGGCCATCCAGCCTTTGCGGGGTCGTCCTCTCAGTCTCTTTCCATAGTTTGGTTTCCAATCCAGTAAGAAATTGGGGAACCGCGTCTCTGGCATTCTGACAACATGTCCGTACCACCTTAGTCTAGCCGCACCGATGAAAGTTTCGATAGACTTAATTCCAGCACGCCTGAGAACTTCTTCATTGGAGACATGGAAGAACCACTTTATCTTCAAGATTCTTCTCAGGGAGGTCAGATGGAAGACCTCAAACCGTTTCATCTGCTTCTTTGTTGTGTTCCACACTTCAGCTCCATATAACAGAATAGTAATAACAGCAGCCTTGTAGATACGGATCTTGGTGGGCGTTCTTATAGTTCGACTGTTCCATATCTTCCAAAGCTGATGGAACGCACCATTAGCACGCTGGATCCTGATGTCAAGATCTCGGTCAATGGTACCATCCCCACTGATGTTGGCACCAAGATAAACAAAGTTGCTGACCTGTTCAACAGGTTCTCCCTCCACTGTTAGCTTTATACTGTCTCTTTCGGTGTAAGGTCGCTGGGACGCACTTCAGTATTGTCCATCACTGCCAGATCATCAGCGTAGTCACTATCCATGATAACTTTTTCATCTGCACCCTTTAGTTCCTTTTGCAGTACAGCACCATGACTGATTGCCTTGTGAACCTCGGCCAAAAAGATTCCAAAGTTCAGACAGAAATTAAATACAGGAGGGCCCTGGATATCACCCTGTCCAGTGCCCGAATTAACAGAGAACCAATCAGACATTTCACCATTAACCCTGACAGCACTCATGGTTCCGTTGAAGAATGCCTGAAAGATTCTAACGTATTTCTCAGGAAGTCCATAGTGTCTCATGCTTGACCAAATCAGGCTTGTCCGCCGTGGCTAAATGGATCGGCGGCGGCGTTTCACTAAAATTACACCGGCGGCGGCGGCGTACGCCGGCGTGAGCCGTGAAATCAAGGCCAACTTAATTGAGGTCTATGAAATATGAATATGATCATGTACTTAATTTGGGTAATTTAGACTTAACTTCAACAAATGATGTTGGTATATTGTTATGGTATTATCTGCTATCAAAGTTGAGACAAATTAATACAATTATTTTATTTAAGGTAAAATACATAAACAATAAATTATTGCTGAAATCAATGGATCTCTCATTATGTTTTGTTGGAAACAAAATCATAGTTTTTAGAACAAAACAGTGTATATTTGAAATTCTTAACATTCATCCTAGATCGGTGACTAGAAAGAATTAAACCTGCAGCCGACCAGGTTCTTTCAATTTCCGCACGACTGGCAGGTATACAATGCACTATTCTTACTATGTTTGAGAGTATTGGGAAAGTTTTTTGCCTATCGGCCCAAAATCTTAAAAGTTCGAATTGTAAAATTTCTTCTTCAGTCAAACTTATGAGTAGGTATCTGCTCAGTTCTTCTGATAATCAATATTGTTAAGCTTAGTTAGCTAAAGGTGTGTATCATGTGTGTGTTGCCCCTAGCCGCTAATCGCTATCAGTAACACTGATATCTTCAAATGAAGACAGAATTATTTTGAAGTCAGAAAATGCACGCCGTACGCCGATGTACGCCGGGGTGTATCGGCGGCGTTCGGCGTGGCAAAATCACCCGGCGGCGGCGGCGTTCGGCGGCGGCGGACAAGCCTGGACCAAATAAACTCTCTTCTGATGGAATCAAACGCTGCCTTAAAATCAATGAAATTAACATAAAGTGGAATGTTAAACTCAATGCAGTTGTGAATAATGGTGCGGATGGAATAAATCTGATCAATACATGAGCGGTTCCGTCTGAACCCACACTGATTTTCCCTAAGAAGACACTCCATTCCAACATCCAGCCTCTTAAGAAGAACCATTTGAAGAACCTTAGAAGACGTTGCCCTAAGAGTTATACCCCTATTATTGCAGCAGTATGAGGTGTCTCCCTTCTTTCCGATAACCACTATAACACCTTTAAGCCAATCCTCAGGGATCACCTCTTCCTCCCATACCTTTTTAAACAGTAGCTCTAGTTGGCCAACAAGAGCACTTCCACCATACTTAAGTTGTTCATTAGTTATCTCATCAACCCCTGCACTTTTGCAGTTCTTCAGTTTCTTTAGAGCATAACTAATCTCATCTCTAGAAGGAGGTCCATCAGAACAAGAAAGGTAGTCAAAACTCGGTTGTGAGGGCACACCATCGAGGTCATCAAGATTGCCATCCGATAGTGGAGGATTTAAGAGCTCAGTAAAGTGCTCCTTCCACCTTTCCTTCTGACTGTCCGGGTCTGTAATAAAATGACCGTCCTTATCCCTAACTGACATACCCACTTTCTTCTTCTTTTTCCCAGAAATCTTCTTTATCTTATCCCAAACTTCCCTTTGCTGGCCTTTCTTAGAAGCCTCCTCTAGATCAGTCGCTATTTTAGTAGCCCAGTTGTTGTCGTCAATTTTACAACTTTTCTTAACTAATTTATTAAGTTTAGAGTAGGCTGATCTATTGACGTTTGAAGTGGGATCCCTCCGTTTGAACATTCCCCGTTGCTCTATCAAGTTCTTAGAGGTTTGCGAAAGGTGTTGTTCTTTAACCTTCCGGGGACGCTTTCCAAGCACTTCCATCGAGACATCAGTGACTGTCTGCTTGAAATTATCCCACATGTCCTCAAGGTTGACCTCATTAGCCAGACAATCAAAACGGTTCTGAAGAGCCACGTTGTACTCTTGAACCTTAGACGAGTTTCGCAAATGTTCGATAGCAGGCACATCATGCCTTTTAGCAGTGATCTTAGCTAACGACTGCAGTTTGATTTGCAGCCGTCCACGAACAAGATAGTGATCTGAACCAATGTCCGCCCCACGACATACCTTAACATCGAGTAGCGAGTGTTGGAATCGTCCACTAATACAAATATGATCTATTTGATTCACAGTTAACCCGTTGGGAGACCGCCATGTACCCTTGTGGATGTCTCTATGCTGGAACAGAGTTCCACCAATAACAAGTTGATTGGCTGCACAGAAATCCATGAGCCTGGTCCCATTGTCGCTTGATGAACTATGGAGAGATTCTCCACCAATAACTCCCTCGAATCCATATCTAGGTTTGAAGTAACTTTTCCATTGAAGTCACCCAGTAGCAGTTTCAGATCATGTCGGGGCAGTTCACCAAACGTGTCTGATAAAACGTTGTAAAAACGATCTTTCTCTCCGTCATCAGCACCGTCAGTCGGAGCGTAGGCTACAACAACAGATATGTTGAGGTGTTTGCCGTGTAACCTAGCTGTTAAGACCCGCTCTGATGTAGGTACATAAGAGATCAGGGAGTTCCTGACCTTTTTGGAAAGACATAGGCCAACCCCTTGCCTTTTGATACCATCTCCCCTACCAGAATGAATAAGTAGACTACCATTGTCAATAAGTTAACCAACAATAAATCTCCAGGTTGGGACGGGCTTTCTGCTGAATTTTACAAAACTTTTTGGATGGATATCAGGCAGATCATGTATAACTCCTATTAAGAATCTATTAACAGGGGATGCTTGTCGCCCTCGCAGAGAATAGGTATTCTTACTCTTATTCCCAAGCCAAAAAGTCCAGTGGAACTTAATTACATAAAGAATTGGAGACCTATTTCTCTGCTAAACATTGACTATAAAATCTTCACACATATAGCTAAAAATAGGATTATGAAGGCTATCCCTAGCATAATCAGCAAAACCCAGTCAGGCTTTCAAGCGGGCAGGAGTACAGCAGATAATCTTATTCTCATGTCAATGGTTCTGGAATCATTTAACAACGACACGGAACAAGAGGGCCTCCTTTTACAGATTGATTTTGAAAAGTGTTTTGATTCGGTAGAACATAACTTTGTCTTCAGTACTCTTGAAAAATTGGGTTTCAGCGAATACATTATTAAACTGATTAAAGTGGCTTTTCAAGCATGCTTTAGCTACGCCAATATTAATGGGTTTTTAAGCTCGCCTATTTATATTCTAAGAGGTCTTCACCAGGGTAGTCCACTGTCTCCTATTCTCTTTCTGATTGTGGCCCAAACTTTCTCGAATAAAATCCAGATTAATCCTAATATCAGGGGTCTTAACATATCAGGTGTGGAAATCTTACAGAGTCTCTTTGCAGACGACACTGATCTGTTTCTGAAAGCTTCAATTGAAAGTGTAGAGGCGGTTATGACAGAACTCAGAACTTTTGCTCAGTGCTCGGGGTGTAAAGCTAACATCGACAAAACTAGATGTATTCCTTTAGGTCGAGCTCGTCTTAATACAACTCTACTAGAATCCCTTCAAAGTTTATACGGCTATGATTTTATAACAAATAACTTCACCGCTTTGGGTATAGTTTATATGAACGATGGCTCACTGATGGATATTGTCAACAGTAATTATAATGATAAATTGATTAAGGTTCAGTCTTGGATAAACCGATGGAGCAAGAGGGATTTGACGCTGATGGGTAAATGCACAGTCATTAAAACCCTTCTCTTTTCCCAAATAACATATTTTGTTTCTCCTCTCCCTCGACCGGATGCTTCCTTTATCAAAATCTTTGACACGGCTATTTTCCATTTTCTTTGGGGTTGCGAACGCGATAAAGTAAAACGTGAGATTATTACCCGAAATAAGGAACATGGAGGCCTGGGACTTTTTTATTTATCTGATTTTATTATAGGTCTCAAAACCAGCCTCATATCCAAGCTACTAAATAATTCCTTTCACCACACTTGGAAAGATATTATGATTATGCAGCTGAAATTTCCTGACCATATCACCATCTCCGTAGAAAACGGTCTCGCTAAAACCAACTGCCATTTTACTCAAGACGTCCTTAATTGTTACACTGAGTGGAAGATAAGTTCGGTAAATGCAGCCTTGGGTTCTATTGATCACTGCGTGTGGTACAACCAAGCAATAACCGACATCGGGGCCAAACTTTGGAACAATCATCTGATTAATAAGGGAATATTTTACATCTCAGATTTCCTTTCTATAGACCAAAGTACAATCCTTAACTACCATATGTTCATTAACAAGTGGGAGCTGTCTCCAAATATGCAAATGGCAATAGATTTATAGATTAGCAAGCTAAGTAAGTATACATACAAAGCATTTTACGAGTCCAACTCGGCGCGCGTCTGGTAGGTTATAAATCTACAATCCTAACCCTAATCTCAAATTGTCAAATCTGGCAAGCCATAATCCCGGCCCTTATCTAGCTTGCGATATATTATTAGTAATAAAGAGCTATTATAGCACGATGAACTACTGAGCCGCGCAGCGCATCAAACAATTGGAACAAATATTTTACGAGTATCACCCGTTAAGATTAGGATTTTAGCATATGATTCAGTTTGGGATTAGGTTAGAGTTGCAGAAATCGAATTAGAGGGTTAGGGTTTCAATTTCGATCAATCATTTAACGGGTGATACTCGTAAAATATTTGTTCCATATATTTGATATTGGACCGTCGACGAGTCCAACTCGGCGTGCGTCCTGGTAGGTTGTAACATGTAAACCTATAATCAATCATCAATAGTCTCATTTAATTGGGACGAATAAAAGTTTACAACTTTAAATTTAGCTTTAGTTTGTAGCGCGATGCACTACTGGGTCGCGCGCGCGCATCCAATAATGCTTCTCGCAACCGCCGGTAGATCGGCGAGATGCACCACTGTGCCTCACCGAGCTGCGAAGGATTGACATCGTGAATCAAGCTTTAGTTTATTTGCAATTTGAGAAAAGTTAAATATTTCAACCACAAATTAAATGTTCAATTAAATAAGCGTTATTCAAATTTCAAAATTCGAATGATTAAGTCTGAATACAGAATACAGAATAGAAATCAAAAATTGTTCAATGACAATTAATTTTAATTTACGTTTTCAATGGCCTGTTCGAGTGATTTCGGCAGATGCTCTGGCGGCAACGTACAGAGTAGATTATCTACATCAGAACGCAAAAGAAGAAGCACAGCACTAATCTTCACTCTAGCTACTTTTAATGTCCTGGGTATTACTTCTCCAGTTAAACGGGATGAACTTTTGAGAGATTGCTATTATCGTAAAATAGACATTCTCGCTGTGCAAGAAACAAAATGTCGTCACTTTGAGGATTCAGTTTTGCATTTTACAGATGATGATGGGAAATCACACAAATATCGCTTCATAAACTTTCAGCAATTTGACAATAAGTGGCAAGCAGGAATTGGTTTTCTTGTAAATTCAGTCTATACCAACTACATCAAGTGTTACAACAGTATCAGTGACAGGGTTGCTTATCTAGATCTTGAGATACCAAGTAAATCAGGTAAACCAAGACTTTGCCGTGTTATCAATGCCTATGGACACACTCAAGTAAATTGTGATAAGTATCTGCAGAGACGTGATTATTTCTACAAGTTTCTTGGCAAAGCTGTTGATATCCCATCAAGTTGGGACTTATATATTCTTGGAGATTTCAACTCTCGACTCGGTAAATTGTCTCATTCAGATATTGTTTTCGGGTATAATGACTTTATGGGTATGTATGGGTCTGGAAAGAGGAATTCAAATGGAGAGCATCTTCTTAATTTTCTTGCTGATAAAAAACTTTTTGCTTGCAACACTAGCTTCCAGCACCCTGTCCGTCATATAACAACAAGAATTGGTTTTATGAAAGACTACTCAGCTCCTAAAAACTCACATCGCACTTTGCCCTACTACTCTCAAATTGACTATGTCCTATGTAGCAGTCGATTGAAGAAACTTTTAGTGAATTCTCGAAGTTATGGGGGTACTCTTGTTAAATCTGATCACAAAATTGTTATTACACGTTTCAACTTCAGTGACGCTCACCTTGTCTTCCCCAAACAGAAACCTAAAATGCATTTTGATATCACAACCCTTGTCAGTAATCCTGCTGCTAAAATGCATTACAACAACACATTGAATGATATTCTAACAGACAGCCCTGTTAATCCTAACCCTGAGGAAGAAATGAATAGTTTGTTTCACAATGTACATAAAGCTGCTGAGGTTAGTATTGGATACCTTCCTAGGAAACGCCCTAAAAACTTTTGTAATGACCTTGAAATTCGAGAGATGTCTGATGAAAAGAAAGTTCTACAAGCTCTACTCAATCAGAACAATACCTCTGAAGATAGATCAGTTATACGTACCAAAATCAATCGTATTCAAAATGACACTCGTAAGAGAATCAAGCTCCTTCAAGAAGAGCATGCAGACACTCTTGCTGAAGAGATAAACGAAACTGATAGTTCTAGAGCATACTTTGCAGCCACTCGCCAACTAGCAGGTATCAAACGTGCTCCAACCATAAGTGTGCATGATGAAAACTCTAACTTCATAGGTACAGACACTGGAAAAGCTGCTACACTAAAGAACCACTTTGAAGAGAAGTTCACTGCAAAACATACAGTTGAGCCTATTGACACTTTCTTTGATCAACCTAGTCCTCTCGCTGACCCTATTACTGCTATTGAAGTTGAGATAGCTGCTAAAGCTTTGAAGAATGGTAGAGCCACTGGGCCTGATGATATCCCAAGTGAATTGATTAAGTATGCAAACAGAAGTGTATTTCAGAAATATGCAGACTGTATAAATACCGCATTTGAAACAAACACCACCATAACATCTATTGGAAAAGGCAACATTACTCCACTCCAAAAGCCTAAGAAACCACTTGGTCCAGCAGCAAACATCAGACCTCTCACCCTCTCAAACTGCTCCAGAAAATTACTGTCAATGATTACCCTAAAACGTATCCAAGGCAAGCTAGATCAGTACACCGGTCCTACACAAAGTGCTTACAAGAGAGGTAGAAGTTGTGGCGATATAATTTGGTCTCAACGTATGCTAACCTCAGCGGTACTTAGAAAGCATTGGAGCTACCACAGAATGAGTATAGACATGTCAAGTGCCTTTGACACCATCAGCAGAGAAACAGTACTCAATGTTCTTGAAGATGCTGGCTGTACTAGTGATGAAATTAGGATGGTACGGCTCCTACTATCAAACACAGTGTTGAAAGTAAAAGTCAATAATACTGTATCAATTGAGTTCCAAAGCACAACTGGAGCATCTCAAGGAGATGCACTATCAGGTAATCTATTTACTGTTGTTGAAGCCGCTGCACTTATTCACCTCAGATCTGTACTCTCCCAAGTATCATCAACACCTTACCCAGTGAATCATCCAATCCCTAATCCTCCTATCTCAGAAGAATTCATGCCACTCGAAACAGGATACTCTGATGATATTGACTTTAATAACACTGAACTTGCTCCACTCAAAGAAATGCCTCCTATCGCTAAAGATATATTCCAGCAGTGGGACCTTCATATCAATTCTTCCAAAACTGAATTTGTCCATTTTTATTTAGCAGATCCTAAACCCACTGTTAAACGCAAGGTAATTGTTGGAAAAGTGTATAGAGGTGATGAAGAGTGGCGCTCTAACAAAACTTTAGGATCGTTGATGTGCACTGTTAAGGATATCAAGAATCGAATATTCCTTGGTAATGTTGCCTTTAGTAAATTTCAGAAAGTTTGGATGAAGAGCAAGATTTCAGTCCAAAGGAAGATCAAAATCTACGAGGCACAAGTAGTCTCTATTCTACTCTACAACTGCAACTCCTGAGCTGCACCACTAGCTTCGTTGAATGAACTTGATATTGCTCATCGCAAACACCTCCGAAGAATCCTCAACATCAGATGGCCTACTGGGGTTATTTCTAATGAGGCACTCTATGCTCGTTGTTATGTCACTCCCTTGTCTGTGAGAGTCTCTAAGTTTCGATGGAGAATGTTAGGACATATTTTAAGAGGACAGGAAGACTCACCAGCATACACCTCTATGTTATTTGCTATAAATTCTGATATTTTTATGGAAGGGAGACGGGGGTAGACCATGTTTAAACTTATTAGATGTTATTAGAAAAGACTTGACTAGTAGAAATCTTGATATTAGACTTAAGAATTTGACTGATTTCGAAGACCTTAGATTTTTAGCTTTAGATAGGGAGGAGTGGAAGAAGTTAGAAGATGGTTGATGTTTTTGTTTTCTTTTTTTTATGCGTTTTGATATCTATAAGGTGCCTATAAGGATGCTCTTTTAAAGAGATATTTCGTACTTTGAAAGATTTACTACTACTACTACTTACGTTTTCAATCTGAACTTAAAATTAAATTAATAATGAATATTAATTATCTCAACCTGATCCTCAAAATAAGTTTATATGAAATATAACCATCATGTTTTGAATCAGTGATCTGTTGAGTTGGAAAATAAAAAAATTGAATGTGAAAATTGGTATGCTGTAGATCAAAATATAATGAACGAGTAAATCATTTGCCAGTAACCAGTAACCAGTAACCAGTGACCAGTAACCAGTAACCAGTAACCAGTTACCAGTTACCAGTTACCAGTTACCAGACATGAGCTTTCTAGTTGACGAGTGCCAACATAGCTCGTTTGATCCAGGCCAAGGGTCCAGAGGAGCTGAAATCGTGTTCGACCTCGGGCCACTCTTCTAAAGCACGTTCTTTTAATTCGTTCAGTCTGGATCCACCTGAAAAAAAAGCAGCATTATTTTTGTGATCGTGAGTAAAGTATTTTAATATGCTCAAACTCAAAGCTCAGCATGTATTTAGATTTTAACCATGACTAATTTTTAGCTGATAAAGTAATTGTTAGTATGTAGTAATGAGCGTTTTCGTTATCTTTATCTAACATATATCTTAAATTTATTATTTAAATATTTTCACTGAAATATCTCTCCTACAGTTGATTTTTACCTTCAACAAGACAATACAGAGACGCCACCAACAAAACGAACGCGACAGATCTCCACTGCATGTCTGTACTTCTAACTATTATGTTTCAGATTGTTAACGAATAATATTGATAAGAAGAATTGCCCAAATTAGATACCAAAAGATTAATTGCCAAAAGATAAATTACGCAACGACCTTTAAGGGCCCAATACCGTTGTTTTTAAATTGTGGCACTCGCTTACTCGCTAGTCGCTACAACCAGAATAAAACTTAAAAGCTTCGACATAATATCGGCCAATTTCTGTGGAATCAGTCGGTGGGTTTTCTAAAATAGTTTCAAGCATTATTCTGAGCTTTGCCGGGTTTGGTTAAGTGGGAAGTTGTACTTAGAAAGAGTGTTCCATCCAAGAATCCTACAGAGAAAGTCAGCTTCTTTTAATCCATTTACTTTTAGAGCTGCTATAAACCCAATTGACACGACGATGGGCTGACAGCTGTTTCTGTAAGACTTTGTCCGCAAAGATACGGTTACTACAGCGGGGAAAACTGCTTAAACTAATTTACAAACCCTCATTAGGGTTCATAATCATAATTATCATATCATAATGGAATGGAAAAGTGTTAAGTACAAGGTTAATGTGGTTTAAGGAATTAAGCTCAGGAAACATCAATGGATCCAACACCCTTGCATTGTTCTACAGTGAGAATTGCTTGATTAGTAATAGTAGTTATTATAGTACATCTGACTGGATCAGGGTACATATTTAAGGGTCGAGCTAGTTCGCGAGATATCATTACAGATCAACAGAAACGAGTATTGCAGACAAAATGAAGATCCTCTTCGTCCTATTCCTTGTCGGAGCTGCCCTGGCTAAGGAGTCCCCACTTAAAGCCATTCTACGATCCCCGGTGGAAACTCTGAAGCTCTACAATTCCTTTAAAGGCGAGCAGCAACTCTCTTTTCATGCAGCTGAAGATCGAATGAGATTCCGACTGTTCAGAAAAAGCGCAGAGTTTGTGGCGGAAGAAAACTCTGTTGAAGGAGAAACGGCCGATTTCGCTCTTAACTTCTTCTCTACCTTGACCGAATCTGAGAAACAATCCTGGCTAGGGTTTAACGCTACCGGTGCAGAACCAAACCTTCTCCCTCAACCTAACTATGGGTCAGAAGAAGAGAAGGATATACCAGAAGAAAAACTGTGGACTGACGAAGGTAAAGTGACCGCTGTAAAGAGTCAAGGGAGCTGCGGATCCTGCTGGACCTTCGCAGGAGTTGGCGGACTGGAGACAAGGTACGCTATAATAGCTGGAATTCTGAAGACATTTTCTGAGCAGGAGTATTTGGACTGTGTCTACGAAGGAAGGAGAGACGGGTGTAGAGGAGGTTGGATGGAGAATTGTTACGAATTTTCAGCCGAAGCTGGAGGACGCCTTGCTAAGTCAGCAGATTATCCATACACTAAACAAGACGGGGACTGCCTGGGTTCCAGCAAGCCTGATGCCATGATAGCTGCAAAGATCACCGGGAATGTTCCAGTTGCGCGAAGTGAGCAGGCGAACATCGAAGCTCTGGCAGAAGGATCTCTTGCTGTAGCCTTTGAGGTCACCGGCAGATTCTATCAATACAAAAGTGGAATCTTCAAAGACACCACGTGCAAGAGATACCCTAACCATGCAGTCACAGCAGTTGGATATACCAAGGAGTACGTTCTGGTAAAGAACTCTTGGGGTTCACGTTGGGAGAAGCTGGATACGTGAAGTTTACACGAAACCATCACAACTGTGACCTGTGGAACCGCAGCAGTTACCCCAGGCTGACTCCTACTGGTATCATCGACGATGGAAAAAACCAACCACCCACTTCCGCTCCTGCTCCTGTCTGCAAAGATAGTAATCCAAAATGCGTTAAAAGTTGGTGCGCTCATGATTTAGACTACATTAAGTATGATCACTGCCAGAAGACATGTGGTGCGTGTACTGACGATGGAGATGATGGTTGAGATGATGGATATCCTGCAGAGGCACGACACTGTGTCCGGATGGAATCTGCAGACACGAACACATGTGTTAGTTCACACGTCTTTACAATTCGTAAAATTGCAATTTATCATTAATTGCATTGCATTTTAATATCTGTCGTTTTATTTGACATCTTGAACTATGATCAAAATTTGCATTGAACTGTATAAAGATATCATTTCTATTCTATTCATGCAATCGCTACAGAATCTTAAGACAGTTTCTTCTTACAAATACAATCCACGATCATTCCATGCGTATTTACTTTTAGGGCTTCGTACCTAACTGAAATTCTTCGGGTTCTCATACAAATTCCAAACTCTGACGATACGCTCCCACTGAACGATAGATAATTATTAAATTACATAATTATTAAATTACACTGAAACACGTTTTAGACTTTATCTTATGGTTGCGATTTAAAGAGAACAGTGTATTTCATATTAAAGGTACAGTATGTATACTTTGACATGTGACATTGTTTCTGAGTTTTGATTGATCAATGCTGGAAGCTGATTGGTAAAAACTGTCAAGTGCCAGAGAGTTAACTATCAGATTCCCACACGTCCTAACGAGCAGTGATTTACGCGGAACTAAGTTGAGCTAAACAGAGAGGAGAAACACTAAAAGCAAAATGGGCCCATCTCAGTCTATTTATTGGTTAGGGTTAGGTTTAGGGTTCCGGTTAGGAAATCAAAGTAACGGGTGTTATTTGAAGTGGAATAGATCGAGTACATGGGCTCGCTATAGTGGCGCCCAACAGCGAGTATCTGGTTGTAAACGAGCTCGACAATAAAAATGATGATAACCAGTTAATTAAGACGCAGTGCAGTTCACAACCTCTAGAGTAATGGCGTGTTTTCTGAGCTACAAGCACGTGCTATTGATATCGAATGCACTCCGAACCAGGCTTTTGTTTAGTTTTTAGAGGGATGGGCTTATCTATTGTGTTTGGAATAGAGTCTGGTGACGATGGTGCTTAAAGCACGGGAGTAGAGGGTGCAGCTTTAAATTCAATCGATTTACACTGACCAGCAGGCAACACGTGCTTCGGCAAATAGACTCTTCAAAAACTTAATATTTATATGAGAACCAAAACCTTAGATCATAGCGCTCAGCACTATCAAACTATTAGATCTTTGTAAGGAATCATAATTTTGTTGAGATAAGTTCACCAATGCAGTACGGGTAATGGGGTACGTAACTTCATGATAAGCTCTTTCACAAGATATTTAAAAGCTCTTTGGCGAGGGATTTAGTAGAAACAGTCAAACAGGGTAACCTCATTTCATTGATCAAACCATGTTACCAGGACGTGCACGTGTTATTTACTGTTAACTGTGGCTGTTATTTTATTTCTGGGGGCATTTTTATTTGGCACGTATCAGCAATTATATTAACCTACCAGCATCCATAAAACATTAAGGGTATATTCAGAGAAGGGGTGGGGGGGGGGGGGGCAAACATCCTTCAATGTACATACATTGTATCATTAGTCTGGTTACATTTTGGACGTTTGGCTGCAGCTAAATGCAGCTTACTCATACTGCCTAGCTTCTTACAGTTATGACTTGCTAGTAATAGTGGTTTTATTTTCAATTGAACCTCATAATCAGCCTGCTGTTAATTTTTACACCCTGAATGACTGTTTGACTTTACATTACAATGCCATTTACAGGTGCTCTCCGAGTCTAAATTAACATAAAATACCTTCATGATCATCGGTTGATTGAAATTTGGAAGGTTGATTGAAAATTCGGACGTTCGAATGATATCATATTTGGTGTATACTGTATACACTATGTTTATACAAGTTTTGGATTCCACTACAGTAGTTACTTAAAAAGTAAACCTATACGTAGATAAGAGGAGAATTCTTAGTTTGAGTCAAGCAAATATGGTATTTACCAATCGTGCGTAAAGTATTATACAATTATATACACAGTACACACGTATTCCCAACGTATCACTCACGCACATATGAGACAAAATTAAAATATTTTAGATCGAGTACTGACTGGTTAGCAACTGTTAACATTGGTTAGCAATTGTTAACATATGCTAAAACATGTTAAAATATATGCTAACGCAACTTTAAAGGTGCGATACACTGTACACTGTACACTGTCAAAGTTTAACTTGACATCAACACACTGTAGTCTGTACAGTGCACATGTCACGGCTGTACCGGCAACCCGAGGCCACATTTCAGATGTTCAAATATCATCAGTTATTTTGTAGTCGTATCTGTAAATAGTCTCGCTACATTTCTACTCGTTTTTTTACTCAGATACAAATTATACCGGCGCTCACAACAACCTGTACAATTACGCAATGTGTGGCCTAATTTTTGGCAAACTTCAAAGTGCACTACTCGCACTCGTATTGAATGACACTGGCCTGTCAGTTTTGTATTGTATCGTCTAATTTTGTTGGCGAACCTGGACTTACATAATTTTGTCCATCGCAGTACTGCTTTATAATGCAGCAACATCGCGTTACGCCAATCGTAAGTATTTTCCGAAGGGTTGATCTGTGTGCAGATAGTTTCCACGAATATGCCCAAATTAAACCAAGGCGAGCCGTACAAGTTGGTTATTAATTACTTTAAAGACCCTCCCAGTGCCGGCCAGCAACTTGATAACTCCAATATCTTGACAGATTTTACCTCTCGATTTCAGTGGTCAATGACCTTATTTAACGTTTTAATTTTTATCATACTTTGCTGTTGCTGGCTGCCGCAGAGAATCAGAGATTTACCGAAAGAATTGTGAATTTAATTATATTTCTGTAGTTTGATTTAGTTGATTCAAGGCTTGTGAAAAATGATCGGGAAAGTTTAGATTAATATTATTCAGTGTAACACTTTTCTAACCGGTTGATTAAGAAACAGTTCCTGAAATGAACTAAATAAGATAATGACTAAAATTTGAATTTTGATGATTGTGTGATGATAAGTACTACAGTGGTGCTACGCCTACACTGTAGTGCTACCCGAGGTGCATTTTCACTCGCAGAAAGTTTATTCTGTTAAATAATTGTCTGTGAGCATGTCGTCGTTCTTCATAAACCCTATTGCAACAAAATTGTAGGCAGACATCTGCGAGCAAATTCATCCCGCGGTTGCCATGACAATTTGCAAAATTGCACGTGCTGGCATAACCATCAACTGATTTTGCTAATATTTTAAAGAATTTCATAGGAAACTGTGACTTAACTCAGATTCCACACGATTTTAGAATGGATCACCCTGATGAAATGAAAGTCGTCTGACACAAAGTTCTTTTCGTCACATCTTGCTGTTGTATGCTACAGATAAGTGTCTTTCCCTGCTACCTAAACTCAAAGGACCAATACTAATGGGGTGTTTGCAAAGTATCATTAGGGAGTCATCAAATTGGTTATTTGGCATCAAAGAACAATGTCCGGATTTGTCAGAATCGGCAAGAATTGGAGTTTCGGTGATGTTCTCCACTCTTTTTATTATCGTGTTATTGTTCGCTGCCTCGCTCAAGAAAAGACTGGCTATCATTGAGGTTTGTCTTTTTCACTTTCATACGTACATCGTATATTCCTAGTACTGTCAAAACTCAAAACAACTTTGACCTCTGCAACAGCAGCAGCATTTTTAAGTTATCTGTATCCTAACCAATTTTTTAACAATTTTACACCAATACATTCTTTAAGGCGGAGAACGAAAGTCTACGAAAGGAAATGATCAGATTGCAGATGTTAACTTTGGATATGATTGACACAGTTATCTCCGACTCAGCAATAAACCCTCCGAAAATCAGTTCAGACATTTGTCAACAGTCAACTTCAGACAATATTCATCTTTCAACATCAGACATTGTTCAACCGAGAGATTCGTGCAGCAGCGGTTACCTTTCGAACAACAGCGAAATTTTGCTTAACCACTCGAATGGCTTCAGTGTCGATCATTACAAATATCATTGTTTAAAAACAGCACTTGGTAGTGACAACAGCTTCCAGATAAGAAATGATAACGACGATCATAATTTTAACGAACCTAATTTGGCACAAGAAATTCATGCTACAGTGATAGGGCAGGATTTTTCGAGAATCAGAATGTCAGATCGTCTCAGATTGAGGAATTCTTCGAGTAAAACATCTTGATTTTTAATTATCTCCTATTTTTTCTTGTGCAGTTTTATCATTACAGAGCTTGTCGTTGATTACCTGGGGGGGGGGGTGTAATCTTTACATTTTTACACTTTTTTACATTATACTTTTGCCTTTTTTGGTGTATGGTGTAGTAAAAAGTGTAGTAACAAAGGTACACCTTTTTACATTTTTAATACACTTATTACCAAATTATCTTCTAAAAATCATCTTTTTTCCTATTATTTTCCAATCAGTCTTCACATAGTACATTTCCAAAGGTAAAACATACCTTTGGTGAGAAACAAATGTCACTTTACACTTTTTAAGGCTATTTTACACGACACTTTTGCCCCCCCCCCCCCCCCCCCCCCCATTAAACTCACATTATTAGGGGACTAATCGAGCAATAATATTAAGCCCCAATTACAATCTCATGGCATAATTATGAAAGTTGTAGCGCTTAGATTTGTCCGCAATTGTTATGTACTATCGTACTGGATCGAAGCTTTGCGTCGGACTTCCTTATGCCTTTATTTATTGTTTAAATTGTTGATATTGATTATTGAGATAAGTTTCAAGGCTTGGAGAATCCTCGGCTTAACAGTAGAAACTTAGTTTGGATGATTCGTCGACCACTTTATATCTTGTATATTATCTTATTATGATAACCAACAACCAGTGTCGATATCTACTACTGGAGAGGAATGAAAAAGACTATTTAAAGTGATTAAACTTTCACTAATACACACAGCAATCTTACATTATCTTAATACAGCTCACATGATTAAGTTTGAGTCTTGAATTACAATTTTCGTCATGGTGTTTTCTATTTATTGATATTATTAACATTATATTGTAATTTTTATTTGTACGAAATTTGTACACGAATGATAAAGATTTCAAAATGTTAAACTGAATAAACAGAATCGATTGATCAAAACGAACAACACTCACCAACACAACCCAATTGTCATATTATGATTCAGATCTTCGATCACTCCTTTTAACTGCACAAACACTGACAATCCAACGTCACACATTCAAATTCTTCTGACATAAATCAAAACATGGGGTCTGGGGATAATGCACAGAGTGTTCCAATTCCACATGTAAGACATAAAGTGTTTCAGTGACCGATCTTTTAGTGCAAATTCCATTTGTTAGGAGGACCTGAGGAGATATAATCATTCAGTTATGGGTTAATAAAATCCTCCCCCCCCCCCCCCCCTCCGTAATCAGTTTAACACATAGCTATTGTATCAAAATTACTCTAGCGTAATCATTTGGAAACTCCCCCCCCCCCCCCCCGGCTGATTAAATAATATGTGAACGACCTCTTTTCAACTTCCAAGCATTTTATAAGCCAATTAATTAAGAGGGAGTTCAACTCGGCTAACATGTGCACGCGCGGCGTTATGAAAACACACTGGCTGCTAAAAAGTTGTTATTTATCAGACTTCTGTCAATCTTAAATGGTCCGCGCCTGCCGCAGAGCACTCAAGCTGTAAAGCACCCAATGCTGTGACCACGGTTGCCATGGGTAACCAAATAACCCAATGATGAGATAGAGGGGATGAATGTGACCAATCTTGGTAAACAGATAGTTACAGCAAACTACGGTCCAGTGATGGTTTTAATCTACTTTAAACAACTCCTGATCCCAACGGACATACTGAATTTCTCACAGAAGTCATTTTCGAGATAAGGAATAAAATAAAAATAGAGCTATGTGAAAGTGGTAAAAACTATAAAGTATAAAGACAAGATGCTGCCATGATCTTACCTCACTTCTCTAAACCATCGTCACCGTACGATTCATTGTGAGGATTCCTCATCTTTTCCACCACATCTTGCAACAGAGAATGGAACATGCTGAAAACGCCAACTCCCGTGGCGGCGGATGTTTCCCAGTAGGTTAGTTTGTGAGATTTGGCCCATTTCTCGCCTTCTTCACGTGATACAACCCGTTCAACGTCTTGGTCGACCTGATTTGGTAAAGGATTGTAAGTATATTACGCCAAGTGCCAGTGGGGGATCGTTTGGAGAAGCTTACGATAGTTTAATTTTTGCACAATAGCTATGTACATTGTACAGTGTGTTTCAAAAGTCTTCATAGGATGTTCATTTTGAATAACATTTTATCCATTTGTCTAAACTTCATTCTGTAAAAAGTCACCGGTATTTCTGAGGTTTAATGGTGACTTCTGAATGTTTTACGGTACCATGGCCACCATAGCAACCGTAATCAATCCCCTAGCAACCGATGTAAATTCTAGTTTCCAAGAAAACGTTCACCTGACATACTGGTAGAATAAACTTTATGTAACCACATCTGACATCAACAACAACAAAACATACCAAACTCAGTGCTCACCTTATTAGCAACCACTACAGTGGCCAGGGGGAAGGAGCTAGCACACCGGACACACTCCCTGTTCCACGCCTCCATGCTTTGGAAGGATGCACGGTTAGTCACATCGTACACCAACATTACTGCCTGTGTCTGACTGTACAGCTCGTTTCGAACGTCATAGTACTCGAACTTTCCTGGGGTGCTGGGCATAAAGGGCTTCAGTCGGGTGAATGTGTTTTGAAAAATAAAGGCATTGACACTGCAATTTATATACCCTATATACCATAATGATTTTCAAACGTCACACTTAAATGGTAAATAACAATCTGAAGAAACAGATAAACTCACCAGCCATGTCCCAGAAGTGTACCCTGACATCCACATCCCCGATAACGTGTATCTTAAAGCCGTAATCTATACCAACTGTCGGGTGAAACTTTGCTGTAAACTTCTCCTCGCAGAATCTTTTAACTAGACAAGTTTTGCCGACCCCGCTGTCACCAACACCTGGAGGATACTTGGTGACGTCATCGGGTAATCTGTGACGTCAACAACATATTGATATGTACAGCTGATGTTGTTGACAAATTGGTGATAAATGTATAAATTTCGTTAATTTATTTTCATTGATTTGTATTCCATTCGACATCGACTCTATTACCTTGAAATAAAATTAAGTATCTGACTCAAAAAGCAAGTAAAACATTGAAAATATTTAATTTCTTCATCCTAGTTAAAATAAAAACAAATCTTAGCTATCCTTGGTAATCAAAAGATACAGAACAATGCTGCTAGATTTATCTTTGGTCTTTACGGAAAAAGATACGTGAACCTATCAAAAAAGCTCCACTTTCTACCTGTTCGGTTCAGAATCAAGTTCAAAATATCACTTCTGGTCTTAAAGTGTCTTAATAACATAGCCCCTCAGTACTTACAAGGACACATCAATCTAAGGGAAGTACGAAGACGAAGTTCCAGACTAGATGATGACTTTTATTTGTTGAAAGTTCCTCCTGCTCCTCATTTCAGACGAACGGATGCTGCATTTATGTTTTGTGGACCAAAAATTTGGAATGAACTACCCTACTCAGTGAGATCATTATCATCTGTAGAATGTTTTTAAAATGCGCTAAAGACGTTTTATTTCCACCTAGCTTTTGATAATATTTCTAATATTTGTCCATAATAATTTTACTTATATATTACCGACTATCTTGACCCAGGTCAGGTCGGCGATGGAGTTCATCGGGTCGAAAGGAAGATGTCCCTTTACTCTGTTTAGCGTCATGGTTCATCATATGAGATAACTGCTACGTGTTGTACATGTTTAACAGCTAAGAGGGTCATTATTGAGCTAATTAATTAATTAAATATATGTTAAATAATTTAAACTTAAGGGGCGATCACATGTTTTTATATTTTTGGCTGCGAAATCCTCCATGTACACACTATACAGCAGGTATTTTAAACCTTGACCACACGATAGCATGAGATCTCTAATGCTGACAAACTGAATTTTAAAGAACAAAACAATTATTATTTAATCTCTCTAAGAAGTCTTATTGTTTAAGCATGTCACTTCATAGACAGTGGCGACTAAGAATCAAGCTGCATTTTGCGAGAAAGGACACAAGCAACACAGTCAAGCAGCACGGCCAAGTTATGAAGCAGTCCAGCTACGAGACATTTGTGAAGGTGACCAGGCACTTAGTGACGTCATCTGGCACTTAGTGACGTCATAGGTGAGCGATTAAACTCGTGAAGTAGTAGTAAGTAAGTACAAGCAAGTACAAGTAAGAAGTCTGAAAGTTATAGGGAGTATTGGCGATTGTGAAGTTGAGAAATAAGCATATTATTTAAATTATTCAAGTAAACATTACAGGTACATTCTGCACTAAACTAGTGAACAATAAATTAATAACACCTCTCTAACGAATATCAGCTAGTCTAACAAATAACACTTTATGAAACAAAAATCAGCAGTCTATCTACACAAAAATAGCTCACAATAAAAGTAGGTCACAAAAAGTGGTGGTCATGGTTAAAGATTTACGTTTAAAACGTGTCATTTTTAGTAAAATCGTAGTCATTGTGGTTATAAAATTCATGAAGTCAGTATCATTTATGGTTGTCTTCTAAATGAAATGATATCTAATTTAATATTGGAGCCCAAACAGCGCATGAAAGTCTATTAGAAATCAATCCCTCTATACTTATAGATTTAAAGCAAAGATAATTAAGACAGCTATCGTCTTTTTACATTAAAGTGGAGTCACATTGCATCAACAGCATACCGGACAATATAAACAGTTTTTAATCAACTTACAGTGATATCAAATCACACATTCCATATAATACGAGCACATATCTTAAACCACCCAGTCCACCAGGGATCAAAAATTTTGACTTGATCTCAGAGTCTGTAAAAACGAATCCACGCTAACATTACCATCAGCGTCTAAAGCAACCGCCGTTTTGTAAACCTTATCAAAATCCTCGTCAGATAAGCCCAGTTTCATGGCCCCGAATATCTGCTTGATATGTTCTTTGGATCTGACCTGGAAAAAGTCCCGCTCAATTAACCCGTAGCTGGTGTAGATGGAGGGGTTAAGGAGCCCGTACACGTCGGATTGTTCCCCGTAGTTAGTGTAATCTCCGACGCGCTTGATACGCGGTGCGGGTAGGTCGCTCCGGATCGTGGGCACTCCAAAACTCCTGTAGTCCTGGGTTGGGGTGAATCCTGCGATGGCGTTTATAATTGAGGAAGAGGTCTGGTGGTTGTCTAAGTTACCGTCAATCTGCCGGATTCTCGGGGTGGTGCTGTCTTTATCTTCCTTGAGAGTGAGTTCTTCTACCTTGTCAGTGGGGATTTCGTAGTTCCAATTCAGGAAGTTACAGAAGTCCAGGTAGTCAATCTTGCCATCGGCAGAGGAGTCGCAGAATTTCATCAAGTTGTTAATGAGATAATCGTCGACCGGCAAATGGAAACTTTTGCACACTTTCAAAAGATCATCAGATTCAATTTTACCTGATTTGTTGGCATCATAACTATTGAAAGCCGACTGAAGATCAGCAAAGTTGTGGTAGTTTGCTTTTTTGAGGTGGTCTCTGGTTGCAGCTACAGCACCACGCTCACGGTCACGTGCCCGCAAGTACGAATTAGCCTCACGGTGATGTATCAAGTCTCCTGCACCGTACTCATCCGGTTTTATCATCACACCAAAAGTGTGATCAGCATCGATATTCATAGAATCTTTAATCGGGTCATGAACTTCTCCCAGTTTTGGCTGGGTCCGTTCTTTGAAATCGTCTAACCGTTTAGAAACCACTGTTAACGTGTTGTTGTTCTTTACGTCGTCACTCCAAAGAAGGGAGTTTTTGACGTGACCTCCATCGTTACTGTGAGGCGTTTCAACTCCGAACACGTCAGTTTTCTTTATTTTGGTCCAGACGTAGTTGAGGTCCCGTTGTTCACCGACTTGTTGGTATCGGTGTGACTTTCTGTAAAGTTCGATACCTGGGAAATTATTAAATTTTAGCGATTGCAGATTGATTTCAACATATCAGCAATTTTTCAACATTTGATAAATATTTAATTATGTATTACAAATCTCATGTGATCACGGTCGCGGTGACCTGGGGAAGTGGTGACTTAACCAAAATGTCGATTATTTGAGAGATTTGTATCTTATCCTACCTTCATCAGCCTTAGCAGCGACTTCATCTCTTGAAATATTAGGATTAACAACCAACCCAGCAGGATCGCTCTTCTCAGTTTTTATCCCAAAAGTGTCTAAAGTCGTTATACCCTCCGCAAACTTTCCAGTTTGATCCGGTACTTCTCCCAGTGGTTTCTTCACTTTGCTATCGTAAATACGCTCATTCCGCTCGATCAACCTCTGTCTGAAGAAGGTCTGAGGAGTGGGATTCACAAGATTCTTAGCGACCTCCGAAGACCGTGTCGTAATCCCATGCCGCATCCCTGTCAGTACCGCTGTATCCGCGTACTTTCCTGTGTAAGTCCGCTTTTCACCCGGTCCTGGGTAGGTCAGAGCCCAGATCCGTTTTATGATCTCGGGAGGGTCTTTGGGGACGTTCATCTTGATGCAGTCGGTGGTGCGGTCTCCTCCAGCTGTCAGCTTGCCGGCTGCGGAGATACCGGGGTTTCTGTCCCGGAACTTTCCTTCGTTCGCTAACATATTCCAACGGTCTCCTAGACAGATGGATATAGTTGATATATTTTATCGAGATTTCTAGGGTTAGTATCCAGCTTTGGATCAAATAGATTGCAACAAAAAACTAAACTAAGATTGTAAGCAATTAGCACATTATGCGAACAAAATAGAAGAAACTTCGGTATTTCCGAACTAAAGACAGTCAAGGACTGGCTTGCCTGTCCTTCCACCACCAGGAAAAGGATTTCCAACATTTGGCATGGAAGAGATAATAATATGGACTTGGGCATTCTAACGAAGGAACCAGAGATCCCTAGTGTATTTTTAAGCAACCTTGCTTTGAGACAGCCCCCAAAACAACATAAATTATCCTGGCTTTTGTGAACTAAATTTAATACCGATTGCATTCTATCATACAATTAGTTATAATTAGTCTTTACTTGGGGAACTAGAACGAACACCGATGCAACATTAAGACAACAACAAGACAACAAGCTCTAGCAACCCCACCAGCCACCTCCCGCAGCTCCAGCAACCCCTCCTCCTGCAGCCCCAAATACACCACCTCCTCCAGCAGCTCCAGCTGTTGCCTTAATGTTTGCTTAAATGTTGCCTTAATGTTGTCTTAATGTTGTCTTACCGTTTGTTGTCTTATTGGTGATTGTTGCGTTAATGTTGTCTTATTGTTGTCTTAATGTTGTCTTATTGTTGTCTTAATGTTGTCATATTGTTGCATCGGTATTCATTCAAGTGGCCTTTACTTGAATAAGTGATTGCAAAATTCTAAATCGAAACCTTTAACGCGGTAAGTCGGATTCAAAACTTGCGAGTTGCCATGAAATCAACTCCCGATTAATAAATGGAAATTGTTACACTCAATCGCTTAGCAATAGCATTAAGTTAATTGCAAGCAATACATAAGGCAAGAGCTAGCCATATGGCAATTGGCATTGTAAACAAGCAGTTCAGGCGACAGTTACTACATCTCTAAATCACACGTTCTCGTGTACTGTTCATGTTAAAACATTTGAGGTCTACCTCCGCATACATCTTAAAACTCATAGGAGGTAGCTACCTTGAAAATGAATGAGCGCGCGGCGTAAATATATCAATTTCATGGAGCATATTGGTTTAAAGATTTATTCAAATTTGAAAATTCATACTATTTTAAAAATGAAGTTAACATCAAACATAATTATTACTTTAAAAATATATGTTAATGTTACTTTAAAATCAAAAACATGTGCTTTTACTTTTAAAATTCAATTTCCAAGCCCACAGCTGGCTCCGAAATTACGCCGCGCAATGTGACAAGTTTATCATTTTTCATTTTGTAATATTTATAAATACTGCACTGCGGACAGCGGAAGGTAAAATATTTGGCTTTCTCATTACTTCAAACAATTGGTCGAATTTGATGCCTGTCCACTTTACACTCGTTGCTGGGCGGCGATCAGCCTGTCTTTCCGCCATTCATGTCATTATGTTTATAAACATAGAATAATATAATAGCAGCTGGGGGCCCCAGGTAATACACTCGCTGTCATGTGATTAACTTTATACCACATTCTGTACAGGTAGTTGAATTGATGGCATAAAACAAGTGGATAAAACAATGGATTCAAATTCTTACATTACAAGTTCTTAAGTTAACTTTCAAAGACCAAGAAGCCATTTAGGTTATTATATGAAATGACTACTATCCCGAACATTATATATGCCATGTTTTATTATGTAAAACCAAAAACATCCTATTCGGATGTTACATAGTACATGCTGGTCAGAATAATAAATTACATTATACTTATTGGATTTGGTTTGAGTTTTTGAGCAGGTTTTTGACCTCCATCTCGGGGTCCGGACTCTAGGGCGTAAGACTCTAGGGCGTAAGACTCTAGGGTCTTAGGGTTAGGGTTAGGGTTAGGGTTTGGGTTTGGGTTAGGGTTAGGGCGGTTAGGGTTAGGGTTAGGATAAGGGTTAGGGTTAGGGTTAGGGTGATGGTTAGGGTTAGGGCGCCGCCCTAAAGTCTCACGCCCTAGAGTCTTACGCCCTAGAGTCCCGGACCCCTCCATCTCATGTGTTGAACTTAAAACACATACCAAATGCTTGGTTGCTTAGCGAATGGTATATCATCTAGCCTTACAGTTATACTCCTAAGCACAGAAAGTCAACAAAGGAAGCCATCTGGCATCTTTAGGTCCCCACATAAAATTTAAATTGTTAAATAGTATGATATGTTATTCTAAATTCTTACCATGTTTTAATCATAATTTAACATCACTGTTAGGAAGTTAGGAGATGACACTACGACCGCCAGATAAAAAAGAGTTTAAAGTATGTCTATTTGGGGTAAGAAATAGATATTATAGATATGGATTCTGGTGGGGAGGTGAACTGTGAAGCATATTCTTTTGGCACTTTTGATGTAAATAAATGAGTCAGCTTCCACTATTGACCAATCAAACCCCAGGATCACTGTCTTGTGTCAACACACCATATTCCACATCTATTAATCGATATATATGGGAACTGGCAGAGAGGTAAACCAAATGTATTTTGACATCTGGCAAGGATTTTGGGCAATTCGATAATCTGTTGATGGTCACATAACACATGGTTAGGGCACGGTTAACGCCCACTTAACGGACAGCCACAGGAAATATTGTATTTATTATTAAATCACAATTAAAGAAGCGATAATTTAGTTGTAAACATAATATTGGGGTTAAAGAACAGACTGTTGATCATCCAGATGTTTTAGAATAGTTTTAGAATAGCACTACCCGACATCCGTGCGCTGAGTGTCTAACCGTGCATTAACCATGCCTTAACCGTGCTTTAAGTGACCATCGACAGATTACCAAATTGCCAGATTTTGGCTTTTGCTTGGTAAATGCTTGAAGCTGATTGGTTAATCGATGTGTTCTGGCAGAAAATACATGGTTCACCTCTTCACCAGAATCAACATTTATTAACAAATAAATTAACGATACAGAAGCTGATCTGAGGCTTATCAACAAAATATATCTATGAGCACTATTGAAACCAAACCTATCATTACCTAAATGTCGATACAACTCATTTCAATTATATATAGTATTATATTTACTATACAAGTATATCATACATGCAGTATTCCATCTCATTTCATCTGCTTTAGCTAGTTTTTGTCCCCTGCAGGATTCGTCGGTCGGTAAAACCAGTATAGTCAGGAGATTTGTTCAGAATACTTTCTCTGAGTTTCAGGCGGCTTCTATTGGGTATGATTAATGCTGTTCAGTCCTCTTCAATATAAAATGTGAATTTAAACACTAGCCTTAGTGGGCTAGTGTATTCTCAATTCTGTTTATTTAGCCAATGCTATAGGATCGAAGGCTTTTCCACATATGTATTATTTATACCATTTTTTGGCCATTTTATACCTCCTCCCCGACAGTGTTCATTTAATTATTTTGAAAACCAGAAAACTGCAGAACACATTATTTAATTTTAAACAATATCCACAGTGCTGCATACACAGAGAAATCAATTAAAATCGAAGATGAAACTTACAAAATACAGATATGGGACCTCGCCGGTCAGGAAACTGTAAGTTCTGTTGTCTGTTGTCTGTTGTCTGTTGTCTGTTGTCTGTTGTCTGTTGTCTGTTGTCTGTTGTCTGTTGTCTGTTGTCTGTTGTCTGTTGTCTGTTGTCTGTTGTCTGTTGTCTGTTGTCTGTTGTCTGTTGTCTGTTGTCTGTTGTCTGTTGTCTGTTGTCTGTTGTCTGTTGTCTGTTGTCTGTTGTCTGTTGTCTGTTGTCTGTTGTCTGTTGTCTGTTGTCTGTTGTCTGTTGTCTGTTGTCTGTTGTCTGTTGTCTGTTGTCTGTTGTCTGTTGTCTGTTGTCTGTTGTCTGTTGTCTGTTGTCTGTTGTCTGTTGTCTGTTGTCTGTTGTCTGTTGTCTGTTGTCTGTTGTCTGTTGTCTGTTGTCTGTTGTCTGTTGTCTGTTGTCTGTTGTCTGTTGTCTGTTGTCTGTTGTCTGTTGTCTGTTGTCTGCACGTCACTACCTCAACATGCTGTATTAATCCGTATGGCATCATGCCAAATAACACACTTCTAACTGTTTGCAATTTAATTTCAGTTCAAGAATTTGGCTCCAATGTACTATCGAGGTGCTGCAGCTGCCATCTTAGCATTTGATATTACCTACAAGGTAGGAACTAAGAAGGTTTTTAGCAATTAGATTGTAAGAAGATTCTGAGGAGAGGGGGCATTTTTTGAGAACCCCAGAATCACTGTCATGTGTCAAAAATATATGCCTCACCTCCCCACCAGAATCAACATTTAAAACGCTAACATTTCAGAATTCCTTTATTAGTGTGGACTCCTGGATGAGTGAGCTAAATAAGAACGCCCCTGAGGGAATCGTACTGGTGTTGGTTGGCAACAAGGCAGATAGTGCCAATATCAGACAGGTTTGTCTCAATAACTGATATTTTACAACTAACGTGTAAAATGTTTTACTGCTTTTTTTTTCAAGATGTAAATATCTGATAAAACTCAATCTAGGTCTCTGTTGAAGATATACAAAGTTACACTACAAAGCACAACATCATTTACTTTGAAGCGTCAGCTAAATCAGGAGAAAACGTCGAGGAAATTTTTCATTTCGTATGTGAGTATCCTTATAATTTACAATGGTTATTATAATAAAGGGTATAACCTCCGGAGTCAGTGGTCAGTTAGTGAGGTAATCATCCCACGAGCTGACTAGATCCTACAGCTGTTAAAGTGGATCACATGATTGCTATGCAGCTCCTGAATGAGTTAGAGCCTTGAAATGTGGCGATTTTTGCCCTAAAATTTTAAACACAAATTCTGGAGCATCACACCACAAATCGTAATGTTAAATCTGATACGATTTATTAGCAAAGGTCACTTGATATTTTTTGTGGGACATTGCTAATATCTAAAAATATCTTTCAACATTTCTGCTGAAAGTTATTAAGTTAAGGCCCCTACTGATACAAAATATTTATATGAGTAGGTAAAGCAGGTCTTCGTGACTTTATTCCTTATCCGATTGTACATTTACACTTTCCCAGATTTTACATGAGCTAATCATGAGTGTTACCGGCTCTACTCAACTTTAAGAAGTTGGAAAATTTAAAGTAACAAAAAAAAACATGCGTTTTTCCCATTATACATCATCAGCTGTTTTTAGTAGCTCAAGTTGAATGACTGTTTTTTAGTCACATGGGAGATGTAATGTACAAAACTTAGAATTTAGATCATCTTAAAGTCTATACAAAAATTGTTTATGACTTTATTGCAGGTAAAAGTGTACCAGATAAAAGGAGAAAGAATCTCATGACACTATCAGGAGGATCAAAACCTTTAAATCGGATTAACTTGAATGATTTATGTGAGACCGAAATACGAAATAAAAAAAGGTGTTGTTAATAAAATATAAAACCGGAATTTAAGCTGGAAAAAGGGAATTTTAGAACGCTTGTTCCTAATATGAGGAATGAACGGAACGGGTGAAGATATTCAGTCTTCAGAAGTATTTGAGATGTAAACGTTTCAGTGTCAATAATTATACTGTTTAACTATAGCTACACGGCACGTAATAACTCACTTGATGCGTTCCATTTAGCTAAGGCCAGTGCCGCTTTGACTGTTCCGTGTTTATGTGGGTTTTCATGTCATAATTAATGTTTATAATTCAAGCTTATAATTAATGCATTAAAAAACTGAATATCTTGTTGTTATGTAGTGTGTACATGTTTCAAATCAAATCAGAATATTTTATTTAATATTTGCAGCTTGAAAGTTGAAATTAAGATCGTTTTGTCACAATTACTTCTTGTCTTTTATAATGTATTTTCTATTAATTAAGAGATTGAACCGAGAATGAAAATGAATTGATAACTGTCGTCCTTCCCCGGACTTATAGTGCTCTAGAATATTATTCTAGAACATTCTACCCAGAGCATCATGCAGCAGTCTAACTCTACTGGGGCATGACTCAGTCGTGCCAGTGTAGAGTTAGAATTAAGATAAAAATACCTGGGGCTCGCACGAAGTTCTGGGGCTGGACGAAGTTGCCCATATCACATATGAGCCGAGAATATATTAGATTTATGAGTTTCAAAACGACAACAATATTATGAGATCAATGATCCATTCTTACCAGGGGTGTAGGATGAGGGGTTCAGGGGGGGGGGGGGCGATCTCTATTGCCATATTCTTCAGCTAGGCCTTTTACAAGTTTTGCTGTTTTTGAAATTCAGGCTGTGGCCAAAGCGTGTGCTAAATTAGAAAAACTCTAAGATTCCTACACCCCTGATTCTTACCCGAAAGAAAGAAATCTGTGTGAAAACGTTTGGGCTCATTACGTAGCCATTTTTTATTTCAGAGACCTGTAACTTTACAGATGGCATACTGTAACTACTCAATCAAGATTTGAAAATTTTGACTGTTAAAAACTATTTAATAATGTTTGTAAGAGCGGACCCCTCTCTCTCAATTTAAATGCAACTTAATGTCTACCAAACATTCTTGACAAGTTATCTTAGATATAAAAATACTTAATGTATTTTCCTTTCCAGTATCAGACATGACATACATAATCAGTGACCCGATATGGACAACTATACGAGAAAAAGTAAAAGAAAGAAACTTGACAGAATTGTTGAATATTTACAATGTCAACAACTTGGACTACGATGCTAAAGGTGGGCGTTATAAGAGGACAGTACTTCATGTAGCAGCAGAACAAGATGAACAAGAGATTGTATGTTATCTTATACAACACGGTGCTGATGTAGGCACAAAGAGCAATTATGGGTACAGCCCGTTACATGGAGCTGCACGTAATAACAGAGTAGAGTTAGCTAAATTACTCTTACAACACGGTGCTGATGTGAACACTAAGAGCAATAATGGGTACACCCTGTTACATGAAGCTGCACATAATAACAGAGTAGAGGTAGCTAAATTACTCTTACAACACGGTGCTGATGTGAACACTAAGAGCAATAATGGGTACACCCTGTTACATGGAGCTGCACGTTGTAACACTGTAGAGGTAGCTAAATTACTCTTACAACACGGTGCAGATATCAGTACTAAAGATATAGATAATGAGTCAGCTCTTCAGTATATGCAGAAGATCTGGTCCAATAATGACTTACAAGATACATTCCGTGCTCTTCCAAATGGCGTCAAATATTCTAATCCTGGTCTTATCGTCAATGAATTAGAAATTAAGGACGATTTTGATGATGATGTCAAGAGCATCTTAAGTAATATTCTGAAAGAAGCGATCGACAAATTGCCAGATATTATCAATGATCCTAAGCAGAGACTTACGTTTTATAGAGGAGATCTGTATGTGCGCCTCGTTAAAGAAATTTTGAAACGGTCAGGAGAGACGACTCTTCTACATACGATATACATTGCTCTTCAAGCAAAAACTCCATGTAATCAGCTCAAAAGAGAAATTCTCAAGAATGGACTCGGCTACGATATCTTTGAACAGTTTCAGAGTAAAATTAAAGAATTGGCAGATGATGTAGTTGCAGAGAGAGACACAAAGGAACTTAATGTAATTGCGCAACAGATTTACGCAGAATACATGAAGGAGAAAAAGGATACAAAAGGATTTAGTTATCGACTTAAGAAATACTGCAGCAAAACATGGAGAATCACGCAAGCTTTCCTTAAATCCTCATTTCAGCGATTGAAGTTATGTTGTAGAAGAATAGATTGTGGTCTTCCATGTTGTTGCCGAAACGTTAAATGTTCATTTTGCCTGACAAATCCCTCAGAAGTATACCACAGCTGTTCTGCAATAGGAATGATGGGGAGAGTCTTTTGTATCCTAGGAATTGTCTTCTACATTTTAGACTTGTACACTGATTTAGTAGTCGGTATTTCAGATTTCAAAGGATTTTCCCAAAAGCTAGGGATCTTTGAGATTGCTCTGGTATCGTTTACTTTAGGTCATGAGAACTTCAGATCTGCTAACAGTGCTTACACAACGGAGGAAGAGGTTCTGAGAATAACGTTTGGAAGATTCATGTTATCTGCCAAAGAATGGAGCGAATCAAACTTAAACTGGAGCGGAATAGGTTTAAAATGTTCTTTTACAAGCTATCTTGTCCGTTCAAGGTACAGGGAAGTTTTCTGAGTAAGCTAAGAGCGATATTCTACAATCTACTGACATGTTTCCAATTAAGGCCAGTCGTGGATAGGTTGGTAATATTCCTACACGCACCAATAAGCTTGCGTGAGTATTACAGACGTCAAGCAGAACAGAATAGCTTGAAACAGTTTTACCTGATTTTGGAACAATTGCCGGAACTCCTGGTTCAGTTCTATACATTTCAAATAGTGATGAACAACCTTTCCCCAAGAGATATTGAAAAGTTTGCCGGTGAATGTTACCACTATTTCGATTATCAACGTATGAATACAAACAGCACCAACGACACCAACCTATTTTGTGAAAAGCTCCCACTATCTGATACAGGATTAGGAACATATTGTGGCACTGTGTTTCGTATATTCTCAATGGCAATTCCATTTTACAACATTCCCTCGGGAATTGCCTCTTTGGAAGATGGCTTTAGGAAATTGGACCCGCTGACTCCTAAAATGTCCACTATTTTAAAGATCATTTTCCAAGCATCCTATACATTAATGATACCAGCCAGGTTGTTCATGTTTGCAGCATGCTGTGTTTATAAAGGAGTATGTCTTTGGGTTCATCATCTTCAGAGTGATCATGGAACTCTTGGTAAACCTTTATGGCCTCAAAGCGAACTTCACAGGACTTTCCCTTAAAAGTGTTTCAATCTTATGGCGAATGGTCTTGTTTAGTATCAGAGATGTGTTTCTAATATCGATAAGAAACCCTGACGCTTACCTCTCAAAACCCTCAGACGTTTCTTACAAGTCATTGAGAAAGAGGAAAAATCTAGCTGTCCGTGCAATCCCATTTATCTGCGAGGGTTTGGTCGCAGCTTTGATCATTGAACAAAAATATCCGTGCGGTAAGCATTTCAACTATTTCAAATATTTGGGATGGTTTTGTATAATTCCTCTAATGCTCTCGGTATCAGCAATGGTCATGGTTTCAGACCTTTTCCATCCATTTGAAGGAAGATCTTCGTCACTAAGAAAGAAAACAAAGAAGCTCCTTCTCGCTGGTTTTATCAGTATTATGTTCATGGGAGTTGTTGTATGGACCTTCATTGTTAGTCAGAAAAGAGGGTCAGTGGAACTTCTGGTCATGGGTCTGGTAATTTTTCTTCATATCGTCCTTGTTGCTGGACTCTGTCTGTTTGTCAAGATGTCCAACAAAAGTAAAGAAAGTAAAGAAAGTAAAGAAACTCCGTACACACCTGTAGCTACGTCAACCGCATCAGTCGACCACCATCAGTCGACCACACCAGTCTGATGAATTACCCTTTTGTCTATTTAATTCATCCTCGGCTTACCAGAGCCATAAAAACTGTGTATTTTAAAGTATTTGCTGAGTAAATATCAATTCATAGACTATATCAGTCTTCTCAAAGCAATAACAATGAAAGTGAAGCAGAAATCATTTCATCAGCAAAATATCCCTCTGTCATTCCAGAATCATCTTAAAGCTTTATTGAGCTGGATTTACGACACAGTTAACTGGTGGACTTCTTAAATTAACCTCGCAACAGCACATGTAAGTAAAATATATAATAAATATATGATTACATCATTCTCCTTCTTAGACTATTAAATTAAAATACAGTGAAACCTCTATAGTCTATATAGTTATACCGGGCCTGTCGGGGGAAAGAATAGTGCACGGTATAGAAAAACCCGGTATATATGGCATATGCTTCGAAAACAATCTGTCAAGTGTCTCATGTATCCAATTAGGGCCTTGTATAGTTGTATGTACGCATATTGTGTTGTATTGTGATGGACTACAGAATAGGTACTATAATCGCCACCAAATACGATATGACTTATGATAAATAAGAACTTAAATTTCGGGTGTAAAGAAGAAGCTCAGTATATCGAAGTAGCCGGTATACTGGTATAGAGATTAGAGAGTAGAGACTGCGAGTCCCGGTATAGAGAGTAGAGAGTAGAGACTGCGAGTCCCGGTACAGAGAGGTTTGACTGTGGTGAATAAGTCCACTTTTGGGGTTTGTTTACAAAAATCCTTTATAATTTACTTTGTGATTTTTGACTTCTTTGTCGCTGATTGTTACTAATAAGAGTCTTTTACATTAGCTTTTTGGTCCAATCAAAATAACGCTCACATGGTTTTTCATAAATTTCAGAACTAAACTGCAATCCGGGGTGTCTCCAATCTTTCCAACTGATGTTACGCTGATATCCAGGTTTGTTGGTAACAGTTTTCAAACAACTTATATTTTCAATTTAATTGGAAACAATGTGTTTATCAGTCAGCCTTTTCGCTGCATGATTTAAAAATTATCATAAATTTTAGCTATTTGATCCAATAAAAATAAAGCTCATACGGTTTTTGTACATTTCAGATCAAAACCAGGGTGTACACTTTTATTCGGGTTTGTGAGTAGTTTTAAAAAAAGGAAGTAAAATTTCGTATTTAAAGAGAGACAAACTGTTTTTAATTATCAACGTGGCCGTAGAGCGGTTTAAATACAAATTAATAATTCAAGCGCAAAACGCACAGTTTTGACTTTTGCTAGTACCGTACTGTAATTAAGTTTTTCAAAATTGTCCCACCTTCAAACGAAGATTTGGCGCCCCCCTAAAATGGCGCCCCCCCCCCCCCCCCCCGCACAGCGGGGTCGGCGGGGCCCTTCGTTACGCCACTGCAACTACCTAGATTTTTCTTTATTTCCAGATGAATCTACATGGTATAGCAAAGTGTATCATATATCCAACATTTTACTGCTCTATTATAAAGGTACAGTTTTTATTCGTCGTTCTCTAGTCCAAGTGTAGTAACAAGAATTTCGCCGTGGTTAAACCACGCACGATCAATTTTCCCTACGATGTACTTGTATCATTAATTCTTTTGAGTGAAAGGTGTGACTGGAAAAATTGCACCATATTTACATACTACGTTGTTCATAAATGAGTGGGATTCGTGCATGGTAAAAATTGACAATTTATTTGACCAATGCAGCGCCGCGCATCAAAATAAATGAATCCAGAAAATTGCGGAAAATAACTTTGCGAAGGAGGAATTTCACTGTAATTAATTAACACATGGCTAGCGTCGCGCGCAGCATAACAGACGCTTCCTATACACTTAATTATAGGGGAGTGGTATATATTGCGAAGGAGCAGACTTTTGTCATCATCGCAGGTCCATCGGGCCACCTCATATATCCAAACCCGATTACTTATTCCCTACGATCTTTTTGCCTTCGGCAAGAGTAGGGAAAAAAATTACATTGTTATAAAGTTATAATTCACAAGTTTTTTTGTAAAACTCTTTACTATTTCAAATTTCAGATGTGAAATAGTGAAGAAATAACGCTCACATGGTTTTTCATAAATTTCAGAACTAAACTGCAAACCGGGGTGTCTCAAATCTTTCCAACTGATGTCCGCTCGCTTACACTAGTACTACCTTCGTCTTTTAACCCTCTAACTCTACACTGATATCCAGGTTTGTTGGTAACAGTTTTCAAACGACTTATATTTTGAATTTAATTGGAAACAATGTGTTTATCAGTCAGCCTTTTCGCTGCATGATTTAAAAATTATCATAAATTTTAGCTATTTGATCTAATAAAATAACGCTCACACGGTTTTTGTACATTTCAGATCAAAACCAGGGTGTACACTTTTATTCGGGTTTGTGAGTAGTTTTTTAAAACAGGTAAAAACAGAGACAAACTGTTTATGATTATCAACGTGACCGTAGAGTGGTTTAAATACAAATTAATAATTCAAATGTTTTTAATCCAATCAAAATAACGCGAATAAAATGGGCTTAACGAATTAAACACATGATGGGCTAAAATTGGAAAAAAATAACAAAATAGGATGTATTTGCAAACTATGTCAACTACTTTTCTTTATTTCCAGATGAATCTACGACCTAAGTGGTATAGCAAAGTGTATCCTAAATCCAACATTTTATTGCTCTATTATAAAGGTACAGTTTTTATTCGTCGTTCTCTAGTCCAAGTGTAATAAAAATTACATTGTTATAAAGTTATAATTCACAAGTTGCAAATTTTTCTCGTAAACCTCTTTACTATTTCACAGTTTCCGATCGATTTTCCTTTATCTAAACAAAGCGGATGGGGAATGCAGTAGTAAGAGATATTTACCCCCTGTAGCACACATTTTGAAAATTTCACGGATTTTCGACACTTGTAAAAATTTCATGGATTTTCGACACTTGTAAAAATTTCATGGATTTTCGACACTTGTAAAAATTTCACGGATTTTCGACATTTGTAAAAATTTCACGGATTTTCGACACTTGTAAAAATTTAAGCTTTTAGGGGTTATTCGGCAATCCTTTTTGCAATGACACTTTGTGTACTTGACTCCCAGTTTTGAGATTCATGCAAATTGAGCATGTTGAAAAGGTGTAGGATAAAATGGCGGTCAAAATGGCCGTAACGATTATTTGATAGATCCTAAAATGACTCGTCAAGATCCAGTTAACTTTTGCGGTCAAAATGGTCGTAACGATTATTTGATAGATCCTAAAATGACTCGTCCAGATCCAGTTAATTTTTGCGGTAAAAATGGCCGTAACGATTATTTGATAGATCTTAAAATGACTCGTCCAGATCCAGTTAATTTTTGCGGTAAAAATGGCCGTAACGATTATTTGATAGATCTTAAAATGACTCGTCCAGATCCAGTTAATTTTTGCGGTAAAAATGGCCGTAACGATTATTTGATAGATCTTAAAATGACTCGTCCAGATCCAGTTAATTTTGAAATAAATCATGGCTGAAATTTACAATGAAACTTTGTGGAACAGGACTGGCTCCAGATGTTTAACTTTGTCAAGATATTCCATTGTTTAGTCCAAAACCTTCGAGATAAAAGTGGTCAGAAAGCTATGTTTTATTTTTCTTACTTAACGTTACAATTCGTTTTTATTTCCGAGGGTTTAGAGCGAGGTGTCAATTCACCTGCCGTTCTATTCACACGATGGCTCGATCTTTTTTTTCTGTGCTATTTTTTTTGTTACTTTAACGTAGGATTTGGAGCGAGGTGTCAGTACACCTGCCGTTGTAAAAATTCCTTGAGCGCGGTAAGTGTTACTTTAATCAAATCCAACCTTTGTTCCAACAGATTATATTAAGAAGAGACGCTCACAATTAATTCATTTTTTGTTCATCTCCCACCTACCGATGCATACCAACACCCTGAGCTAGTATTAATTGTTTTAAGCTTTTTATACGTAAAAAATTCGAGCATTTTTAACACTAGCATTTTCCGATACTTGTAAAAATTTCAAGAATCTATAATAGAGAAAACAGTCAGCCCTAACTAATATTGAGTTATTTTCATGTTTCTTATATTGATTTAATGTTTCCTTAGATGACCTGGTTATTAATGTTTTAAACTATCTGCTTTTTATTAATTTTTTCACATTAAAATCTTACTCAGCTATGATTGTTGAAGGTATACTGACCTTCATTGGGAGTTCATGTAAAGGAAGGGTAAAGATCGTCGTAAAAACAAAAGATAAGGAGACGGACTATCTTGTCTGGTCCTCGATCGTCCCCGATGAGTTGAAGGTTTGTAGTTTGCCATACAAAAGGATCAAATTTTAACGGTTTTTAAAAAATATTTCAGTTCAAAACAGTTATAGTGTAAAGTAGGAGATTGAAAATCTGACATCTGCTCGTAAAATTACTATTAATGACAAATTCACCATATGAAATTTTTGTGACACAAATTTTCAATTTGCAATTTATTTTTGTGTAATAGAAAATAATATCAAACAGATAAATAGTAAGATAAATATAAAGACTCTCGAGAAGACTGTAAACGGCAAATCTTACACGAATGTTGTTGGGTTGAGCGTCATTACACCAACAGTACAACAGTCAACCCCAGCTGCAAAACACCGTAAAAGAGTGAGTCTATTTTAAAGAAATCAATATATTTCTACAGTTTATACTTTTGAACATATAATTTGTGCATGCACCACCGTGTAAATTCAAAAATCTTCACATGTCATTGCTGTATTACACAGTGATTTTAATTTGTTAAGTTACATCGTATGTCAATTTGAAAATTTTCCAGATAGCTAAACGACCTACCGTCACTACAAGAGACCCAGGTAAAAACAAAACCCCTCCATTTTAGATTTGGAAGACCTTCTTAGAAATGATACATATTTAGTTTTTATTAAAATTTCAAAACATTGTAATCGAATGCTATACAAATAGAAATTTGATCAGTGTATAAAATTATACCTACGAGCTAGCTCACTCTATAGTTTAATGTTTAAGAATAATTAGAAATGATTTAAATTTTGGAATTGGTTCATCTAATATGAAAAATTTTCATTTCAGATGCAGATGAGGACACAGGACCAACCACCAGCGCAGCCAGTCCCAAAAAAGTGAGATTATTTTCCTAGAATCTAAGATATGTATTTCTAACTTTAAATCTACAAGTTTTGATAAGCATACATCACCATGTAAATTCAAATGAATATTCCATTGATCTGTTAGTCACTGAGGATCAAAGCCCTATTCATTCCTGTGATTATCAAAGATCCTGGTCAATAAGTCTTATCAAACACAACTCAATCGTTTGGAATGAATATTCCGTTGAGGATAAAACAACGATATTATTGTTAATAACACATTCAATTTGTAGGTGAAATCTAGGGGGAAGCAGCTCCCCCCACCTGCAGACTTCATAGATTGGGCAGCCTTATTAGATGTAAGTAATTTAAAATCCTAACAGCTCTGTTTAGTAATATTAGCTGATTAATGAGATAGAGTTATTTAAAAAAAAATTAAATATATATATATATCCATAGACACAGTGTTTCGTCCTATTAGGACTGATCAATATTAACCGCAGGAAACAAGCTAGACCTGCCCCTGCCGGACCTGCCGGACCTGCCGGACCTGCCCCTGCTGGACCTGCCACCGGACCTGCCCCTGCCGGACCTGCCCCTGCCAGACCTGCCACTGCCGGACCTGCCGGACCTGTCCCGGACCTGACCCTGTCGGACCTGCCCCTGCCAGACCTGCCACTGCCGGACCTGCCGGACCTGCCGGACCTGCCCCTGCCGGACCTGCCCCCTGCCGGACCTGCCCCTGCCAGACCTGCCACTGCCGGACCTGCCGGACCTGTCCCGGACCTGACCCTGTCGAACCTGCCCCTGCCAGACCTGCCACTGCTGGACCTGCCGGACCTGCCGGACCTGCCCCTGCCGGACCTGCCCCCTGCCGGACTATAATATAAAAGTTTAAATTACTATTATTATTATTTATTTACTTATACTTTATCAAATTCTTGTTTTACTTATCTAATATTCAATGAAACAAGAAATTTCAATGAAACAAGAAATTCTACTTCAAGCTGCTAATGATAATAATTAAGTGATAAAGATATTTATGCTATAATTCAAATAATTAACTATCGTGATACCAATTCTATAATGTTTCTTTCCCCTTCTAGTTACAACATGGGTTAATGTACTTGAAATAAAAATAATACATTTATAAAGTATATTTAATACAGATATAAAAATAAGAATCTGAAAGTTATGAGAAAGCTCTGCTAAATCACTGGTAGCTTGACTATCACGCTGTGCAGTATGAGTCGAATTATATTTTAATACAGATATAAAAATAAGAATCTGAAAGTTATGAGAAAGCTCTGCTAAATCACTGGTAGCTTGACTATCACGCTGTGCAGTATGAGTCGAATTATATTTTAATAAAGATATAAAAATAAAGAATCTGAAAGTTACGAGAAAGCTCTGCTAAATCACTGGTAGTCTGACTATCACGCTGTGTAGTATGAGTCGAATTATATTTTAATAAAGATATAAAAATAAAGAATCTGAAAGATATTCGAAAGCTCTGCTAAATCACTGGTAGTCTGACTATCACGCTGTGCAGTATGAGTCCAATTATATTATATTTTAATAAAGATATAAAAATAAAGAATCTGAAAGATATTCGAAAGCTCTGCTAAATCACTGGTAGTCTGACTATCACACTGTGCAGTATGAGTCGAATTATATTTTAATAAAGATATAAAAATAAAGAATCTGAAAGTTACGAGAAAGCTCTGCTAAATCACTGATAGCTTGACTATCACGCTGTGCGGTATGAGTCGAATTATATTTTAATAAAGATATAAAAATAAAGAATCTGAAAGATATTCGAAAGCTCTGCTAAATCACTGGTAGTCTGACTATCACGCTGTGCAGTATGAGTCGAATTATATTTTAATAAAGATATAAAAATAAAGAATCTGAAAGATATTCGAAAGCTCTGCTAAATCACTGGTAGTCTGACTATCACGCTGTGCAGTATGAGTCCAATTATATTATATTTTAATAAAGATATAAAAATAAAGAATCTGAAAGTTACGAGAAAGCTCTGCTAAATCACTGATAGCTTGACTATCACGCTGTGCGGTATGAGTCGAATTATATTTAATACAGATATAAAAATAAGAATCTGAAAGTTACGAGAAAGCTCTGCTAAATCACTGATAGCTTGACTATCACGCTGTGCAGTATGAGTCGAATTATATTTAATAAAGATATAAAAATAAGAATCTGAAAGTTATGAGAAAGCTCTGCTAAATCACTGGTAGCTTGCCTATCACGCTGTGCTGTATGAGTCGAATTATTTTTAATAAAGATATGAAAAATAAGAATCTGAAAGTTATGAGAAAGCTCTGCTAAAACACTGGTAGCTTGACTATCACGCTGTGCGGTATGAGTCGAATTATATTTAATAAAGATATAAAAATAAGAATCTGAAAGTTACGAGAAAGCTCTGCTAAAACACTGGTAGCTTGCCTATCACGCTGTGCGGTATGAGTCGAATTATATTTAATACAGATATAAAAATAAGAATCTGAAAGATAATAAAGATAATAATACATTTATAATAAATGTAAACTGTATACAAATTAATGTGAGAAATACTATTAAAAGTAGAAAGTGAAGAATGAAAAATTATAAAGATATGAATAAAATGAAGAATGATACGAAGCTATGAAGAGCAAACAGTCAATCATCATCTTATTGCAATTTACAAGCAGACGGTCCCATCCGCTCTATCGAGTTTGTGTTTCCAATGCCCCCAATGGATGTGGACCGGATTGTAGTTTAAGGCTACAAATCTGACTATCTCATGATACGGCTGGGCATTGTTTGTGTGAGATAATGGTAAGATCGCTTGTAAGCAAAGGGTTCCAGCAAGGCGGGGATTCCCGCTAAATATAACAAAATAAGAGAGTATTCTCTCTAATTCCAAAAATTGAAAAATGACTGTTTGCAATTCATACTGCTTCAATGTTATTATCATCACTGATAATTATAATAATGAAACCACTAGTACTGAAAGATAAAAGGATTAAATTAGGTGGGAATTCCCACTATATTTAATGTAATAGGAGAGCACTCTCTTCGTTTACTTTTTTTCTCTAGTTATACTACTGTTTGAATTTACTTGTTATTCTATTTTAATTTTAAATATTATCTTATTACACATTTTGCTACTATCTTTTCTTGCTATCTATTTTTAAATGGTTAACCATACTTTTTTCTTTTTTTATTTTTGGGGAAAATTTGCCTTCCTCAGCTGGTCGTTACTTTATTTTTCTAATATTCTTATCATTTTAAAACTTTGATCAGCTGCAGGGGGTGAATTTGCGTCAAGGTTCTGTAATATGAACCAGTTTTCACAGAAAAAAGACCGCCCGTAGGTGGTGAATAGCCACATCCTTCACGAGGTGACCCCGTTCTCTGCATTTTATTTTACTCTACTTTTTGACTTATATTTTTATTTTCCAATGCAGAGGTTACTAAATACGGCGGATCGGTTATAAAATACTTAGTACTATATAAAGGCTTAAAAACAGACCTCTTATCACAAAACTATTAGCATGAGCGAACTGACTTTTAATGTAACACGAGCCTTGAATGACTCTGTCATTGAATTTAAGGTTAGAGCCCCTGAAACACAGTTCAACGGAACCCCCGAAGAAGGGTTGGAGGTGCTCTTGGGGGGTGTTGACACGATAATAGAGCACTCCATACAACGACGGAACTGTTTCAAGTTCCATGTCACTTTGGACGGAGTATTTCAGGTATTTGATTTGCTACTAACAATCTGTTAAAATAGTGATAAGGAAACTTTCAAATCAAAAAGAAGTGGTTTAACAAGAAAAAATATAGATAAATAGAAGTTGATATATTTCATTTACAGAAACATATAAACGGTGAAGAGCAGACATTTGGTTTCAAGACACGAACAACTGTGTGCCTGAGATCATCAAATAAGGATGAGATGATCAATGAAGTTCGAAATAAACTCTTGAACTCATACGAGTCTTTTCAAGGAATGGGTTGGTAAAGTTTTCTAATTTTTATTTCATTAACCTCCAACTACCTTGACCCTAATTAAACCAAGTTGAGTTACGTTAAAATTGCAGATACAAAGATTACTACAATTAATCTCAACAGGTAGCGGTTGGATATGGAGACGATGGCCAATGGTTACAGTGCTGGTCATAAAGTACAACCCTGTATCAGGATGATTGATTGAGTGATTGATTAAAGGTCTATATAGGGATCACTATAATGTTGAAAATTGTTGTTTTATATCTTACTAATTTCAATTAACTTTAAGAACTTTCAATAGTTTAAAACCACAAATCAATAACAAGAGTGATTGAAATTTAAAATGGAGATAGAAGACATATTGCGTTTTAGTTTGAATTATGACGTGATTTAAGAACGTAATTAACCATGTTATATATAACACTCTATATAACATTATATAAACTCTCTTAAATTCTAGAATGTCGACTTACTTGCCAACTCCCAAACTGTTGAAAAAGAGAAGATGTCTGTTGAACATACGGAATAAAGATGACCAATCATTCCTTTATTGTATTGTGGCTGCTTTGAAAAGACCTGATAGAAACCCAACACGACCTGGATTCTATAAGCGTTATGTCAAGAAACTGATCACGACAGGTATATATCAATTATTAACAATCATAACATATGCAACCATCACGTGACCGTAATAATCTAGTGAATATCTAGAGCTTAGTGAAGAATAGAAAATGATACTTGTACCCACAGGAATCAACGCACCAAAACGGTTGGAGGACATCCCCCTGTTTGAGAAACAAACCTGTAAGTCCCTTTATCCATATAATAAAGCAACTTTCCTAATTACACATTCATAATATTTTTAAATTTATCTTTATTCTTATATCAACTACGATTTTCAGGTATATCCGTCAATGTTTTTGGTTACAGTGAGAGTGAGCCAAGAACACACATTTTCCCTATTTACACGACGAACTTCAAGTTTAAGAGGATAGTACATCTGATCAGTTTGACAGAAAGAAATAAAACACATTATGTTCTGATCAAATCCCTATCAACATTTTTGAGATTGGTCACGAAATACGAGAAAAGAATGTTGACATGTGAAAGATGTTTTAGAAGGTTCACATCCAAACTTTTTTTTGAAAAGCATGCAACGTTCTGTGAGACAGGAGAACCCTCTGTCTTCATGCCTGAAGACCCTGTATTGAAATTCAAAAACTTTCAATACAAATTTCCCTGTCCTGTGGTCATGTATGCCGATTTTGAGGCCTATCAGATCAGCATGAACGAGAGCACCGGTTCAAAAAGCTCAAACATCGCTGAACAGAAACCAACAGGGTTCGCATACATGATTGTGTCACCTCATGATGTTCTTTGTAGACCATTGAAGTTATATAGAGGTGAAGACGCAGCCGCAAAGTTTGTAGACTGTTTGATAAATGAGTGTTACGACATAGAGGATATACTCAACGAGGTGAAACCGATGGAGTTCACAGACGATAACATGGTGCAATTTCAAACAGCAACCAACTGCTCAATCTGTAAACAAAGCTTAATTTGGAGCGATTTGAACAATCCTGTTGTTCGCGATCACTGTCATATTTCAGGTTGATAAGTTAACTTATACTATTGATTAATACAAACGTTTACAATTGAAATATAAATCTAAAATTGATTATCACTAATGTGACATCTTATTCAGGTTCATTTCGTGGTGCCGCTCATTCTCAATGTAATTTGAAGGCTTGTCAACAAAAGAGGTTGTTTGTCTACTTTCACAATGGGAAGGGTTACGACAATCATTTCATTCTAACAGCTTTAGCTGATGACAAGAGAACGGGTACCATAGAGGTTATTGCCAATACTGCTGAGAAATATACCCAGATTAAGACCCAAAGATTCATAGTCCATGATTCAATGAGTCACCTCGTTGGCAGTCTAGATAATCTCTGCAAAAGCTTGCGACAGAGGGGCTTGGATGGGTTTAATCTAATGCGAAACGAATTCCCCCTCGATGATCAATTTCGATGTGTGTTGCAAAAGTTAATCTACCCCTACGACTATATAGACGGGTTTGACAGATTCGAGGAGCCAATTCCCGGTAAACCAGCGTTTTTCAACAAACTCACCGATGAAGATTTGTCTGACGAAGATTATGACACACTCTTAAGAATTTGCAAAATCTTCAATATAACTACTTTAGGGGAACTTCACGATTTGTACTTGAGGTGAAACATTAATTACATTTTAATGCTCTTATTTTGATAGCCTATCATGTAACCCTTTTGCGATTATACTCAAGAAATCGCATGAGTTTGATATGTAACCTTGAATTCCCTCCTTCTAGAATTTTGATAAGCTTACGAGTTGAATGATATTTTCCTGCCTAATCTAAATTCATGCTTCAGAGTGGATGTTTTGATACTAGCATGTGTCTTTGAGGACTACAGACGGTTGGGTCTTGAAATGTTTGCTATAGATCCAGCGTATTACATAAGTTCACCAAGCTACTCGTTTGACGCTATGTTGCATCTAACGAATGTTGAGTTAGAATTGTTGACAGATGTGAACATGTATGAATTCTTTGAAAAAGGTTAGTTTCCTAATGTAGGGAGTAGATTATTTCTTCATGTTTTTCATTAATAAAAATACAGAAACCTTTTGAACTCACTTGAATATTGATTAAGGATTTTTCAGGAATGAGAGGAGGTTGCAGCACAGTTTTCAAACGTCTAGCCACAGCTAACAACAGAGGTCTACAAAGATATAACGATCAAATGCCTCAGTCATCGATTTTCTACACAGATTGTAATAACCTGTACGGGTAAGTTTTAAAATAAATTAACTGGCAAGTGTAACTCAATTAAGTGTAAATCATATTAACTACATTCTGTTTAGCCTTATCTGGTCTCTGTTACAAGGTTTGTAAACTGGATCGGGTAGATAAGGATGGTTAGTTTAGGTCTGCACCATGCTTTCAACCATGCACCATGCTTTCAATATCATTATTTTCCTCTGCAGGTATTGCATGCAAATGAAGCTGCCCCACAAAGATTTTAAATGGTTGACTGAGCAAGAGATATCCTCTCTGGATGTCACAAAGATCGACGTTAATGGTGATACAGGGATGATTTTGGAGGTTAGCTAAGAGTTTACTTAATTATTTCAAGACTATATAGTGTAATGTTTCTGACTTCATTACATTTATTCTAAATTTTTACAGGTTGACTTAGAATACCCTGACTCACTTCATTCGAGTCACAGAGATTATCCCTTGGCTCCGGAGAGGTTATCTATAACAAAGGATATGCTGAGTGAGGAGACGAGGCAGTTTTTTGATGATTTCAACATATCATATTCAACCCAGACCAGACTCACGCAAACTGTCTTACCTAAAACGAATTATGTCACACATGTCAAGAACTTGCTGTTTTACACACAGCAAGGACTTGTTCTCAAAAAGATACATCGAGCTGTGACATTTTACCAATCTTCTTGGATGGCTGAATATATAAAAACAAATACTATGAAGAGGATTGAAGCCCAAAACAAGTTTGAGAAGGACTTCTTTAAACTTCTGATAAACAGGTGATTATTGACAGAATCAAACAGGTTATTTTTACTAATTTCAGAAAAACGCGAATCTTTAAAATTTTGTTGCTAAATCGATAATTTCAGTGTCTTTGGCAAGACCTGTGAGAACGTTAGAAAATATCGAAAGTTTGACTTGGCAACAACTGAAAAGCAAGTCAAACGCCTCTCTCAAAGAGTTGAACTGAAGTCTGCTGTCGTTGTATCCAAAAATCTCGTCATTTTTGAGTCAAACAACCTTGAGATAACGTTAAACAAACCTCTTTATGCAGGCATGGTAAGGTTGTTCAAACTGTATTTTAACTGTGATCGCTCTCTCAATTATACGTAATTTACTCATGTTTTCCAAAACAAATTTATAGACAAGCTCATTTGTAACTCTGCTCATTTTTCCAGGTGATTTTGGAACTTGCAAAACTCCACATGTATCAATTTCATTATAAAGTTATGCGACCTCTGTTTCCAGGGAAAATTGAGGTTAGTTCTACTCAAATTCTAGCTTAACAGAACAACAACAGACCATTATTCTAGATGTTCTTATTTTTCTCTATTTAAAATTAACAAATTTCAGTTGTGCTACAGTGACACGGACAGTTTTCTATACCACATACAAGAAGGCGATTTGACTGAAAAATTTTCGAGAATATCCTCAACTTTCATGGACTTCTCAAACTACCCTGTGAATCATTGTCTCTATTCCATTCAGAATAAACTCACCCCGGGCAGGTATTATCAGTCACTAAATCAAATTAAAAATCAATGTATGATAAATTAGGGTTGAAGGCAGCCGAATTTAACTCTTTCACATTTTCAGATTCAAGGACGAAATGGCAGGTTGCGAAACCCATCAGTTTGCTGGGTGTAGAGCCAAATGCTACTCTATAGTTACAGATGAAGAACAGAAAATGGGAGCCGCGGGAGTGAAGAGAAATATGCAAAAGAGACTGAAGCATGTCGATTTTGTAGAAACAATCGCACATTCCACGTTTAAGAACATTACTCAGAACACCCTAGTATCAAAAAATCATAGAATTTTTATGAGACAATCAGAGAGAATAGCTCTAAGTTTTGTAGATATTAAGAGGGTTGTTTTAGGTAATGGAATTGACACAATTCCATACGGGTATAATGGATATGTTGATTGACTTTTTATTTGTTTGTATCTTATTTATGTTTAGGTTATACAAAATAAAAGTCGCATATTATTCGTTTATAAAATTAAAACGTAAATGATAATAACTAAATCTAAAACAATCAACTAAATCTAAAATATCCAACTAAATCTAAAAACACCCAAGAAAATTAAGATTCAATAAAATTTTTTATAGCAATACATTTTGCCTTGGCACAATATCTGGCATTGTGTGACCTAAAACAGTTTGCATCTGGCAACACATCTGGCATCTGAAATCCTAATTCCTGTACATTTGTAACTATAGTTGTTGGTAGAATGTTTTGAATAAATTTCAAGGTAAGATCGTTGTAGGTATACACATGATATTCTTGAAATCTCCAAAATATTTCGTTCATCTTCTCGTAGGGAAACCAGCCATCATGATAGGACAGGTTGTTGAGGTTCTTGGTGGCATACCGTATGGTTCTTTTATCAACATCATTTAGATCTCGATTCATAGGGGGTTTCACAAGGTAGTGGTTGAATTCATTGTTGATAAACATACAGCAGATTTCTTTGACGATAAAACCGCTCGGTAAAGTATATCCGTCTGTAGTGATGTAGACATTCATGATTTGAAACGTTCTGTAATTCGCAAAACAAGAAATGAAGTGAGAACATTTCACCTCCCTCTTTATAGCTTTGCTTTCTTTACTTTAACCATAGCCTCAGAAATGCAACTGTCGTTTAAACTGTTGATGTATCTCCCAAAGTACAATGCTTGAGGAGAGCTTGTTAATAGAAAAGTTTTTCCAAGATTACAGTAAATGACAGCATCTTTTTTAGGGTCGGAACTATGAGGCAAGCTTGGCGCAAAAATTTTGTACAATGTTGGCAAGGAACCTAAAACTTCGCCTCTGGCTTTTTCAAAATGGTTCTGAACTCTATCCAATAGTGATAGCTGATGGTGTTGGTGGAGAATATCATTTTTCATTCCATCTTGACAACCAGGACAATCTGCTAATGTCCATGAAACGCATTTTCTTATCACATTTTCGGTGAGGAAGCCAACCCAGTCAACATTATCGTAAAATGTCATTTCAAACGAATTCAAGAATGTTTTAATGGAAATGAACTCATTTATAGAGGTTAAACTTTTCAACAAAATTTTTCACGCTTGGGTTAATATTTCGGTCAAAATACTTGTAAACACAGAAATAAAACTCTGCAAGATTCTCAGGATGATGTCTTAACCAAATACACATTAAACGTATGGTATTTTCATCGTGAAGGCACAGCTTGGTCTTGATTAATTCTACAAACCGAACAAACAACCATGTTGACGGATATTACCGTCTTAGTTAGTAGCTTTTATGGATATCTACTAGAGAAAGTTTAGTGTAATTTTTTTATCGTACTACACTCTATGATCTAGGACATCAACAGTTAAGGACTGACTCATATGTCTCATTAAGTCTTAAGCCTCCCTCAATGTAGAAAAAAAGTTAGACATCAGTGCTAATAGATCTAGGAACTTTAGAAAATTTCACTCCATCAGAAGCTTGAAGGATTTTTACCCATGATTTTATAGCCTCCTCTTTTAGATTCAAAGGAATACCTATAGCTAGCACTATCAAAACAATATACCAATAGTTTATATTATTGTATTGTGCAATTTGGGCAGAACAATTTGTAGTACATTCTTCAATCTCATCTATAATAGGTGACAGGAAAAGCAGGCTGTTGTAGTTCAATTTGGAAGTGTCTCCAACTGATTTTGTTAAATTCATAGACTTTCCATCAATTTCAAATCCAATCCAGGAAAATGTGAATGTTGATTGATTTATTGCCGCCTCAAAAACAGTCAAGTTTTCTCCCTGGTTCAAATATAGATTTACGATTTTCTGTGACCTAAACAAATGAGCACTTTGATTTACACCCTCAAAGTAAAAATAATCTTGCTGGCCGTTTAAGTTAACAGGAAACTTGAATACAAAAGTAAGGGTTGAGATGAAATGGAAAACTACTTGGAGATTCATTTTTCCTGGTTTTCAATATAGTTTGTGACACATGCTTTATATAGCCTAATTAGAAGCATTGTATCTGTTATAGGTATCTCTGGCTAACTTGATAGAGTCCTTGATAATTGTGAAGAGGTTAATAACATCACCCCGCTTATTTCTAAGAATATTTTTTGCATTTGATGGTGAGGCCGTTTGTAGCTGCTCCACCACACGTCGTTGTTCATTTGTTACCTGATCTCGCTGTGGTTGACAAATTGGTAGAATACCAAATGACAAGCTAAGTAGTAGATTCTGCAGTGTCGGTAAATGATTTTGAATTAATTCATCAATCTGATGGTTATTGATTAATTTTTGAATTTGAAAAATTTCCTCCATTGTTGTGCAATTAAATATCGCTTTTGTGAGACTACTCAAATCTTCGTCATCATCTTTCACAGCTTGAAGTTGTTCTGAGAGAAGTTTTATTTTTCTTTTGCATTCTCGTTCGAAATCATCCATTGCCTTTTCATGTGCATCATTCAAATCTTTAGTAGCCTTGACATGCGACTCTCGTATCTTATCAACTCTTTCATCGTATTCAGCCTTCATTTCATTACCAAAGTCACGCAATTTATCTCTATAATTCTCTTTTAGAGAATCTATTCTTTCTTCGTGCTTCTTTTTTAAATCTGTGATCTTCTTTTGACATATGTTTTCAAATTGCTTTTTAGAAGCTAAACACTCTTCATACAATTTCTTGTAGTCAATACTATCAATACTATCAACCACTGTTAGACCATCATCAGATTGTCCATCATTGTCATAGCTGTCAACTACCTGAAGTCCTTTATCTCCTTGTCCATCATCATCAAAACTATCGACAATTTTCAGATTATCGTCAGCTTGTCCATCGTATGTTTGTGGAGTAGGATAAGTTTTGATTTCATAGTCTCTAGGTTTCTCTTTAGGATGATTATGTTTAGTTACTGGTGCTAAATCACGTTTTTTAGCATCTGGGTGAGATGTGTTATAACCTCTAGATCGTTTATTCGAAGATGATGAACCATGTGAGTGGTTAACCAACATGAGTTTCGGTTCTGGATGAGCAAGGCTTTTGTGTTGATACAATGTAGCGTTTGTTGGGTAAGATTTCCCACACTTATCACATTGTAAACTCATTTTAAAATTACAGTGAACTCTGGGTATTTATAGACAAAAAATATATCATGTAAAACAGAAATGAATTTGAAAGACTTGTATGAAGACCCTACCTTTCCAGGGTCCTTTACTGGAAAGAATCGCTTCTACAAACAGCTTAGAAATAAAGGTCATTTAGTAAGTCCTAGAACTGTGACAAAAAGTTTAAGAGCAATTGACAGCTACACACTACACAAACCCGATAAGAAACCTGGTTTATATCGCAGAATTTGGACCAAGGGAATTGGATACTTGTATCAGTGTGATTTAGTTGACCTCTCGAGTTTACATCAACACAACGATGGTTACAAGTGGATTGTTACTATAATCGATACATTTAGCAAAAAAGCATGGGCTCTTAAAATGAAAAATAAGACAGCAAATTCTGTTGTAGCTGTTATGGAACCGTTCTTACGTCAGAACACTCCACAAAAAATGCAGTTTGATCAAGGAACAGAGTTTTACAACAAGAAATTTTTGCGTTTATTAAAAGATTTACGTATAAAACACTACAGTGTTTATAGTGATAAAAAAGGGGCAATAGTTGAGCGGTTCAATAGAACATTAAAAACGCGAATGTTTAAGTATTTCACGTCTAAGGGTACTCACCGTTGGATCGATGTTCTACAAGATCTATTAAACGGATACAATGAGAGTAAACATAGATCCATAAAGCACACTCCCAATGAAGTAACATCTGCAAATGAAGCATTAGTTCGAAAAATTTTATTCCCTAAAGTGATAAAGAAAAGTAAGTTTATGAAAAAGCACTTCAAAGTGGGGGATACGGTAAGGATAACAAGGCAAAAAAGAACATTTCAGAAGGGTTATGAACAATTATGGAGTCACGAAGTGTTTACAATAAGTCAAATCAAAGACACTTATCCTATCACATATGAGTTGAAGGACTATAAAGGTAAAGAGATTAAGGGTTCATTTTACACTAGTGAAATACAATTGGTGGATAAATCTAACAGCATTTATCAAATTGAAAAAGTTTTAGATAAGCGTACGAGACGAGGTCAGACCGAATATCTTGTCAAGTGGCAAGGTTATCCAGACGAAGCAAACACTTGGGTACCTCAATTCGATCTCTTCAGTTTGTGATGCCGATTAAGTTTCTAGCCTCCCACAACTGCATAATATTTGGACCAACAAGAGCTGGAAAGACTCAATTCATATTGGAAGTTATCAGACAAAAACTAGTACACCCCTGGCCTAAACGGATCTTTTACATGTACAAAATAGAGCAGAGTTTTATGAAAACTTGGAATGATGAAGAAAATGTGCCGATAACATTTATCAAAGGACTTAATTTTGATAAAATAGATACTTCTGAACCTAGTATGTTGGTTGTTGATGATTTAATTCTTAGTGATAACAAGGAAATGGCAGAATGTTTCATTTTAGGGTCACATCACAAATCAATATCTACATTCTACATAACACAAAACCTATTCCCAAAATGTCCCTTGTTTAGACTCATGAGTTCTAACAGTCACTATTTTGTTCTCTTTAATAGTCAACGTCATTTTAGACAAATTAACACATTGGCAAGACAAATGTTTTGTGGTGATGATTTGAAGCGTGTCACTAACGCCTTTAAAAGAACATCAAAACAGGAGAGAGGGTTCATTCTACTTAGTCTTGCACCAAGTCTACCACAGGAGCTAACTGTAATAACAGATTTTTGGGAATGGTTACCAAGCATTTATCTCTAAAGCAGGCAGATATGTTGAATAAACATCGATACATACTGGAGAAGTTAGCTGCTAGTAATATGAAAAACCGTAAAATCATCTTGAAAAATTCACCTCCAGAACTTTTCAAAGTTCTTGGAATCGTGTTCAATCTTTTAGCAAATAAAAAACTGGATCTAGATAACAAACAACATCAAACTTTGAAGAAGCATAGACGTTTA